ACAGAACAGCTCCCTCCCAGGGACCGCTTCCCTGCCGACTCCTCCAGCACCTCCCCGCCACGACCCCCCCAATCCCTCACACCTCACAGAGGTGTCCGGCCACCAGCACCCCCAAACCTCCTTCCCTCACAGCAAGGTCCGCGTCCCCCACCTCTCCCCATGTTCCCCTCAGCCCCCTTCTCACACACCCCGCCCTCCAAGGCGCCATTACGCGCACGCCGGGACCCGCCGCCCGCCATCCCCGGGGATACCGGCGGCTCCCCTCTCCGCTCCCACCTCTCCTCTCCTCTGCGCTCCGCACCGGCCCGGCGCCACTTCCTCTGACCCGGAAGTTCTCGCCTTCCCCCTCCAGGTTTCCTGCCCCCCCCCCAGCAACCGTGCACACTTCCGCATGGCAACCACGGCCTGCGGCTCTAAAGGATCGCCCGCTCAAGCGGCACATTGACATTATGTGTGGTTTCGAGCTGCTGTGTGTTTGAATGTACGAACTTCAGCCACTGGTTGTAACAGTGACACTGGTGGCTTGGTTCTCAACACGTGCTGCACTTTTTAAAGTGTCTTTCCCATACCCCAAAAAAAGACAGGTCTGGTAAGAACATGGAATAGTTTGGGTTAGAAGGGACCTTCAAAGCTCATCTGGTCCAACCCCCTGCAATGAGCAGGGACATCTCCAACTAGATCAGGTTGCCCAGAACCACGTCAGCCTGGCCTTGAATGTCTCCAGGGATGGGGCATCCACCACCTCTCTGGGCAACCTGTGTCAGTGTTTTACCACCCTCATTGTAAAAGATTCCTTCCTCATGTCCATGAATCCTCCTCTTTTAGTTTAAAACCATCACCCCTCATCCTATTGCAACCGGCTCTGATAAAAAGTCTCTTCCCATCTTTCATATATGCTTCTTTTAAGAACTGAAAGGCAGAAGTAAGGTCTCCCCAGAGCCTCCCACTCTCCAGGCTGAACAAGCCCAGCTCTCTCAACCTGTCTCCATAGGAGAGGTGCTCCAGCCCTCTGATCGTTTTTATGTCCCTCCTCTGGACCCTCTCTAACAGGTCCATATCTTTCCTGTACTGAGAACTCCAGGGCTGCACGCACATCTTCTAGTTCCTTTTTCAAAACTGGGTGTATAGGATTGAACCATAAGAAATCTATACCAGTTTCAGGGAGACGGTTATATGAGTGACAAGTGCTGGGGTCAACATGAAAGCCCTGCACAGACAGGCTGTGCACACAGAGAGGTAGGCATGGCCCTCCTGCACATCTGTATATGCCACACACACATCCCACCATGGAACAGGGGACCTCTGTATAACCATTGTTTAGCTGCCCTTGTTCACTGAGTTCTGCAGGAATTAATTAGTAAGTATAGGAAAATTGCTTATTTTATTGATGCTGGAGAGGAGACAGTCCTTGAAACCGAATAACAATATAACAAACTTGAATAACAAAGACAGATAAAGATCTGCAATTAGAAAATGGCATCTTGTGGCTTTATTAGATGCAGTCTGTCCTTTTTTCAGTATCTCATAAATATATATAAGGACTAATTTTATGGCACATAAATGCTTTACAGCACAGATTTAAAGTCCCAAGCGTGGCTTGGGCTGAAAGACTTGCTCCACTGAATGAAAATCCAGAAAAACGAATTAACCCCTGAGGCTGTCAGGGCAGATGAGTTACTTGCAGATTTAATGAGAAAATTAACCATAAAAAATGATATGAGAACATTCATGTTTTATTTTGGTTTAATTTTTCTTTAAGTACCTCCTCAGTGCAGTATCTGAAGTAAATCTAAAATGTGTGTTTGATAATTTGTGGTGTTTCATCAGAAAAAAAGCTCTGTCTTGCCCTGCTGACCAAAAATAGTAGCCACAATAGTACTAGAAGGATGACCAATTCTATTTTTAAATAGATTAGACACCAAATGAAATACATGTTACAGAATGTACCTAGATACAAAATGGGAGCCTGTATGACAAATGTTTGGTGAAGAATGGAAGACATTTATTTCAATACTTTAGAAGATTACATTAAGTTGTGCCTCTACTACAGGGAATTAAGACTTCTCTTTTTTGACACTGTTTTGTGACTGTTAATACACGCCACTCCCTGACAGCCCAATGACAGCTATCTTGCCAGCTTCAGGATTGCTAGCTTCTTCCTGCTCACAGGAGATAGGAGTCAGTTCACCAAATCACTGTGGCTTTTGTGGCAGAACATATATAGGCAGCACCATAGCAACTTGCTGCGACTTGAAGGTGGCTTAAATTTTTAATGGAAACAGATCTCCAGTAATTGATTTTAGAAGTTATCTTCCCCTCATTTGCAAGGGATGCAGATGCATAGGTATTTCTTATTTATAGCAGTTTTCAGGTACAATGATGAACTTGACCACAGATTTCAAAAATCAGGAGAAATATGTAGTTTACAAGGGCTGAATTCAGGACAGGAGGCTGTAAATCTTTGTCACAGCATCTTATATCAGGATAGGGAAGAGAGGATGGCGTTTTACACCAAGAGCACACAGTAACCGGTGGCATAAACTTACACATCCTTAAGATGCTCCTAATGAAATTCAGGGTAAACTTCATAGGACTTAATGCCTGGTAACTTCAAATCATGACTGGGACTACGAAGTTTTTCCCATAGAGGCTGCATGCTGGGATGTTGGTATAAATACACTTTTTCAAAGAAAGGAATATGTCCTTTGGCTCTCTAACCTGTGTGCTTTGTAGGTGAGAACTTTCACAGACTGCAGTGCGGGAGAAAGTTAAGGCAGGTATTTACACTGGGAAGGTTCTTGTTCTTGGCAATTTCCTCATCTGGGTAATGCACGCATTATCATACTGCCACAAAGTGACAGCATTCTCAACAGGCTGGATTCATGTCATTATAGGATGGCAAGAGAAGGATGGAAATGCAGTGGAGTGGCACATTTCATGGCACATTTCATGGCTAGGCACCAATGGGGCTGAAGCAGAAGTTGTAAATGTGACTGTTCAGTATGGACAGTAGCATGGGTTAAAGGCAGCTCTCTAATTGCATTCTGGGCTCAACAGCTGTGACCAGTTTTCAACAGGCATTGATTGATTTCTTCATTATTTATTACAAATAACCACTGAGGATGTTTAATTTGTCCTAGGAATGTCTTTCAAAGAAAAAACCTGTCATTGAAAAACGGTGCCTAATTTATACTCAACTTTTATAACTTTCTCCAGAAAACAAACCTCACCACCCACAGAAGCTTCTGCAAACACAGTGCTCCTATGATTATGTTTACCTTAAGCCGGATGTTGCATAGTAGGGTCAGGGCAGAGAACAAGTGCAGCTGGAATGTGGTAGTTACTCCTCACAGGTCAAGACCCATAAACCCCAGGCTCTGATACCAGACTGCTCAAGGACAGACCTCTGCTATGCGGAAAGGAAGTAGACAGGAGAAGGCAGAGGGGAGACCAATCACTGTCTCTGTCTGATCAGAAAGTCTAATGCAATGAAATACCCATTTTATTTTTGTTTGCCTCATCACAGGTATCTGCACTATGAATCTGAAAATTTTGCTTTACAAAGTAGAAAACCTGCTTTCTAGTTTATTAAAAACCCAACACAACATACCAGTGTTGTCAGGGAAAAATGTCTGTTGAGTGTTCACTTGCCGGATATTTAAGGGAGTTCTAGTAAATACCTGTCCTTGCTTCAATTTGCAGACACAATGTATAAATACCATTCCTTCAGAAGTGCTCTGAAATACTCAACTAATTTTTCTAGGATTAGGAAAAATCTTGGGCTTTGTGGTTTATTAGCAAAATAAAGCCAAGCACATTATCAGCAGACTGGAACATACTGGGCCATCTGAAATAAAATGGCTCATGGATCATTTGGCAATATAACACTTTTCAGTCTTTTGTCTTAAAGCTGCCTGCAGGAAAACCTCTATTTGAAATGTTTTGTTCACAGATTTGTGAAGCTATATGTTTTTATTTATTTTTTAAATCTTTCCAAGCTTGAGCTGTTTGTTGAATTCACACCAAAAATGCACTTCCCAGCAAACTCCTTCAGAATTATCATTTAATTTTGTTCAATTTTATTGTGTTTTGTTCCTAAAATAGTCCAAAAAAAGAAATACAGCATTCCTGTCCCTAGTCCTTGACTTCAGAGGTAGCAGCATCTTCCACACAGCATTAATCTGTGAGCCTGTCCTCCATGGCAATTACACTGATTTTAGGTTTTTACATCTCAGGTTTTCTGCCTGAAAGATACCTTGAAGCAGAGCTTTGCCTTTTAGGGAGAAATCAGTCTGGCTTTTGTTACTGTGCCTCCTTTATGTCTCCCTGCACTTATGCTTTGGAGTATCTCACTGGATTGGTTCAAACCTTTTCCTGACACTCACAGCCTTGGGTTGCCTGCATTCTCCTCTGCTTTCTTGATGCTCTTTGGAGTAAAAAGTCCTGGAGGACCTTAGTGAAGAAACGGAGCAGGTTGTGGAAGGCTTCTGCCTCCCACTCTCCCACCTTACTCCAAGCTCTTATTTATTTTTACTCAAAGGACATTTTTCATGATCCAACAAGCAACAGAACATACAGAAATGCTAATAGTTTCTACTTTGGCAACCTTTCTCTTGTCCCTGAATGAAAGAAAGGGTGCCCTTTGGCCCTGGCATCCCTCATGAGGCTATGCATGGTAGGAGACTGAGGGTGTCAGGGAAAGCAGGGAGGAGCTGGTCCCATCACCCTGTCCCCAACTGCAGGATACCTGGTTTGGTACTTAAGGAGGTACTTCAGAGCCTTGGAGCTCAGGGAAGTATCAGAGACATCACATCAGCTCCCACCACGTGGCCCACTCTGCCCATCGCTTCTCAAGGCTTCTCACCCTCCCTTCACAGCAGTGTGCAATTCTAATTAAAGAGGAAAAAAAAGTCAGTATCATCCCAGCGCACAGCCCTGATTACCGCATGGGCATGCAAGGATGTGACCCAAAGATTACATAATTAGAAGGCATTTGTTATGCTTGCGTTTCAAATCAGTGATTAGCATGTGACAGTCCCATCCCGGGAAACGTCAAACCACCATTACAGTTCTCTCTCCTTTCCTGCACAGTGCTAATTCCCAACTCTGGCAACCGCCAGTGCTGAAGGATCTTCAGACAGCCTGGGGTAAGTTGAAACTATACGCGGCATGGAATGAAGAGTGGGACTAATAATAGTTTTTTGTATTATTGGGAAAAGCTAGAGACATCGCTATTTAACATTGCATGTGCAGTACATACAATGGTATTTAAAGTATTTTGCATCTTACGTGTCCAGTTATTTCCAGCTGATTTCTTCTGAGACTGTGTATAGAGATCTAGCTTCTTAGTGTGCTGGAAAGTCTCGTGAGGCTGCATTTATAGTAAGGTCTCTAAAATACCAGGTTAAAAAGATGTTTGGTTTTTTTCTGCTGTTAACATTTAAGAGATAAATTGCGGTATCATGCTGAACTGAAGTGTCTGAATGACAGCTGGAGACAAAGCATGAGAGTGATGAGAGTAAATCACTAAATTTTTGCTCTCTGTAGAGGACTGGGGTTTGTTCTTCAAGTGGGCTACTCAAAACCAGCCAGCAATCTCAGCCAGCAGGATTGAGACGGTCACCAGGCAGATCCCAAGCTTTTATTTAGGACAACTGTGGATGTCTAACAACTGAAGCAGCAAAAGTGCATACGGATTTCCTTGCATTGTTACCCATGTCATGATTTCAGAAGCAGAATGGGACAGAAAGCCAAACAGACAGTTACTGTTGTCCATCAAGGCTAGGCTGTAAATGCTTTACTCAACTTTGCCTGTTTGCATGCTGATGCTTGGGTTATTTGATCACTCTTTGTAACAAGTGATCATCTCCACAGCTGATTGCTTCTCCCAGTTGTGCCACTCCATGTGGGGGGAGCACTGGAAGGGTGAGCATGGTCATACAAACGCAGCACAGGCTGCAGGACCTACCTCCTCTCCCTCTCTCATGCACAGCTCTATGTGGGAATCCCATCTCAGGGGCACGTCACTGTGGTCTTTGACCCTGTGCCTAAAGCATAGCTAGAGAGGGCAAACCCTGGGACCTCCCCAACCACCCACACCTTTTCACCATTTTCTATGGGGATCTCATGGGAAGTAGGAACTGGCTCAGGCTCTGTTAACTTTCACATGCCTTCTGCTCTGCACTGGGGGGGCTGCAGTGCCAGCTACAAGGCATCAGGGCAGTATTCTTTGCTGCACACTAGTGGCCAGAATCATGGCAATCACTAGTGTCAGAGGTGGCACAGCTTTGGTTCTTGGGCTTGTCAGATTTGGCTGCTGGAGGGAAGATAGAGAGAAAAGAGGAAAATATTTCCTTTAGCCATGATGGAGGAACCTGGTGGCTTTAACACCCTGAAACTATTCTCTGGGTTTTGCTCTGAAGGTGTCATTTTAGCTGTATGAGAGCTGCAGGAAGGTAAATGTGTTTTAATGCTCAGCTCTGAAGAAACAAGAACATCTTTGTCATTTCTTGTCCTTAAAGTAGGGGGGCCATAGGCTTGGATTGCAAGCCAAGACAGTCTGATGATGGCTTCATGAGACTGGTTGTTGAACCTGTCCAGTGGGAAGCTTGCAGAGGGACAATAACACATCCTTGTTCATGAGAAAACTACCCTGCGGTGGGCTGGCATATGAGGCAAACCTTATGAGGCAAACCTTGTATTTGCCAGGGTTAGAGGCCTGATGGTGGTTTAGGAAAGCAGCCTTATGGAGGACTTGCTTTTAGTTCCAGTGTGCACATGCATTCATGTGGGACCATAGTGACAGGACAAGGGGTAACAGGGTAAAACTTCAACAGGGGAAGTTTAGATTGGATATAAGGAGGAAATTCTTTACTGTAAGGGTGGTGAGGCACTGGAATGGGTTGCCCAGGGAGGCTGTGAATGCTCCATCCCTGGCAGTGTTCAAGGCCAGGTTGGACAAAGCCTTGGGTGGCATGCTTTAGTGTGAGGTGTCCCTGCCCATGGCAGGGGGGTTGGAACTTGATGATCTTAAGGCCCTTTCCAACCCTAACTATTCTATGATTCTGTGATTCTATGTGTGTGCATGTGGGAAGGGGTTAAGGGTATGGGGTTTGCTGAGTACTGAGAAAAAGAGATGAAGGGGGGGATCCTCTTGCAGTTTTTCACTGCCTCAAGGGAGCTATAAAGTAGACAGAGTTCACGTTCTTCCCAGAGGTGCACAGTGAAAGGCAGTGGGCAGAAGCTGCAGCAAAGGGAAATCCTGACTGCATGTAAGGAAAAATATTCTTCCCCAGGATACTGGAGGAAATCTTCAGACCTGAACTGGATACAGCTTTAAGGAACGTATGTAGTTTGGAGTTAGCCTTGAGCCAAACAGGAAGTTGGACTAAAGATATACAAGGGTTTCTACTCACCTAGGCTCTGCTGTGAGGTGATGACTTATTCACTGCCAGCAGAGGCAGGATTTGACCAAGCAGCCCACATCAAGGGTCTTAAGGCCAGAAGTCAATCTTATTTTCCAATCCCTTTCCCTTTAGGAACAAGCCTGACACTTCTCAGTCAGCTCAGGCTGACTAAAAGCCTTGTCCCTGGTAAGGACAGTGTTAACAGCTTCCCTACCTGGCAGTCAGGAAGAGTAGAGGACAAAGCTTCACTCCAAACCATGGTGAGGTGCACATTTTGCTTGGTTTAGTGATGTGGAAGGAAGTTTTGCTCTGTATATTCAGCAGTTCAGAAGAATGAGGGACTGGCAGGCAATGTTATATATATCATGGAGTCCAGCAGTGATTCCTTAATGTGAAGTAGCCACTGTAATGCAATTATTTGATCTAACAAAGAACGGAGGGGTGACTCAGGAAATTGCAGTCTGCAGCCAGAGGACACATGAAAGACAGTAACTCCATAACTGTAAGCAGGGAAAATTTTTGGACCCACTTAACCAAGGTCAACCTACTTTGCAGTGCAGTCATATAGCAGAGCTGGTGGTGCTGGAGCAGAGGGAATGGCGGCATCCCCAGTGTCCCAGTTTCAAACCTCACTTCTGAGCTCTGCAGAGGACAGAGGCTGTGCTCAGACATTGTCCTTGTCTGCACAAGTGTTAAATCTCCATTGCTTTGACTTCCCTCTATTAAGGAAAATATTACTTGTGATGATAGCAGGAACTCACAGTGTTTTTATAAAAGAAGATACAATGCCAAGGGCATATCTTCCAGCCCTTTGTGGCCCTGAAAGTGCATGAGAACAGCAGATAGGTAATAGGGCAATGACACATCCTCATACAAGCCCTTCTTCTACAAGTATAGCTTCACTGTCATTAAAACCTCATGCAGGTTATTTTTCTCTGTATCAGACAAACTTCATTCTTTGTCATCACCTGTAGCACAGCAGAGGGGGAAATGCCCTCCTGTGAACTTCTCCTCCATGACAACTGCAGGTTTCCATGTGTTAGGGGAAGGTAGACACAGGTATTCTTTGTGTTGCATCCCTCAGTCTGAATCACCATCTGTGAGACTGGTGGCATAGCCCTGGTGATGTGATGGGCAAGGGAACATGCCCAAGTGGGACCTAGACAAGCATTTTGAGATCTCAGATGGCCTGGGAGGAGCTGGTGGAAGTAGAGAGCACTTGATGGAACTTAATTATACTATAATTCTGTCTTTTCCTCACCTTGGATGTCTGCCTTATACATTGTTTCCTCATGTATTACAGTCCTCTGACTTCCCCATTTAAAGCTGTGCAGCAGCATGGGTTAGATACTCTCATTTTGGCATTCTCCCACAGTAAATGATTTTGGTACTGGCCAGGTGTGGTCACCCTGCCTTGAGAAGGCCAGAGGTACCAATGTCACATTGTCACCAGAGATTTAGGAAGCCCCAGAATAATTGAGCCAGTGAATAGTAAAATTATAAAATCTTTAAGACATACCATGCAGTTAGTGTATTTAATGTATATTAATATAACTAATTCCATACTAACTGATGTTTGTTAACTTTTGTTATTGATAGATAACAATTATATACTGTTATGCTGCTATAACCGGCATGGTAAAACATTAATAATATAAAAGTAGAATGGGTAAAAATATGTACATGTTTTTATTACCAAAAAAAAGAATTTCCAGCAAAAAGCTGTGCCAAAGTTTATCACAGGTGAGGTTTATGTTTCTCTCATATCTGTTTTGCCTTTTCTATGTGTTCCTTTATCCCCAGCATTGCAGAAACAATTCTGACCTTTTAAAACAGTTCTCAGTGTTAAACAAGCTGGTCCCAATAACAGAAGCCTCATGAATTTGCTATGGCATTGACTAGACTAAGCTGGAAGCGAAGCTTAACAGCTTTGCTACTAAACGAGCTACTACTGAAGCTGAAGTTGAAGGTCTGTTTCTCTCAGAGGCCCAAACTCAAGTACCTGCTCCTCAAAGCTACTAGAGAGGAGGTTTAGCTACTTTAAAAACGACTGCATATTTATGTGTTTCAGAAGCAAATCGTGTTCTTGCCAGTCTGGATACCTATCAGAAAAAAAAATTATTTATTTATTTCTTGATTTATTCCTCTAAAGAGGACTGGAGCACACAGCATAGGAGAGGCTGAGGGAGTTGAGTTTGTTCAGATTGGGAAAGAGAAGGCTGGGGGGTCCTACAGCCATCTGCAACTACCTAATGGGCCTTATAGACAAGACAGTTGGGCTTTTCTCACAGTAGCAATGAAAGGATAAATTACTGAGGGCACAAGCTGCAGCAATTGAAACATTGGCTGTAACGAGAAACATCTTGCCCATGAGAGTAGTGCAGCCCTGGGACAGGCCTGGAAAGGTTGAGAAGTTGCCAGCCTGGGAGACAGTCAGATCTGGACTAGAAGTGGCTCTGAGCAATCTGATCCAGCTTTGGGGTTAGCCCTACTTTGAGTCAGGTAACTCCAGAGGTCCCTGCCCATCTAAACTCTGCCATGAGACTTAGAGACTTCAGAACAGGAAAATTACTTTTACACCATTAGCTGATAGAAAACAGATTAAATAAACTATTGCATTTATCTCACTGTAACCAGGTGCCCACCTAGAAGCTTTCCCAGCCTGTTTGTACAAAGCCTACATCCAAAGTCCCTCCAGTTTGGCTCAGATTTTCCATGTGTCACCAAACGATCCTCTGTCCTGAGCAGACAATGGATCTTGTAGGAGGACATCACATAAGCAGCTCTCTTATAAATAACACATTTATCCTTTCATTAATCCTCAATCTCAGGAAGATGCAAACTCCCATGTCCCCCCCAGGACTGTGCTCTGGAAGCCTTCCAGTCCTCATCATACCCTCAGCAGGAGGCTGGCTGTGTACGCTATTGGCTGTGCCACTCTCAGCCTGACCATACGAGGCATCCCTTGCCACAGCTCAGAAACACTCAGCATCACCCCATCTCAGGGGCCCCGGTGGTGCCACCACCCTCCCCCCTCAGGAACTCCACACTGGAAAGCTATCAGATCAAAAGCCCCTAAGCTATGCTCCTGACTGCACCAGAAGCAACTGCTTCTGCAGCCATTTCCTAAAGCCACCAGGGCTCTTGCATCTTTTGCATCTCTCCTATCTATTTAATGCTATATGCCTTTCTCTGTGCCTGCTTCCCTGTAAACATCACCCCAGGCTTCTCTGAATCACCACAGCTCTCCTGGCAGAGCTGTGTCAGCAGAGCTTTGTGCCATAATTACACTGGCCCCTCCAATCCCATTAACAAAGCTAATGATAACTCACAACAGCCTTGGGCATATCTATGTCAGACAGGAATGGAGGTGTGAGGTTATTCTAGAGTCCTAAATCACATCTGGTTTCCTAGTAAGGCTTGACAAAAGCAGACTTGAATTAAACCCTGGGGAGAGGAAGCATGGATGTGGGGCAGTGCCCATGCTGATAAGTGTTAGCTGGAACAATCTATTTTTGGGGGGCTCTGCCTGAGCCATTAACCAGGCATTATCTAAAGGCTGTTTCCAAAGTCCTAACTCCATTACCAGACTGATGAGATGCTTTACCAAGGGATTGACTAGGTTCCCAGAGAGGCTGCAGCTCTACACACTGAGGTGGCCTTGCAGCACTCCTGTGCCTCAAAAAGTCAGGGAGACAACTGGCAGAGAAAACAGTACAAGCATGTCCAAAAGTGCCAGCAGGATTGTACAGCAGCACTGTGAAGGCAATACCTCTGTGTCCCAAACATAAGTTTGGAGGACATTTTGGGTGATTAGTTGCATAGCAAAAAGCTGGTTCTTTGATGCAGAGCACCCATGCAAGATGTTTATGTTCCGTTCAGAGTATGTCTCATTTTACTTCTGTGTTCATACAAGAAGCATCTTGCTGAGCAAATAGTCTCTGTGGGATTACATAGAACCTCTTAATCACCCATCCACATAAATACAAACGTCCTTGGGCTGGGAGGGAAGTGTTTGCTTGGATTGGCACCTATTCTGCTTGTGGAGGCACTGTGAACCCAAAGAGACCTTTAAGATGCCTCATTCCTTCTCAAATCCCTACTCCTCTGCCCTCTGTTTTCTGAACTTTGAGCATCTCCGCTCAGTAAACCCTTTCTGCATCTTTCTGCACTCAGGGTTCAGACCAGCTGACCCATCGCAGGGCTCACATGTGGGCAGCTCTAAGCCATGGGATGTTCCCAGTGACCAGCCAGAACCTTCCAGAGTAAGGACAGGAGTCCCTCCGAGGACGCACACCCTATAGCAGCCATGGACTCAAACAAACAAGAAGGTAAAGCATCCTCTTATTTCACTTCTTGATAGTATGAAAGACAGCAAGGAGGAAACCTGCTCTCGTATGAGCTGTCTGTTGGCAGCTAGCCCCTGAGAACACCTCTTAGCCATGGCAGCTTTGGGCAAATGTTCCCGTCTTTTAAATTCATAGAAATATCTGAGGTGTGAAGTTTTTATCTTTTATTTTATAAACACCTCCCTCTCCCCTCTGGAAAATAATCCTGTGGCATATGTAATGTCCATTGTGGGAAGTCATTCCTCTCTTGCCTTGGACCCATCTCTGCCTTGGGATGTAGAGAGACTTCTAACTATCAGACGCTTTGTCTTACATGAGGACACTGTGATGAGGATCTGCTTCTCCCCCCCACATGCCTTATTGCAAGGGATTCTTGTTCCTGTCAGTGCAGCAACCCAGACTTCTGCACCAGTCATGATCTTGCAAGCACCAAGATGCATCCAGGCCACACTGCTTGCATGCAACCAGTCCTGCTACAGTCAGCAACACTTCTAGAAAGCCTGCAAAGCTCAGGGGTTTCAGGTCCAGGCTTTTAGTGGTTATCAGCTTTAAATATTCTTCTTACAGAGCAATGTGGGGCTGATAGTACTTGCTTCTCACCTCAAACCCCTTGCAGCATTATCCTCTGCCTTGCTACTTCAGAGGTGACTATGTCCATATGCTGAGAAACTCTTGAAACTATGAGGAGCAGGGGGAGCAAATTTAGGAGTGCCCATAACTGTCAGGTCAGGAGAGAGCCTGAACTATCTCTTTACCTCTTAGAAGATGCTTGGTGGTGCGAACATTCATTCATGGCATAGGTAATGGAAGAGTTAATTTCTCTATTATTATTATTCTAATTTGATATATTAGGTCTGTGTACCTCGGCCCCTGCACTACAGTAGCCTGGAAAGGAAATTAACTCAGAGATCTTTTCCAATTAATTGGTATGCCCCCATGGGCTGCAGATGTTCACTGCAGAAATTGGGAGATAACCACAAATCCCCTTTCTTCCCACAGGGCAACTGTGAGGAGCCTCCTCTGCTCCAGCTTTTAGCAGTGACTTTATAGCAATTATCTGGGTTTTGACGGAGAACATGCAGACAGTGCTTCTGCTCATGCTCATGACAAAGGTGGGAGGTAAAATCAAGGTAGCAGGGATCCTTTCCCCTCGTCTGGTCTTGCTCAGGAGGAGTTCTTTGCTTTGAGTTTCTCCAAGGACACTACAGACTGATTCCTATCCAAACCCAAATGAAAGATCCAGACTTCTTCAGTGCTTGGGTCCAGCCCTTCCAAAGAAAATGTGAGGACAGGCCATTGCTCTCTCTTGCTGCACTGCTACCTGACTCCTCCAGACCTCCACAAAGCTCAGCATTCAATATGCCCATCACCATGCAAAACCAGCATCTCACTGTCCTCCCAGCACCTGGTTTGTATTGTGCTAATGATTAAGAAACATGCCTTTTTGCTCTTTTGGGGTCAGTCATTACCATCCAACAGTAAGGGTCCAGCAGTAGCATTTAAACACCATCTGCCTTCTCAAGCCCCAGTGAGGCACCATGAGAAAGCTTCATCATTCACTTAAGGTCAAAAGTCAGTTTCGAGTTTGTGGAGTTGCAGACAAAGTTTAGCCCCAGAAGGGCCAAAGCTGAAAATGAAAACAACTTGTCATTTAAAAGATGAAACTTGGGACTTGGGCTGATGAGATTTCACCCCAAACAGCTGGCTCTTTGAGTTCACAGTTACTTTTCCTAGTCAGCCTCCTACCCCTTGTTTTCTACAGGAGGAACCTTAGAGGATATTCCCTGGAGGGAATCACTGTCTGACCCTGCTAACCTACCCCTCCCCAGGGCTGCAGGACCAGCCAGCATGAGGAGAAAGCAGTACATAGCCAGAGAGGGGAGTACAGCCTCTCCTCCCCCTGCCTCACACTCCTGTGAGTCACTGGGGAATCACAGAATCATAGAATAGTTAGGGTTGGAAAAGACCTTAATTTGCTCCTTTTCCTCTGAATCAGGACAAATCCTAAGGACCAGAACAGGGCCAATTCATAGGTGCCCTTGGCAGTAACCCATATTCCCCCGCAGGGGGTGAAGAAATCAGAACGTGTCTGCCTTGGAAATCTCTGACTTCCAGGCTTCAGCTTTCTACTTCACTTACTGGCTGACTGTGTAAAGTCCTCCCTGCACTGTTTTCAAGCCTCTGTAGGACTGAATTTCTGTGGTGTTAAAGGCCCAGGTGGGTAAGGGACTTAACATCTGCAGCCAGCATGGAAAGAGAGAGCTTGGCACCCCTAGAATTGGGCATGGGATCACCAATCATGTCTGCGACTGACAGCAGAGATGGGTGAAGCAAATTCTTTGAGGCAAGTGGTCTCATGAAGTGACATTGCCAATGGGAGGTGACTCAGATGAAGAACTGTGTGGCATGGTGTTTCCTGGGAGCAAAGGCCATCTTAGGGAATAACATGGAAAACAATGGCTATTTGACTGTAATTCCCTCAAAGTGCAGTGATAACTTCTATTGGATAACTGGTTTCTGCAGTGAAGAGACAATGTTAAAAGACGAAATAATATATTTAGACTTCTTGGTTTCAGTCCTCATCAATCCTCAGAACTCATTAAGGCCTAGAGACAATGTCTCTGAAGTGTTCAAAACACTTCTGAAAAATAGATATAAGCTCCTCCATGAGCTAAGTCTGTTAACCTAGGGCTTAAAATATACAGATCAGACTTTTGTGGAGATAACAGAAATATGTACAAATACAGTAAAGGATAAAATCCACAGTTTCAGAAGGGGGAGGGATCAGTGAGGCTTTAGGGGGAAAACCGTGTTACTTAAGGCTGGTACACAGCACTGAACTTCACAGGGAGCAATGTAGCCCTGTTTGCACATACAAGGTTTCTCACCCCTTCACAGGGATCAGCTTTATTCAGACACAGGACAGCAAATGAGGTGAATTTAATGTCTGTTTTATAACTGCAGCTTAATTTACAAATGATATGGTGTTCACACCTCCTAAAGTAAGACTTGAGTCCTTTAAAACTGATTTGTACCTCAAGAGGGACTTCAAACCCTCTGTTCCAGTTATTTATAGCAACTATAATAAGTAATTTTAATTGACTGAAGTTCTTTATTCCCACAGGAGAGACTGAAAGTGTGCCTGTGAGTACCCCTGCAACACAGATTTCCCAGGTAAAGATGAGCAAAATGCCCTAAATAACTCCAAGAGTTTAAAGAGTTACTGATAAATAGTAGTTAAAAAGCTAAATAAGTGGAAGGAAAAATAGAGACACTTACAAGGAACATGGCAACTAAAACGTGCACACTGCATGGATGAATGTTATACGTATCACATCTTGGGCCTCATCTTAAAAGACACTCCAGTTGTGTTTAGACGGGTGATTGTGAGCTCAGCTAATTAAATAGCTGGTATCATTAGCATCAATTAGAGAAAGTCAATTCACTGGGCTGGAGGGAGATTTCATGGCTAAACCTGATTAACTGTCCCAGGAGCAAGGATGTGTTGATTGACATGGGGTGGGGGTGTCTTCCCCAGCAGGGAACCAAGTCTCCTGGGGGCTCTGGCAGCTCCTTGGACCATGGGGTGCTCTTCTTGCCTGATAATCCAGACCAGCCGGGCTGGCCAGAGCCTTGAGTCTTGCTGCATTTCTCTGTCTGGCTCCCCAGCCAGGAGCTTGGAAACCCTGTCTTTGAGTCTATGTTGTTTTCAAGGTGAACAGGACATCCCGAGCTCTGTGGCCACTCTTCATGTTGACATTCTTGCTGCTATCAGCCACTACAGATGCAACAAGATTGTCTCTACAAGGGTTGCATCCTTCCTGTAAGATGCAGTTTCAGTGTTTCCACAGTGATGTTTCCAAAGCATTTCCAGTCTGCAGGAAACACAACAGAGTTTTGAGCACTTTAAACTTTGGTCTGCTTCAATATGGAACCGTACTCTGAAAGACAAGCATACCTGCGAACTGGAAACCCTGACTATTTGAGCCTTCCCTTGTCACCATTGCAACACTAATGCCTGTAATTGCTTTCAAGTGCACCATGGCAAGTGGAGAAGATACTGCCTTCCATTAACTAGCCAGTACTTCTCTTGTCACGTCCTCTTTTCCCATCCAGGCAGCTCCAAGCAGGATCTGTGACTGGATTGCTGAAGGGCCCAGCACAGTGGATCCAACATGTTGGGACAGTGTGCTGGGAACAACATGTACACATGCTGCTTTCCAGAAAAACCCTGCTAAGATGTGGATACCCTAATGAATCTTTCAATACAAGTTACCAGCTGGCTGTCCCCTTCTGCTTCAGCAAGGGCCCTATGGACACTGCAGTCACCAAAACAGACTGCACAGATGTGAAACAAGAGACAATAGTGCTTGCAGCCCCCTTTAAGTATCTCCATCCTTCTCTTCTATCCTTACCCTGCTGCTCTGCCTTTATTCCTATCATGCTTACCTAGGAGTATAAATACTGGATATACTCCTAGGGCCAGGTTCTCTGCCACTGTAAATAAGCACAGCTCTGCTGCTTTCCTGCTATGAGGTTTTGCAAGCCTTCCTGATGCTTGGCTGTAGAAGTGCTGCCCTTAGACATAGGAGTTAGTAGCTGTGCTAGAAATTGGTTGTTCCCTGGTAGAAGCATACACCATGAAGCTCAGAAAAATCAGTTCCAGGCTTTGTGGCAACTGTTGGACTTTGTCTCAGCTTAGTTCCAGGCAGTGTCCTCAGGCAGCCTTCTTTCTGGGTGACAAAATGTTTACTTTCTTCTTCAGATCAGCTACATAAGATGATGTGCAAAGTGATGGATAGTAGATAAGGTGGGCAAAGTTAACAGGCAGTACTTCTTCATGGCTGCAGGCAGTTTTGCTCTTTTCTAGGATATATTTATAGCAACAGAATTATTACTCTGCAGAACTTCTTCATCTTGAGATTGTTTTCCACCGATTTTGACAGGCTTCAGCTGAAGGTTCCTGAGGGCAGGCTCTGTTCTAGTGTAAGGACCTTATGGCAGCTGCCAAGGGCAGCAGATGCAAATAGCCATTCTTCTGGAGACACAGAGCTCTGGACAGCCTGGCTATTACTGAAGGACATATCTGGGGACACATATACTCACGGAAGTAAAGTTTCCCTCTCACCCCTTCAGTGGCAGCCAGGGTAGCAAACCCAGCTCCCCAAGACTGCTCTCTGCTTTCAACCCCAGCCATTCCTTCCATAAGTCAAACATGTATCCTGGCCATGACAACCTTCCCTGAGCAGCCTCAAAGTCTGAACAAAGCATTAGACTGCATGGACAGTCACTATCTACTGCAAATGGCTTAAATTGCTGGCACCCACTGAGGAAGGATGGGAAGGCTCTACAGTTTTGCTGCCTCTGGTCCCAGAAGCAACATCAGTCCTGTTTACCCTTCGAGGACAGTACAACAGAGACAAGTAGAGGCTCAGCAAAGGAGATTTCACAGCTGGTTTCTATATGTGTATACATATATGTGTGTGTATATATATATAGAGAGAGACATACATATCTCCACTCTCTGAAAGTAAAGTCAAAACCAGGCTGAGAAATGCTCCCCATATATCTTCCAATCTCACCCTTCTCCTCCCCTCTAGCCATCATCACTTCCTCCACATTGTCACAGTTCCCCCACGTTAGGAAATGTTTACTCCCCTCTCCAGGTGGACTACAATAGAGCATTCATATTCTCATTGTGCTAGAGGGCAAGTGAGAGTCACAAGTGACTGCTTCCCAGTGTCTTATTAATCAGTCATGTAGGGAGAGAAGGAGAACCCTTCATTTCCCTATGGGCAGCTACCAGGAGAGCACAACAGAGTTATTTGGTCTTGTTAAGAGATTTTACTTGCATGGCTTTTCCACACAGAGCTGAAAAATATCATGGGAGCAGGTAAAATGGGAGTCATGCTCCCCAGCAAAGACATAATCTGCTAAACATGCATGATGCTGGATCCCTCAGTGCATTGCTTTGTCAAGTTTGAGAGCCACACTCCAAAGGCAAGTGGGGATTGAAATGTGTATCTTAACCTAAATTATTTAGGTGTCCAAATGCTTTTTTGAACAGCTCTTGGACATGTTCTAAGGACTCCCTGTGACCATGCAGATTCACTTATCCTCTAGGCATTAGTTCAACCTCACTTGTTAAGGTGTGTTCCTTAACTTCCACAACTTAAGTACTACAGTTTATTTATTCCATGAATAGGTGAGGCAAAACAACACATTACAGTTAAGCTGTTGCCAAGTTTCTGTGCTAGTATAAAATCTGTCTATTTTATATGGTATGTGTTGCAGTTTAGAAGCACTGAATTGGTTTAACTTTCAGGGGTTCACAAACCTGTGAAATGTCTCTGGTCCTGTAGACATAACTTGGGCAAGACATAAGCATGAGCTGGCGCTTCAGCAGCTTCCATTTTCTGCAACAGCTGAGGGGATTTAAAGGGTGGCTTTCTACAGCTTGTCATTAGGAAGGAGCTCAAACCAAAATCCATGGCTCAAGCACTACACTGTGCTTGGCAGGAGTTCAAAGAAAATATGTTGTTCCTGTGCCACTCACTTTTGCATCAAACTTGCACCCAGTGCCACAAGGCTCTTAGTGTTTCCTTTCTACTCTCAGCGCTGATGGCAGTGGAGAAGGGAGTTCTCAGGGTTTCAGCACTTCCTGTCCAGCCATACAAGCCCTGGCAGATATGGCTGATTTGTGTTGCTTGCTGCTTTTACCCATCAAGCATCAACAAAAGGAAATGCAAGTGCAAGATGCATTTCAGAGTTTGAAATTGCCACTGCAAGCTGCATGGGGCCAAGGAAGGATGTACTGGGTAGGGCAGACCCAGGCTGGGGTCTGGAGCACAAAGGATACATAAAAAACCAAGCTAGCACTGTGACTGCAAGAGCAGATTGGCCAACAGTGAACCCCAAAATAACAAGTGACTTTCTGCTCTTAGAGGGAAAGCCTATTTTATTCTAGTCCCAATTTTTCTTTTGGCTGTCTGAACTCTGCTTTCACAGAGCATTTCGGTGCACGTGGATACTAAAGTCTCTGCAGTAGTCCCTTTTTACTGACTCTTGCTGATGCCTAGCAGTTCTTGAATCTGAAATCTCTAGATGAGCAATGACTCCAATCCCTGTACCCTTTACAAAGGATCTGTCTAGTTTACACCCTTTCTGGAAGCATATGAGGAGGATATGGCCAGACCTATGGGCAAAAACATTTCACTTTTGGTTATCCTCCCCAGCTGTTGTTATCTCCACGGCCAGTTTCCAGACTGCTCCACTTTGAGGCTGTGACATCCCCATCCTCAAGCAGATTTCTAAAATGGTTAGCATAGGATACAACAGAATAGCATATTTCAGTTGGAAGGGACAGATCTGGTGAATCACCCCTTTTCACTTGGAGGAAAGTGTGTGATGCCAAGCCCTGATGCAGGCTAGCAGGGAGACTCTGCCTTGGCAATGTCAGCTCAGTGTGGAAGTGTGGCAAGCACTTGCGAGCAGGCATGGGAATATGAACATTTTGCACTGCTGCAGCACTTGGTATCCCCCCACATCTCCAGGCATGGAGATGTGTCAGGATGTCTGATGATGCTAAGACCATCTGCCTCAACCCCTAGGCTGAGATATCAGCAGCAGTATGGTCATTGCCTCCCCTAGCAGCCATGGCCCCAAGCAGCCCCTCTAACTTTTCAGGCTACACTCACAAGGTGACAATTCCTGTGATACTCTTGTGTCACAGGAAGGTGTCCACTGTGGCCAGAAAGGATGGGTGAAGGGGTTGAACCAAGGGGTCTGGAGCTCCAGCTGGCTTGGGGAGTCAGGGTTGACTGCCTGAAGAGGGAAGATGCCCTCAGCCTCCTGCTCCTCTCTGCCCTGTCCCAGCCTGTCAGTCCCACTCCTCTTAGCCAGGCAACTCTGGGAATGCGTGTCCAGCCAGACCAGACTGGGGACAGTGGGGTAAGCACTGGGGTAGGAGTGGGGATGTCAGGCAGACGTCCTCTGTAAAGACACTGTCAGTCTTGATCGGAGGAGGATGGTGCATGCCATTGCCCCAAGGTATCGGAAGCCATCTCTGCTCCATTTACAGGACTCAAGCGCCTGAGTTCCCCGGGGTGGCTGTCCTCTTACCATCAGTGCTCCAGTTTTGGACTCAGTTTATAACCAGATGTTAGGCCGAATTTCTGTTGTAAAGGTAAAAACCTGCGACCTCACCATGGGCTTTGTGCAGGCAGAACGAGCTCCTTGCTCACAGCAGTGGGGCAGAGTTCAGGGCTGCCAGCCCAAGCTGACCCTGAAGAGGGTGTCCCCGCTTAGCCCCCTGCTGCCTCCCCTCACTGCCCACCTCCACACTGCCTTGTCTGCTCGCTATGCCAGCCTGGCTCACCCTGCTCTGTCTCCTGCTTCACGCAGCTATCAACTGGCTGCCTCTAGCTTAGGTGGTGAGCTCTTCCAGCAGTGCTAGGGCCTCTAGGGACAGCAAACAGGGTGAGTGGGCACAGTGTCACTGTATGCCAGGGGAAAACCTCCCGCTCCCTCCCCATCATGAGTTAAAGAGCTGCCTCCTTGCTTGGAAAGGGCCTGCTGAACCAGGACAGAGCTTCTCCGTAGCCCTTGGAGAGCAAGGAGGTGTTAGACCTGTCTGGGGAGAGCACCAGCCCCACAAGCATGTGGGTGAGGAGGACTTGCTCAAAATGGACATATTCTTGATTGCTCAGCTGCTTTGGGGATTGATAAATCTGGCTGCTGTTACTGCAAAGCATCTTGGCATGTTTCAGGCTGTCCTCTCCTTCTACAGACTGACAGGCTGCAAACTGCCAGGGAGCCTGGAAAAACTCTAAATCTAAAAAGGGGCACACTGACTGCCCAAGACAAACACATCCTACCCTGTACTTGAGGCTGAAGCAGGGGACAAACCTCCCTCCATGTCTCCCAGCCATAACTGGAGGAGGAGAAAGAGGTCAGCACCTTACAGGATGGGTTACACCCAGCCTTCATGCCACTCTGAAGCATGGGTGACCCTCGGGAACACAGCCACCTGCATCTGGGAGGAGGGACTGAACCCACCATGTCTGTGGTTCCTCTAGTTGCAGGCATTAGCCTCTGAGTTGAAGGCGGGTTTCACAGAAGCAATGCAGGAGCTGTCACGGATCCAGCATGGCGAGTACGCCCTGGAGGAGAAGGTCAAGAGCTGCCGCTGTGCCATGGAAGAGAAAGTGGCTGAGATGAAGAATTCCCTCAACACGTTCAAGGTAGGAGTGTGACCCCCAAGGGGGCTGCATACCTGCCATGCTAGCTTGGGTGGCATAGGGCAGAATTCCCCTGCTTCCATCAGTCCTTCCTGCTTGCAAAGAAAATGAGCTAGCAGTTGTTTCAGATATCTCTGGTGGTCTTCCTTTGGCTTTGTGTCTCCCTGACTACCCCAGCCCAAATGTAGCCCATGCCCTGGCCTGTTGAGCCTTCTCGATGGGCCACGAGGCAGTGCTGTGAGCTGCTCTGGGCACAAGCAACCCTTGCCTGGGGCTGCACATGCAATAGGCACATGGCCTCTGTGCAATATTTCTCCCTGGGCCAGGTCTCTTGCATTTCCTGCAGTAACCCAAGCTGCTGTGGAGCAGGGAATTAACACAAAACCCTACAGCCTTTTGAAGTTGCATTCCCACATGACTGGGAGGAAGTGCTACCTGGTTTCATCCAGTCCAAGAGAATAAAGACAAAGGACTGCAGAGAGACTATTAAGAAGGCTTCATGTACACTAAACCAACCAGCACCTCCATGCAGAAACTGGATGACTGCCTGTGAGGAGATGGGCAGAGGAACTATTTTATTGTTTTTATGATAGATCTTCCCCATGGGGTTTTGCTGAGTCAATAATACCTTGTGAAGTTAAAAACGGCTGCTTACTGGAAAAGCCTGTTACTAACCCTCTGACAGGGAGACGTGGATAGCACCAGGCAAAAGCAGCCCTGTGGTCCCAGACAAGCAAAGGAGAAAACAAGAAGTGTCTCCTCTGCACATGGCAGAGGTCTCAAAGCTACCAGAGGCAGGGTTACCCACGGCATTGTTCAGAGGTAAAAAGGGGTTTAAAAATCCAGACACAAGAAATTATGTAAGAAACAGGAGGGGTAAAAGCTGCTCTCTCAGCCTCATGCCCATGTTGACTGTCCAAATGTCAAGCTGCCAGTGAAGCTGCTTGCTTAGGGAAAACCCCACTCCTTCAGTTTACAAAGAACTCTGTAGTCTCTCTCCTCTGTCCTGCTGCTCACACTGATGAAACCTGCAGGAACTTCACGCATGAGAGAGCTCTACATTCAAGTAAAGCTTTGTGAAAACTGCCTGAGGGAGGATGTGCTGACAGGGAGGTTACGGAGGGCCTCATTTCCTTAGGAAAGCAGGCTAAAAAGCCAGCTCCAAGGCCTGACTGGCAAAAGCTTACACATGTGAGTGATAAAACTGGGCTCTGAACCAACTGAAACGTGAATGCACATGCTGGAGAACTGCAGAGGGTAACATGCTTCCTCAGGCCCACCTCCAAATGGCATTAAAGGCAGGAGTCCTCCTTGTGCTTTTAACTGGTGGTGGGTGAAGCCCCATGCCTCCATCTCCCACCAGTGCCTTAACTATGTGACATCACGCTGGCTTGGGTGAGTTGCCTGTAGTTGAATTAAGGATTGCCATGCAGTGTATTACACACACTGGACTTGCAAAGGAAGAGTATCTAACCACAGAGCCGCTCTCCCCAGCATCCCGAAGCTTGTGTACTGCATGCCAGCCAGCATTCAAAGCAGAGCTATGCGAGGCTGATGGGCACTCTGGGAATGCTGTGCTTTTGTCTGTTTCTCAGGAGGAGCTCAGCGATGCAAAATCAATGATTGAAGAAATCAGTGCCAAGCAGGAGGAAATGCAACAGAAAATTGAGCAGCTGCAGCAAGAGAAGAGGCGGGAATCACGGAAAATGAAAGCTAAGTAAGGGCACGAACTCCGAAGCTCTTCAAGTGCTCATTAGCAGTGGTGTCTGTTTTGTTAATTTCCTTATAGCTTCAATGTCTTAATCTTTTCCTGGCTGGACATGTGTATCAACCCTGATTTCTACTGGAAGCCCTAGCCTGGTGGGCTCCTGATGGTGCAGACATGCTCTGCTTTCCTGTCACCAGCCTTTTCTTCTCTGAGCAGGGTCATGCAGGAGCATGTTTGCACGCTGCTGGGCCACACTGTTGCTATGATGAAGCAGTCAGCTCGTCCACCTTGGCCCTAATAAACCTCCTTCCGAAAACTGAGTTTTGATGAGCATGCAGCTGCCTCGATGACAAATCTAGGCTAGCTCCTTAGCTAATTAAGCCATTTAATTAGATGAAATATGCTTTGCAAAAGAGCAGATCTGAAATAACCTATAGCCAGTGGAAGTTACTTCCAGAACATTGTTCATAAACTACATCAAAGCCAACTCCTTTCCTGATCTCTGCTGGAGTTGTCCTACTTTTGACTCTGTGCTTATACTTACACTATTGTCTTCCACAGCTGCAACATAGGAGCTTCACCTGTAGCATTCATACTTTCCAACTGTCTCATTCTTTGTATTCATACAGAAGAGCACAGAAGGATGATCATGGGTCACAGACGGTACCTACACCTCTCCAGGGCAGCCCATTTCGATCCATTAACCTCCCAGAACCTGTGCTGATCAATGAAGATTTTACAAGTCTTTTACACAATGTGACTTATGAAAAAGGTAGGAAATAGAGCAGGCAAATTCAGTGCCTTCGGCCAGGGGAAAAAATTCAGAGAAAGGTCACTGGTGTAAGAGGACACCGAGTTTTCCTCAGGTGCGAGCAGCACATAAAGAAAACAGGGGTGCTTCTCTGCAGGACTGCTCCTGGGTCTGTGCACACACCTTAGCAGTGTGTTATGATAGCAACCTTGGTGCTGGCCCAGATTCACAAGATGCTGCTCTGTGAACACTGTCCCAAAATATTCCTTGCTTGCCTCCTCCAAGAAAATGGAAGCAGGCTGGACCTTCCCTGTAATGCTAGTGGCATGGACACTGAGCCAAGTAGGAGCCCCTGATAAAAATCCTACAATCCATGGATTTGTTTCCATGTAAGGGAGCAGAGCACAGAAAGGAGGATCACAGAGACTGGGCTGACATTTAAAGTCAGCAAAGGCAGAGATTGGATGAAAATCATGTGCGGTTTTCTGCTCTGTTCTGCTCAGAATCTGGCCCCCCTCTGCCCTACTCTGAGGTCCTATGTTAGCCCTCTCCCTGATATCCCTCTTGCACATCCACATCTTGCACATCTCTCACCCACTTCTCCCACTGCCTGCTTCTTTCCAGTCATCTCACCCCTCCACTCTTCAGTAAGCTCTTTTCCACCCAAAATGGCAGCTGTGCCTCTGTGTCAGGCCTCCATCCTCTCGTTCTGCCTGCTAGGTGCCTCTACCCAACACATATCTACGGAGCAAGGATGAGCCAAGACTGCTCATGTTCCTCTGCAGTCATATAGCACCAAGCACAACAGGGACCCTACATTAGCCTGCCTGCAGGTGCTACTGAAACAAAGACCACAACAAGAGCCACAACGGTAAAGATCCTCCTTAGCAGAGCATCTAACAGGGGGGTTTGAATAGCAAAAATGTGAAAGACTGGAGGATCTAACCCTAGTGGCTAGGCTTGGGAGGAGGAAGCCTGCTCTACAGTTGCCTTCTCCTGTAAAGTTTCTCTTCATTCTTCAACAGTGTCTGACACCAGGATCATGCCAATGGGAGAAGGAAGCGTGAAAGTCGTAGGAGGCCCAGGTAGGAAAACCTTGAACTGTCAAAACCCAGCAGGGCAATGATTCAGCGAGGGTGCTTGCTTCACTGCACAGAAGAAATGCTTTCAGGGAATGCATTTCAGAGGAATGTCTTTCACTTTGCCATGTGCCTTCATTTTCATGCTTGCAGTTGAAAAGGAGAGCAAACCTGAGTCCTGAAGTGCCAAATACTTGACAGAAGACACAAATGATCGCTATTTGGCAGGAAAAGCCTTTCTGCTGCTTATTTCGCATGTTCTAAGTGCTTTTGCAGAAAGGAAGAATTGAGGCTTACCAATGTGGCAAAGAATAACAAGTGTGCCATTTTGTCACTTGGGAAGAGATGATTTCTGCAGTGACTACACACCCGGTAGAACTGGTGAGGTGTTTGTTCACACACCAGCTTCCAGATTCCTTTTAGGCATCTGAATGGTAACAGAGGAGTTTTTCTGGCAAAAATAAGAATTGTTCAGAACTAAGAGAAGGGTGTAGTAAGGGGACACTAAGGATCCTGGCCAGCAAAAGGACATATGAGAACAACCATTGCAGGTTTGCACTATTCACCAGAAGCATTCAGTGTTCTGGATGGCTCTTTTGCTGGAATCCACTTGAAAATAAAGAGAACAATGGTTTATTGCAACCCAAATTAAAAGCATTTGCATTAAAGCAATTCCAGCCCTAATGCACCTGCACACCCCCCCCACACACACACTTTCTCTGTGATTTAATAGCCTCAGACTGAGTCCTGCTGCTGCTGTATAATCACATCACACTAAAAAAATTTTAAGAGCCATGCCAGTTTACATCAGTAAGAATGGCATTTAGATCCAAATTATAATAATACTTCCTATTTCTACAATACCTGCCATATTATCAAGTCCTGAAGTATCCCAAAACCCTGAAGTGCAACCATACTTGGAATATATGCTTTTTTTTTTCTAAACACATCTGATTTTGTACCTTATTTGGCCTGAAAATAAATGCTGGAAGAGTGCAAACCTTGTTCTGCCAAAGTGCTTGCCAACTGCACTTCTGTTTGTAAATTAACAATAGAGTGCTATAGCCCCTGTGAAGCACAGAGGATGCTTCTAACTCTCCTTCCAGTACTTCACATGGCTGATAATGCAGCTTAGCTGCTTGCTGTAGCATAACCTGTTAGCTGAGATGTCAAGATCCATTTAGTTGCTTGTCATGGCAGGAGCACCCATAGAGACAGATGACAGCCTGAAGCCATCTTTGACAACAGAGGGGCAGCCAAAAGTACATCTGCCATCAACAGTGTGGAAGCAGCCCAAGGACACCAAGGACTGGGGAGATGAATACATTTCAAAAGAGCAACCAGAGAGAGGGAAAGACATGGGCCAAAGCAGATACAGCTCAGCTGACAACATTATATGTGAACCCTCTTTGGCTGGTAAGGACAGAGTGGAAAACTCGGGATAGAGAGGCTCAAATTCACATCTGGTGTGAGCTGGTCAGTAATCAGCTTGTACAGAGGGAGACACACAAGCCAGTTTCTCCTGCTAGGGGGGAATTTCTCAGGGCCTCAGTCTCTAAGACTTCTGGCCTTTGTATTTACTGGTCTGCGCTGTTGACAGAATTGCTCTGCACTCAGGACATCCATTCTTCTTTTCAGGACTTGGCAGGTTTGGAGTAGTGATAGGATTGTGACAGTGCAGTTGCTGAAGTGGGTGAAAAATACAACTTCTCATTGTGCATGAAACTGGATGTGAATCCCCAGTATGATTTGCTTTACCTTTGATTGCTTGTTTTGTTTTTCTTCAAAAAATTGGTATTCACAGGGGAAAACACATTTGCTTTGGAGCTTTCTTAGCAAACCGTGCCTCCAAGTCACGTCTGGGGCATGCTGTAGCATCAGGCTAGAATTTTGTATTTTGGGGAAAATAAACACACAAAGACAAGACATTGGTATCACTTTTTCTACTTTCATGATTTAATGTCAGATCACAGGTCTAACATGAGGCTGTCCTTGAGGTCAGCATTTCCTTATTATTAAACTTAACTATTATCTTCTGGAAGTCAAAAGGCAGAACATCGCTTTGGAGCTGCTGGAGTCAGAAAGGAAATATGTCATCAACCTTTCCCTAATCCTGAAGATCAAGGCCACGTTGCAAGGCCCAGATGTGAAAAGGAGCACCAAAGAGAGAAGGTATTTGATTTAGTGTGCTCTCTCTTTTGAGTATTTTTTTCAGTGAACATTCTTTCTGCATCATACTCTCTCCCACTTTTCTTTCATCTTTGAACACTTAGAGCTTATTTCTAGTTGAAAACTGCAGGTACTGGAAGTTTTTACTGTGATTAGACTTTTCTGCCCATCCTTGCATTCTGTCTACCTCGCATCTCAAATCATTTCACTACTACTTCATTTCAGTCTCCTTCAGAGTCCCATCAGTCTCCTATACTTTCACATGCCTCCCACATCCAAAGAGTCATTTGACAGAAGTCCACTGTGGGACGTGTTTTACATGGGTTGATGTAGGCTTGTTTAAGCGGTTAGGTGACACATACATTTCAAACTGAAACATGATAGTCTGAAGTGAGTTTTTGTTTTCACTCTTTTTCCCTGGAACCTTTCCATCTGGCAAAATATTTTGATATTTGACATCTTCATTCTGATTCTCAATGAAATCAGCATGAAATGACAGCAAGGCAGTAGCTCTACATCAAAGGGTTGGCTTTGACAGGCCTGACAAATGAAACAACATGCAAAGCTGTGGAGCTCTCCTCCTAGCACTGTATGGGATGGCTCAGGACCATGTTCCAGCTGCCACAGCAGCATGGCCTTGGACTTTTTAGTTCTACAAATTCTGGTCACCTACACAATGCACTAGAGAGTCAGCCTAAGAAACCTTCAAAACACTGTAATAACAGCCCACTGGAGAGGTTACCTGCATGTATGTAGCAGCCAAAACAGGGCTTCCTGGTGCAGCTGGGACTCCAACAAAAGCAGTTAAAAATACCTGTGTTTGAAGCACCCATGAATGCACGTTTCAGCAGTACACGCTTAGGGCTGAGCTTTTGCTCTGTGTAACCAGTCTGATACAGTCTCCCTTCAGTTTCTTCCCCAACTCTTTGCGGTACCTGGTCCAGCAGCATGTCGACCTACTTCACGCTCTGCAGGAGCGAGTCCTGAGCTGGCCACGACAAGGAATTCTAGGAGACATCTTCCTGAAATTAACAAATGACGAGGTATGTTACAGACCTCTATGGAGTCTTCTGCTATGTATCATGGTGGGGTGCTGATGGCCCAAGATACCTTGCAGCAGGGGGGCTGTGCTGTGAAGCCATGGCTAGACTAAGACCTTTCAGCCTCCTTTGAGCATAGTCTCAGTGCATGGCAGTCCCTCTGTTGGACCACTTAGTTGGTCAGGGAGTCCCCATGCCAGATTCACCTGTGGGCATGCAGCCACATAGAACAGCCCTATAATAATTGCAGAAGACCTAGACTTGGTTGCAAGAGCTACATAGGAGCCTGTACAGCTCAGATGTCTCTATTTACAATAACAGTGTGAAAAGAGTGTGTTTCTTATGCTTCTCTTGCTTAATACTTTGCTCACAGTTATGACAAGTGGGTGGGCAGGCCCCTTATCCTATATAGTTTCTAGCCCAAGTAAAAAAGTACCTGCTTCTCAGGGTGAAGGTCTATCCAAGCCCTGGCAAGCAGTGGGACCTCTCCTGGAAGGGTGTGTAAAAACTTATCTAATGCTTTATAAATGTTAAGAGTCTTAAGGAAAGCTTCTTGCTCCCCAGTCTCTGTACCTCTCCCATCTCCTATAAATCTTTACAAACTATGCTCAACAGCTGAGTTAGTTTTATCAAACAGCCTTTCTTGAGAAAGCCCCTAGCTCTGAAAGCTTCACGCAGTTAGCGTGATGAGCTCCCAGGAGTAATAGTGAAGGACCAACAGTTCCACGTTCTGCCTGGCTCCATGACCAAAAAGGTCTCTTAGCTTTCCTTGTTCTTTTCTTTCTTTCTGTAAGAATAACTTCTTGGACTACTACGTTGCTTACCTGAGGGACCTGCCAGAATGCATCTCTCTGATCCATGTGGTGATCCTGAAGGAGGTAAACTTCCTGACTGCTTCACAGACACATAATGGCAACATGCAAGCCTGGATCTCTTCATGTTATGCCGCCCACAAAACAGCTCTTCTGCCAATCCACTTGTTCTGTTACTAAATGACAGTTTCCTCAAGGTTGCCATGCACCTACAATAGGAAGTTTTAACGTGCTCATTACTGTGCGTAACCAAAGATGGTTTTGCTGTCACATGACATGTCACAAATCAAACCTCCCAGAAAGCTTGTCTGTACACACGCTACGCTACCCCAGTCACTGTCTCCTGGAAAATGGAGGACTCATCCAAACAGGGAGACCAAGAGTGAGGCTGTTAAGTGCCTTAGAGACAAAACAGCCTCTGCTGTTCAGATTCAGTATCTGGTCTCACACCCTTGATTCTTAGTTAAAATCAGGGAAGTTAAATTTAAAGGTAGTTTTAAAGTACGATAACTAAACCACACTAAGTTGCTTCCAAGACATCCTAATTTAGAAGTCAATCAATTCAATTTTGTTCGATTTATCTGAGCCTAAACTTAAGAAATTAATTCTGAACAACAGTGTCTACCTGGAGTTCCAATGAAACTTCACTAGTGGACATTAAACATACATCCCTACTTAATTATGCTGGGGATTATCTGTGAGGAACATTCAACCTAAGGGATTTCATTCTTAGGACTAGTATTGCTGGTGGAAGGAGTTGCAAACATCCTTCCAGAAACAAGATGTATTATCACACACAACTGCCACTTGATTGGTGTGCTCCTGTGAACTGTTATAATTACTTACAGCACAACTACTCACTAAACCCCAGAACCATTTAGAAGCAGACATGTTTTATGGGTGGGAGAGACTCTAAAGTTGCTTTCTCTTTTTCAGGTAGAAGAAGAAATCAAGTCTGATCTCTACATTCTGTTCTTCCATATAGTCCAGCGAATCCCTGAATACCTTATTCATCTACAGGTAGGGCCCCAGGATGGAAACTGTCTTGTTGAACTTTTACTACTACGTGTGACTTTTAACTCAAGAGTTGGTATTCAGGCTGGTACAGGTTCAGTGCTTCTGGCTAACCCAGTAGGCTCTCTGAAAACAAAAAACTTTTGAAAGGGAAAGTCAACTGAAAGTGGCTTAATTTTCATTATTCTCACCTGAAGCTTGCTTCTATTTGACAATTTCTCCGTTTGGCCTGACAGAACCAACTTTTGTCCCCTGGGAAGTCAAAAGCTCTGCTGCCTGCTGCTGTTGAAAAGCAGGAGGCCAGAGATGGGGCACACATACTGTGAGCTCTGACCTAACTCCTGTAACAGATCTGGCTTCTTTGCTGAGTGGTCCACAGGCCTGTTAGCTGAGAGACTAAGAAGGCTAGAGGCTCCTCAGATCCAACAATCCTTCCTACAAAGAGCTTGCTCATAAAAAGAGTTCTGGTTCACAGGAGGATTATCTGAATTGCACTAACACATTTCAGACAAAGCAAGCCCTATAAAAACAGAGATCAGTTTATTCATCCATTGCTAAACTCAACCAGTGCATCACCCACACATCCCATGATAACATTTACAGTGGTTACATGTGTATACCAGGAGGCAGGCCCCATCCAAGTCCCTCAGAAACTGGCACAGCCTAGAAAAGGTCCCACCATGCTCCCACAGAGCAGTGCCATGGGCACACTCCAGAGCACTAATCCGTGGTCCCAGTAGCACCTTCTCCCCAGAAAGGGTTCAGAGACACCTTCCAAACAGCCTGCTCTCCTCTATGCCCAGAATGTCCTGAAATTCACGGACCAAGAGCATCCTGACTATTACCTGCTGCTGGTGTGTGTGCAGCGCCTCCGGGTTTTCATCTCACACTATAGTCTCCTCTTCCAATGCAATGAAGACCTCCTTATACAGAAGAGGAAAAAGCTGAAGAAGTAAGCACAACATCAGCTCATTCTCTCTATCACCAGGGAAAGGGAGGTGTCGGGGAAGCCTGACATGGAAGGGGGGAAGTGAGCAAGTGGCTGCATGGTTCTGAGTTACTGGCTGGGCTTAAACCATGACAGATAGAAATGACCCTGAATGCAGATTCTCAAGCTCTGGTTTGGAAGAGTTCCTTGAAATCAAGACTTTGGACTAAAATCAAAATCTGTTTGCTTTTGCTCCTTGTGATGATTCACTGGGGAATTAGATCAAGACTAAACTTCAAGAGAAGCTGCTGAATATGGAGGGTGATAAAGGGGTGGAGTAGACTGCTGGGGAGGGACTGCTGTCAGGAGAGGCATTAAGCAAGGACAGAGAGCAGGATGTCCTGCTGAGTGGGACAGACTAGGTGGAACAGGTTCTTCCCCTGGGTGGGAAGAGGTGAACGGGAATATTAAGGTCCCTCCCAGCCCTGTTTTCTGTGATTCTACATGCTCGTGCTCATTCCCTGCCTTATTTCTTAGCACGACGATGGATTTCTCCTCCCTCAGGTCATCCCTGGTGAAGCTGTACAAAGGTCTTACCTCCCAGTGTACGAGCCAAGAGGTTTCTCCAACACCCAGTGCGACATCTATCCGGGACAGTGGGATCCACTCAGAAGAGACAATACAGTCATTCCCACCAGCACCTTCCTCTGGCACCACAACCCCGTAAGCCTATTGTCCTAGTAGAAGGCTTTCAAAGTAGGCTGAAACCTCTCTCCTTGCCCATACTACGCCCGTGACACTAAGCAGTTACAGACTGTCATTTCTAAGATTGCTCCCTGTGGATGCATAGAGAGATGAAGGGCTGTTTCCCTCCTGCTGTCCACTACCATGTGGCTTATAAGCAGGAAACGTTTCAGAAACAACCCAGGGCTGTCATCAGTGTTCTTGCTAGCTGTCTTAACAGTGTAACCAGGGAGGACATGTATTTGTGTAGGCCTGGCAGTGATGTGCATAGTAACACTGCATTATTCACTGCCAGCATTACAAGAATTGGGAAACATGACCAAAGTCTCAGACTAGCAAAAAAAACCCCACTTTTGCACATAGCACATCACTGAATGATGTGACTCACCATCACAAGACGCAAGTACAAATGGGCTCAAAAAGACAGAAGACTAATTCAAGACAGGACTACTGGTAGCACCCAGCAATCTTTGGCCGTTTCTAGCCTACTGATATGAGATGATGATCAGAGAAGCAAGCTAGATTTGCCTTGTTTTTTTTTTAGTGTCAGCAATTTGTGGCTGTTGCACTTCCTTACATTATCTGACGCTAACAAGGAGTTTGGCTTCATGATTCTGAGTCCCCCCAAGTGGCAGTGTTATTAGATCAATCCCTAGCCTCCTTCTCACTATACTACCCAGGCCAATCTACAGCAAGAGAATGGAAGTAAAAATCCAAAATGCTGATGAACAGGAGGGGGATGGAGCAGTTGGATTCTCATCTCAGTTTCTATTCATTTCATGGTGTGCAGTACACAAATCAGCTAAAGCTACTGGATAAGCAGTTCTACCCCTGCAAGTTTGCTCCTGCTAACCCAACCAGGCAATTTCTGTTAATGGCAACTCTGTTACTGCTCTCCAAGATATGAAAATTCCTCTTAGCCTTAGAAGCAAGAGAAGGGGGGGGGCTGGGGAGAGAGACTTGTCATGCTGTCTCTCAGTCACCCTTTACCCTTCTGTTTTGTTTCTTGCTTTTAAGGCATTTGATGCCCCAGATGAAGAAACCCCAGCCAACTGTGATGGAGAACATCCAGGCTGTAAAGTCCCCTGACTGGGAAATGGAAAGTAGAAAACATGAGAGGCCAGAGAACATCCTTGCATCCTCCCAGCTCACAGAGCAGGAACTCAAGGCTTTGACAGCCCCTTTACAATCCATCCCTGAAATGGAGTATGAGGCACCGCCAGCTGATGCGGTGGGAAACACCGACAGAGCCATCAGGACCTCTGTGGAGCTGCTGCAGGATGCGAGAAACTTTGCACCAAGCTATGAAGAGTTTGACTACCCCGGGGAGGTTTTCACCCTGCCAGGACCCTATGAAGATGATGCCTTCCAAAACATCGCTCTCTTTGAGAATTGCTCCCCAGCCTCTTCCGAGTCCAGCTTAGACATTTGCTTCCTTAGGCCTGTTAACTTCACATCAGAACCAGAGAGGACAGATCATGCCTTACAGCCATTGCCTAAGAGCTGCACTCCTGTAAGCAGCAGTACTTACAAGCGTGAGATGTTCCACAGCAAAGGCAAGCAGCTGAGCAGGTCTCTGAAGGAGCTGCCAAGGAGCGCTGAGGGTGTGAGCACCAGGCTCTACAGCACACGGAGCAGCAGCGGGAGCCGGCTGCAGCAGAAGCAGGAGAGGAATGTCCAGCCTCACATGATCTCAGCCTCATCTCGAAGCTCCCAAAGGAGCTACTTCCCCCCACAGAGAGGAGCGGGTGAAAAACAGAGCTTTTTGGAAGTAAGGAGGCATAAATAGCAGGAGGAAAAAAGAAAGGCACGTGGTGATGCAGAAGCAGCAGCGGGAGAAAGATCTGAGATGCAGTTAGGGCAGAACATTCCAAAATAGCTTCCCAGTCCACATATTCAAAGTGCTCATCTGCATGTACATGCCCAAGGGAGGTACAAGAGAGCTCCTTTTCACACATCTTCCCCAGGGACAGGTGTGGGCTTGAGGCACACAGCTGGCTGAGTGACAGCTAGAACCTTGGGACAAGCTAGCCTCTCATGTGTCTCTAGCTGTCACTGAGCTTCCCCCACAAGGAAATCCTGTGTCTGATCAGGGTCACTATGTACGTGCAAAGCTGTTTGAAATTAGCGCTATAGGGGGGCACCCAGTTATAAAGGTGCCTTTCTATTTTCTGTGAGGAGTGCTGGGTTAAGAAAAGCAATGGATTTAGTATCAGATCCTCAGCCAGTGTAAACCAGCATGACTTGGACAAACTCAGCCTTTACACCAGAAAGGATCTGGTCCATGGGTTTCGTTTCACCTGTGTCTGTTGCATGGATCACAGACCCTTGCTAAAACCTGTGTGAAAACAGAAAGACCCCAGCGATAGTGTCTCTTAGATGGGACATGGCAGGTGGCACTCTTGCCCTCCAGGGACACAACACCTTGCAGAAAGTGTTTCTGTAGCCTGCAGTGCCTGTTCAGAGTCAGCTTTGAGCTGTCACAGTTGGGGGGAAGATGCCTTTCATACTTCCTGTGGAAGAGGCTTAGGGTGCTGTGAGGCGCTTTGCTGGTTCTCCGTATTGTGTAGAGAAACAGCCTTCTGTTAAATGAGGCCAGGCGCGGGTGAGGCTGTAGATGCAGGTGATGATGGGAGGATGGTTCCAACAGCCTGACTGAGAAGACAGCAAAGAAACATTGAAAAACAAGAGGAAAAAGCCTACTGAATGAAACAGGTGGTGGATGGCTGAGCAAGGGAGATGAGTTAGAAGGATAAATGCCATGGGGATATAGCCCGTGTCCCCCCATCCATTCCCCTGTCCATGTCCATCCTTTCCCTAAAAAAGGAGCCTGTGAGCTCTGTGGCATTCACCTGCACAGTGCTATGGTCCACAGCAGGGCGCAGATGTGGAGCTAATCCAGGACTGTAGGACATGTTCTCCCCATAGAGCGAAGGAGATCACCATGGCAGTGGTAGGCAGAACTGGAGAAAAGGGACCTGTCCAGAGCCTTGCTGAGAGGGACTCAGCAAGGGGGAGAGATCTTTCAGTGGCACATTCACCGCAAGGTGTGTGTGCTAATGAAGCCTTCTGCCCCACAGATATATAACCAGGCAGCAGCAGAGCAAACAGAAGTCTTTCACAACATAGCAGCTCAAGAAGCCTGAAGCCTCCCTGCCCTAGGGTAAACAGCAAGGAAAGGGTGGGAAGTTCCTTCAACTGCCCATGCTGCCCTGTTCCCTTGTTGGCAAAAGGGGCTAGTAAGCTCCCCGTAAACAGAAAACTTAGGAAGGAAGGCTACAGTTCCCTCTAACAATGCTTATCTTTCCAGTCCTCTGCCGCAGCCTCAGGGCCAGCAACAAGCTCTCTGCAAAGGTATCAGTGCTGCCAGAGGCCTGAGTGACCTGTTATCTCCCAGCCTTGCCAGCACCTCCTCACCCACCAGGTCCCTCCTAGCACAGAGAGAAAGAGAGAAGGGGACAAAGATGTGAGGTTGCAAATGCTGGTTAAATTGTCTTTTCCCTTTTAGGAGCTCCATGCAGAAGACAACACCAGGTTCTGCCAGAAGGATGACAATGAGCAAACATCCTTCAGCGACCACAACCCACGGCACGAGCCCAAGGGGGGTTTCCGGAGCTCCTTCCGCAAGCTCTTCAAAAAGAAATAAGCAGCCCCAGGAAAGGCAGGCCACAGCCTAAGTGCAACAGTGCTTCCCCAGGTCCCCGAGGGTGGAGGCAGACAGCAAGGCCCCAAGTACCCCTTTGCTAACACAGTAGGTGGAGGGGTGGGGGAGAGAAGACTGTCACAATTGCCTTACAAATGCATCCCTGCTCTTAGCACAGGGCAGGGCCAGGCTATGGGTTGAAGTGTAGCTCAGCCAGCAGGTCCAGTAAGCACAGGAACTTGCTAGCCTTCACCCCTGCCTGACTGAACTTTCCTCAGAAAGTTTTGGAAAGCTTTGGCCAAATCCCTGTATCTTCTTCTCCCCCTCATCCCCCAACGCTGCTTGATTTGCCATCCGTCTCTTCCAAATTCAAGCCAGGTCTAATTTGGGCTCACCCCACAATAGCAGGGTTACCTCTGCAGCCTTGGCATCCTGCCCAGAAGCCTGAAATCCCTTCTTTTCTCCACTTTCATTCCCCCCCCCAAAAAAAACCCAACCAACAACCAACCCACCCCAACCAACCACCCAACCCACCACTAAAGATGTCTTCCAGGATGGCAGCTCACATTACCCTGCTGTTTGAGAAGGTCTAAGCGGAAGCACCTTGGCTTTGTACTGCTTAACCAGCAGCATCCTTTCTTTCGGACTTTTATTACTCCCCAAAATCCTCCTTCACCTTTTACGGTGTTAATTAATTGCCTCCTGCTGTATGAACCTCTGCTCCTGCTGTCGGAATCGCCTCTGTCTCCAGGCAGGTGATGCAGGCTGAGCCCAGGGTCTGCCACAAGAGATGAAGACTCTTCTCCACCCTACCCCCACTGTGGATTGATGCAGATACTGACAGTCAACCAGTATCCTGGCTCCTGGTCTGTAATACACCTGAAATACTCCTTTGCTAACTCTCTTTGGCCTGACATCACCTTACAAGACCCATCACGTGCAGCACCCTGCTTTGGAGCAATACTTCTAACTAAAACTGAGGCACTAGGGCAAGGAAATCAAAGGTGCCCCACGTGCAAAGTCACAAGCTCTTCTTCCTGTGCAAAGATCATCTTCCTCCCACAAGGCCAAATGCCACCCTCATCACATCTCAACACGGCAAACCCTCAGCGCCATGCTCTGCAGAAGACTATAGCTTTTGTTAAAAACAAAGTATGAAGACAAATACAGCCATCTGGCACGATATCCATGTCACACCCCAGCAGCAAGAGCACCACTGGCACAGGACTGTGGCGTTAGCTGAAGCTGAGGCATGCTAAGGGCAGTCTCAAGAGGAAATGTGGTTTCATCACCTTATCTTGGCAGGGTTGGGGCACTAGTCATATCAAACAGCTTCACCTGAAGAGGTTGTGAACTGTCTCTGTGGGGCCAAGAGCAATGTCTCAGGGGAAATATGCAAGACTGAGATTAGGGGCTTGGGACTCCAACAGCAGTGCAAGGGTGACTGAATCTGGTGACAAGGGAAGAGCACCCATCGTGCTGCATGGCTCTCCTGGCAGTGGGAGCGCTATGGGGATGTCCTTGGCTACAGTGGCTAACACCCACTGCAGATGCAGGGCCTACAGCTTTCCCGCAGTGTTGACTGATGTGCAACTATTACCTGCTTTCCCCCCCTGGTGGAGGTGAAGAAGTGTGTGTGAAAAGGGTTATCCCACCTAAACCAGACAACCCCCATGCTTTCTCCCAACGTTCCAAGGAAGTGACCAAGAAAACCTCAGAAATTAAAATGTTTTAGCTGACACCTGCCCCACAAAATTTACTGGACCCAAAATGGTTTCCAAAAATCCACTTCTCCTTACAAAGAGGAAAAAAGGATCACACAGCCCCCTTCCCCCAGCTTTTGCAAACTATTCTGGGAGGTTTTGTTTTTTTTTAATTTAAGGTTTTTAATGACAAAAACCAACTTTCAAGTCTTTCTCTCTTCCTCACATCCTCACTGAGTAACAAATTCCCCAGGCCTTTCCAGTCAGGACCACTCCACACTGACCAGCCACATCACAAAGACACTCCCTAGGACTTTGCAGCTTTCACTCACAGTGCAGGGCCGGAACAAAAATATGCAAGAAGAGGCAGATACTTGTAACCAAAGCATCAGCAAAGCCTGTTTGTCTGCAAAAGAATAGGCCTTAGACAAACGTTATTTCTTTGTCCATGGAACCAGAGTTAATATGGAAGAGTTTCCACTGTAATGCATCGATGCAGTCAAGGGCTCTGATCCCTGTGTCTTTGGTCTCGTATATAACGACACTTATTCATAGAATAAATTTGCTCCTTACACTTGTCAGGCAGATGCCAAAACAGAAAGAGGGCAAAGGGGGAAACCTACCTGCTAACATGTCCTGGGTGAGGAAATCCTTCCAAAGTGGCAGACCTTTGCTTATAAAATGCCGTGGATTTTAGCTTCTGTTTTAGTGATTTAAGGCATGGTCAGAATTGATGGTTCTTTCTTTCTGATCCTGTATGAATTCTTACTTCCAGGCCTATACTTACCATTTGAGATGTCCTTGTACCTGCTCAGAATCTGCAAATGTAAATAAAATGAATGAATGATGCTTAGCACCACATAAAAATACACCTCTTGCAGGATCTGATTCAACTCCACCTTTAGTGTATGTGTGTGCTCTGGATTATTTTTCTTCCTGTGCCAAATAAATGTTGCTTTTAAATAACACTATTGTCTCTTTTGCACTGAATCAGCCATAAGGTTTCATCCATCCAAAGAAGAAACACATTTCTCAGGTCCCTTTCTGAGGCAACATTACTTACAAAATCCTGTTCCCCTGCACACAGTCATGTCAGAAGACTGTTTCCATACACTTGGTTCCAAGACTCTTACCCAGCACTCAGCTGATTCACTCCCTAGGTTTCTCATCAAGGTCATACTGTTGAAGCTCCCTGTTGTACTTCTTCAGCTCCTTCCTCCACCTCCTTTACTCCTTCTGCTGCTTGTTACAGACACGAGCTTTCACAAAAAAAGCCCACGAGCACACACACCACTGTAACTTCAACTATCCAGCTCTCTAAGGGATCTTAATATCTTCCAGTGTATCACAAGCATCTGTCACATACCAAGTTTTTACAAAAATTTAATTCCAGTTCTTACCATCAACACTATCTTACCTTTGCCACATTCTCAGCAGGTTCAAAGCAATGACACCACAAACAGGGACAACTCAGCTCATAGTGCTCACACCTCCCCATGCCACGCAGCACCTGCAAGCGTGTTAGCATTCCTCCTAGTGCTCCACAGCATTGTGTCACTTGAGGACAGCGGTCTGTTTTTCCTGTTTGCAGTTGAGTCAACACCATGATCTGTGCACTGTGACTGACCTGTTCTGGTGGGCTCCAAAGCACATTCAAGTTACGTTCTTCAATGTGACCATTATCACCAGTTGTATCACACCAATAACGCACTTTTATTCTCAACCACAAAGATGTGAAACATCATTCCCCATTTCACAAAGGGAAATGGAGACTTGCTGACATTCATGAAATCTGATTAGCAGGATCCATGTGAGGCCTCTCCTCTTAGCTGAGCAACCTAACCACTGGATCATTCCTTCTGCCTGCTCTGCCTCAGCTCCAAGCACAGACAAAGAGTATGCAGAAGACAGTTCAAAAAGTCTAAATTTAACGAGTTTTCCCTGGTAACACACTGATGAGCTAATAATTTGGGTAATGTTGCCAACAGTTTGCCCATCATGGTGTTTATATCCAAAGAACAATAACCTGAACTATGGCTCCCTGTAGCTTGAGGGTTTTTACAAAGCTCCCATATGATGCTTTCCTCTGAAGCCAAAATTTAAAGATCTTCGTTTGTTCTTCTTTTTGCCAGGAAAATGTTTCAAAACTACGTTGTTAAAGACATCAAAGAAGGAATACAACTGACATTGTTAAATTTCAACATTTAAAATTGCCATTCTTGTTGAAATCAGAACACCTGAAATTTAATGACCACACTAAAGGATCAAGGGGCACTGCAGAAAGCATTAACAAAGGCGATTTCCATCATTGTTTAACTAACACCATCTCTAGCGATACAGCTTTCTAGGATGCTGAAATGTATTCTTCTTCCAAAGAGGAAATGTGATAGAATTTTACTTTGGCCCATGAGCCGTATTAACTGAAGACGAGACACTTTACACTTCACATACATACTGTAGTGGAGATTATAGAGCTTCTTTTCTTCAATAACTGCCATGCATTACTGTCACAGTATTTTCTAGAGTTGAAGAGCAGTACACAGGTTTATGGATAATCCATGTCATGATATTTATACCAGTACATGTTCCGTCATGTATATTTTGGACACAGAAACCTTCTGTAAAGATTAATATACGTTCAAATTTTTCTAACAGGTGTCATACAGGAAGTGTGGGAAGCTTTATAATGTATAATAATTCACTTTGGGAGTAACCCAGCTTCTCAAATATTACTGAATTATTACTCTGTAACACATGCCAGAACTCACTTCTCTTTAGAGGCTGATTACTAAAATACATACACTGAACTACACAACATGTGCTTTTGTCCCTTTCACTGCTTAACTGAAAACCTGATTTGCTCGTTTGCCTGTGTAATAATTTAAAGTATGTCAGCTGAACATATCTGTATCTTTATTTCAATTAAATTAAAAACAATTTGCAAGTATATTTATGCAACGTTCACTATATACACATGATTTATGCAACTGCAAGGCAATCCTATGTATGCTGATTAATCTATTGTTAGTAAAACATGACAATAGCTATGGAAGTTGACAAGTGAGTGCTCCTTTTCACAAGTGACTGTTTTCATGGCGTGACTGAAAAAGAGCAGCTACTAGCCATGAAATGGATTATCAGTAAACCTTAAAAGGAACGTGACATAACCTAGCAGAGATTAACAGTCTTCTAAATGTAGTAGTATATTTACTTCGGATGATAGTGCTGCTTCTTAAAAGAAAACTTGCTGTCATCTTAATGATGTAAGACTTTCATCTGCTCTATCTAAAGAAAGCAATAATTAGACATTATGCTTCCTGGCAAAAATTTATTTTTGAACTGGCACCATAGTATTTCAGAAAATAATAATAAAGTACCTCTTTGGTGAAGCCTAGGTACCCCCTACTGCTCATTGTAACAACTTGTAAACAGGACCGCAATACAGTGCTTCGCCTTAATTCTAGCTCGGTTAGGTACCACAGATCTTCCTCACAGTCCTTCTCATAATTTTAGGAAGGTATTTTAAAGCAGGGAGTAAAGCAAAGGAAGATTAAGAAGGATATAAAGTTCCCTGTTTGAGATTTAAAAAAAGTGCATAATGTTTTAATTCCAAAAACTGTGCCACTGTATGGAACTGATGGATACAAGACTGTTTTCCTTCCTGTACTGGACATTATTGATCATTACACAAACACAGTCTCTGCTCATTGGCCAAAGAAGTCTCTCAAGTCTGTTTTCTGGTACAATCAGTTGTCCAATTACTTTAGAACAATGTCCCGCATACTAAACCAAGAAGTTGTGTACATGTACAAGTTAACCATTTTTTTTTCCCACTAGAATGTCTGGTTTTGCAATTCCATTTCTGTACACTGCATTTCCAATCTATTGGAGAGTTTTTAGTGTTTGGCATACACATCCCAACTCCTTGGCACCACCAGGTCCAGTGCATCCATTGCCAGCAACAGACGTAGCACCAGGAAAACGCGACTCCCAGTGCAAGGGATAGTTCAGGAGGAGTGGGCATTCTCCAGCAACGGTGGTCCGTCTCGATGCATCGATGGGTGTGTGTGCTCCCTTTTGTAAGTTTTTGGAGGAAGCTTTGGGATATGTTGAGAAGTGCTTTGTCGTGGAGGAACAGGTGGTCCAGCAACAGGATGGAGGTCCACATCTTGCGGTATCAAAGGTGGTGATGGAAGATGCCTCCGTGCTACATGTGGAGAAGGTGTCTGAGGGGGAGGGGGAGTAAACGGAGAAGGACTGTTTGGGAAAAAAGTGTTACCAAGTTCGCTTTTTCTGCCCAGTGGTGGAGGTTGGAGGTGTAGTGGTGAGCTAGAGAAAACATCTGGAGTTCGCACAGGTTCTCGTGGTGGTAACACAGGAGGGCTTTCAGGGGGGTCAGAGATGCAGGTCCGATCAGGCACTGAGTACCTTGGTGAATACACTTTAGAGGTTGGTTGCCTAGGAGGGATTGCTGGTGGGCTGTCCAGGTGCACAGAAGTTATCTGAGGTACACAAACAATTCATTCAATACAATTTTAGAGTGGTGGCAAAGAACAGGGCACTGCTGTGAAATGGAAGCAGAGTCTGCCCTGTAGATTGCTCTTATCCAGTTAAAGACGTGGCACAGCAAGCAGGTGCAGAATGAAGATGGGGAGTATGGATACAAAAGGAGTGGCAGTGCCCTAAAAACGTGTTTCTCAGGCTGATGTGGAGAGAAAATACACTGGATGCGCAGGGGGAGAGCAGGCATATATCAACACATGAGTTAACAGCCAAGGATGGGAGGAATCAAGATGCACAGAGAGGGACAAAGGCAAGGCAAAGAATGGTCAATGCAACAATTTTTAAGCTAGAAAATGAAGAAAAGGGAGAGGCAGATGATGCTGAACAGGGAAAAAAGCAAAAAACTATGCTGAGAAGATGGAATTAAGCAGTCAGAATTACTGAAGGAAACAGCTCCCAGGCTGCAGACCACAGCAAGAGGGTAACTGGTCTCCAACACACTATCACGTACATAATGTTTTGAGTTGCATTTTGGTAGGAACATGATGTGTTAAACTCTGCTGAGTGACAGCAGAGTCACCTGTAGTCTGAAAACAGCAACTTACTGGAGCCATGGAATCATAGAATAGTTAGGGTTGGAAAGGACCTTAAGATCATCAAGTTCCAACCCCCCTGCCATGGGCAGGGACACCTCACACTAAACCATGTCACTCTGTCCAACCTGGCCTTGAACACTGCCAGGGATGGAGCATTCACAACTTCCTTGGGCAACCCATTCCAGTGCCTCACCACCCTTACAGTAAAGAACTTCTTCCTTATATCCAATCTAAAAGCTTAAATGGCTTATATCCAAGCCATATACAAGCCCTCTTCAAAGGCATACATGCTCCAAAGTAATTTTGAATGGGATTTTCAAATCCACTTAATTTCCACTCAAAGTCACAAACCAGCTCCACTGAAATCAAGCGACATTTAACACTGTCTGCAACAAAAGCTGGACCAGATCCCAAATGCCAGACAAATGCAAGAGGAATATGCAGCAATGACTCAAGCAGGCAGGCAGACAAGACAGGTAATCAAGAGCACAAAGACATCACTAGGCATGACAGCATCAGGGTCAAATATTCTAATGAGCCTTTTCAGGGACGGCGGTGTGTACATTACTTTCCATCATTACTACTCTTCAGTTCTTTACCCCCAGTTATACACCCCAAAATGATACTCTGGGACAATTATCAGGAAGCATCTGCCTGAAGCCTCAAGTTCTCACAGGCAATGTAAGAGCCTGAGCATAGCGACTCGGTAGACAACAACAGGCACTTCTAACCCTAAATTCAGGTCCTATCTGTAAGTTTTTATTCATTCTGGGATCAGGACATAGTAAGGCAGAGCTCTGAAGGCTTCAAATCTGAAATACATGACTTCTTACTTTTTCACATACAGTTCTTTAAAAATACACGTACTATCATCAAGAGATACTTTTCTATCACATCCTGCCCTCAGCTCCCAGAAAAAAAAACCTTTTTTCTCCTTACTTACTTTTGATGGGGAGGATTCAGCTGGGGCAGACTCTGGTCGTCTTCGTGGAGGAACTGGAGGAGGGACATGAGCTTCATCTGAATTTTTGGTGAAGTTTATGGATGACACAGAAGCAGATCCTATTGGACATAAAAAAATCATCCTGATCATGACAAACTTTTGTTCAACTCAGTATAGTTCTTTTACTGCTGCCAAAAAAGGTGTCATAAATAAGAAAGCAATTGCTCATACAACCCAGCATGAATCAAGAAGGTATTAAAGACAGACAACAAAACAACCTTCTAACTTGCAGCTTCCAAACTGCCAGAGTTGCAATCATCTCTGTGACCTATTCCTGCACATTCGTAAGTAATCCTTGAGACTAAAAGCACACCACAAAGTTGTTCTTGTATCCCAACAGCACCAAAACAATACCCTGAACCTGCAGTCGATGGGCCAATCCAACAGTGAAGAAATATCTTTTCCTGAAGTATTCCAGAGACCTGGCTTGGACACTCAACAATGTCACTGCTCTAAGCAACTTCTACTTTTAGCAAGTCATTTCACCTCCTTGTGGTAGCCAGCTGAACACAGGACTGAACTTGTAACTCCTTTGAAAGCATAGATGAAAGGAGTCTATGTTCATTATTAATGAAAAGCACATCATAAAATACGAGCTTCCTTGTATATTAGTGAAGGGAGAAGAAATAGGTGTGGATGGGCACTGATCGATTTAAAGCAGGGAAATACTGATTATAAGTTCTGCAGGAAAACCATCCGTGTGCACTGAAACCAATTCAGAATGGCAGACAGCAGAATAAGGCACCCACAAAACATTATTTTTTATTCTCATTGCTCACCATCAAACAGATGATACTCACCACATATAGAAACAAACGTGTGGGATTTGGTGGAGACATATACAGGCACTAGGGATGTATCTGCCTTCTGTTGTGACAAGTTTCTCCACAGACATGTAACACTCCCTATGTAACATGCCCAGTTCTGCTGAGTTTCTCCTCTTACAATAAAAACTTATTAGAAAAGGAATAAAACACACTGAAAGGTTTTACTACCACAAGGAGACAAAAGCAACTATTTCTATAGTCACTTTAGAAGACTAAACATGATTCACCTGTTTAACACCACAAAATCTAATACACACGTTCCTGGTAGACCATCTATGAGCACCTACTTGCATGAAAAGGACTTGAAGGATCCGAGTCAAACACGCTGCAGGCATCTGTAGTACTCGAAGTAGCAGAAGCAGGGGGAGGAGTCAAAGGTGTTCGAGGAGAGTTTGGTGCAGATGCTGTTGCTTCAGTCTCGCTCTCTGGGATGCGGCTGTAACTGATTTTCCGTGGCTCCTGTTGCAGGGGTGTAGGATGTCTCATGGTACCAGGCCTTGGATTAGAGGGGCGAACACCTGGGGACTTGAGAGGATAGCTATATTTTTTGGGCTGAAATGACAAAAAAGGATAGTATTAAACATAATCAAAAGGCCACAAGATCACCTAAATGTAGCTTCGTATTTAAGAAGAGATCTAACATGACTTCTGCTATCTGTGAAAGACATACGTAAGCAGGTTTTGAAATACATAAATTGAATACTAACAAATCTTGGTGGAGGCTTGACATTTCGTGGCTCTATCTCCAGTGACTTGTTGAACAGGTAATCTGTAAATTCCGTCTCTATGCTGTTTCCCATTGGATTCAGGTTTTCAAAAAATCTCTGAAATACAAGAAGGTAGAGAACTTGTCAGCTAAGCTACTTCTTAGTGGCTTATTACTGTTTGTTTCTACTGCAGAAATGATACAAACTATTCCAGAGAAGAGAGAAAATGCTGGAGTCAGAAGTAATGACAGATTTTTAAGTTATTAAATCTGTTTGTTGCCAGTGCTATCAGGTAAACCTGGAAACGTAAAGGCAGGGTAGCAAAGGAGGAATAAGACAACTGGGCTCACTGGACAAATAAACCCAATCGAGTGAAGGACAGTGAGAATCTGGCAGTTTCTGTTCCTGTTTAACGCTGATCAGTAAGAAGAGTTATCTACATCCCAATAGCTAAAGGAAAGCAAAACAAAACTCCAACAAAACTAACCAAAGTGCAAGCACTGAGCTTTCTGCCCTTCCTTACAGTGAGACCCAAGAGAGATTTTATGACAGGACTTCACCTCATCTCTGATTCAGTCTGATGTGAATTCAGTCTACCCTTATGGTCTATCAGCTGTCAAGAGTCACCAGAGAAGTAGCTCAGTGCAAGGACTCAAGGAAATAATGCCACTTACCCTGATGTCAAATTCCACTCTTAAACAATACGGCTGGTTCTGGTACTGCTGTATCTCTCCTGTGATTTCAGCTACTTTTCTTCTCTTGCTGAAGTTTATAAGTTCCTTCCCATGTCGCTTTAGAAATTCAGGGTTGCCTTCTTCTGTTTTCAAAATGTTAGTTAAGTAAATCCCTGAAGAGCACAAAGAAGAGTTTCTCAACATACAGTACAAACCAAGGAGGAAAGCACATGACAGGAACAGAAAGAAATCTTCAAAAATGATCTTCTGCATGCTATTTAGAAAAAATCTCTGTTAGGATCAATAAGGGCAACAATTTAAATATTTTAGAATCATAGAATCATAGAATCGTTAGGGTTGGAAAGGACCTTAAGATCATCCAGTTCCAACCCCCTGCCATGGGCAGGGACACCTTAGGCTAAATCATATCACCCAAGGCCTCGTCCAACCTGGTCTTGAACACTGCCAGGGATGGAGCATTCACAACCTCCCTGGGCAACCCGTTCCAGTGCCTCACCACCCTAACAGGAAAGAATTTCCTTCTTATATCCAACCTAAACTTCCCCTGTTTAAGTTTGAACCCGTTACCCCTTGTCCTGTTACTACAGTCCCTAATGAAGAGTCCCTCTCCAGCATCCCTATAACCCCCCTTCAGATACTGGAAGGCTGCTATGAGGTCTCCATGCAGCCTTCTCTTCTCCAGGCTGAACAGCCCCAACTTCCTCAGCCTGTCTTAATACAGGAGGTGCTGCAGTCCCCTGATCATCCTCATGGCCCTTCTCTGGACTTTTTCCAACAGTTCCAAGTCCTTTTCATGTTGAGGACACCAGAACTGCACACAATACTCCCAGTGAGGTCTCACAAGAGCAGAGTAGAGGGGCAGGATCACCTCCTTTGACCTGCTGGTCATGCTCCTTTTGATGCAGCCCAGGATACGGCTAGCTTTCTGGGCTGTGAGCGCACACTGAAGCCGGCTCATGTTCATTTTCTCATCAACCAACACCCCCAAGTCCTTCTCCACAGGGCTGCTCTGAATCTCTTCTCTGCCCAACCTGTAGCTGTGCCTGGGATTGCTCCCACCCAGGTGTAGGACCTTGCACTTGTCATGGTTAAACCTCATGAGGTTGGCATCAGCCCACCTCACAAATGTGTCAAGGTCCCTCTGGATGGCATTCCTTCCCTCCAGCGTATCAACTGAACCACACAGCTTGGTGTCATCGGCAAACTTGCTGAGGGCGCACTCAATCCCACTGTCCATGTCACCAACAAAGATGTTGAACAAGACCGGTCCCAACACCAGCCCCTGAGGGACACCACTCGTTACTGGTCTCCAGAAAAAAAGAAAAAAAATTTGCCCCTAATATGTCTTTTCTAGAAAGCTGCCTTTTTTGCATCAAAATCGCAAAGTCTATGCATCTTTGCATTGCTTAGGAAGCTGACACAACTGAACACTACTCGCATTTTGCAAGATAAGAGTACGTGTCTTGAGAACTGAACTCAAGCGCTTTCTCTCAACGGTTCCACCTCAACTCAGCTCTATCCCATTACAGACCCCAGCTAAGCTCCAAAAAGTTATTTTCAGGTTTTATCCTTCTTTTCCAGTCTCCAATCCTGGCTTCATAATTGCATCAAATCATCTGATGATTAGAGAGAAAAGAGTGCTCTCAAGTCCACAGATAGAATCATAGGAGAGAACTTTAAAGCTCATCTAGTTCCAACTCCTCTATCACGGGCAGGGACACCTCCCACTAGACCAGGTTGTTCAAAGTCCTGTCCAACCTGGCCTCGAACACTACTAGAGATGGAGCATTCACAACTTCCTTGGGCAGCCTGTTCTAGTGCCTCTCCACTCTCACAATAAGGAATTTCTTCCTTATATCCAACCTAAATCTCCCCTGTTCAAGTCTGAACTCACTACCCCTTATACTATCTCTACAGTACCTGATGAAGAGTTCCTCCCTGGCACCCTTGTAGGCCCCTTAAGATACTGGAAGGCTGCTATGAGGTGTTCATGCAGCCTTCTCTTCTCTGGACTGAAGAGCCCCAATTTTCTTAGCACGTTCTAGCTTAGATAATATATCTGGAACTGTCATTATGACTTTTCTAAGCATAACTTGACAGAAATAAATGAAGCTTTTCATGTGTGATCCTGCTAACCTTTACTCATCTCTCAAGCAAGATAGAAGATTTCTTAGTTCACCTTATCTTTCTTTGCAGAGCTCTGGAGTATATCTTTCCCCAACCTGTAAAAGGCCAAAAAAGCTATCAAAACTATCTTCTTTCATAGGCCTGAAGCCTAAGCTGGACAAGAGTAATGTCCAGAGCTGGAACTGATCTGCAGTAAACATCCAAGTAGGTTGCTAAAGAATAGAAGTGCCATATACTTCACAATTTTCTAAATGTCAGAAATTCCAAGCAATCTACTTGAAACGACAACTGTTCAGTCCTATGATAAAGAGGCTTCCCAAAGGCTGTTTTTATAGAAATAAGACTTTTTAATAGAAAGACTCGAGTTATAAGAAGCTATGAAAATAAAAACTGTAGCTTTAGTTCTTGAAATTCTTGATAGGGAAGGGGGTTCTTTTCTCTCTACTAGTCCATGGCAATAATATTTCTAATGTGACCATCTTCCATTTAAGGCATTTATGATCGCATGACAGTTCAAAGTAAAAATGAGTAAATACGTAAATAAGATATTGCAGATATACAACATATGCAATGGACAGTCACTTTAATTTTTCTTTCACGTATTTCACATAATGTCAGGCATCTGAAAATCAAACCCAACTGCCCTGCTAAAACTGACTTTCTACTATTGTTCGTGCTCTGTTTAGTGCCCTAACTCAATACTTTCCAAATGTTTATGCATGATACAGCTCATTGAAACCAAATGTACTTACCAAAAAAAGGCACACAAGGAGGATTAATGGACCTGAGTTTTGCCAAGTATTTCTTATAATGATCCTCACTCAGCTCATAAGCTTCTTCTAAAATCTTCTTCTGGCGACTTGGAATTTGCTAAGAAGAGAGATGAAACAGGTTGTTTGGAAAGACAGGGTGAAGTGTAGCCCAGCAACAGTACTTAGAGTAATGCTCTCCCAGTGATATTTAGGTCAGTCACCATGATGACAGTGCCTGACTATCTCAGGATCTTGCTACCTTTTTCTGCCTAAGTGAGGACTGATTTCTTCCTTCTGAAACCAAGGAAAAAACCTCTCTATTACACCCCAATTGATTAATCTGTTGGGGGATTTATCTTCCTTGCTCCTTCTCTGAAGGACATGCTTACTGACTAACCGGGCTTTCTGCATTACACTTCCATACCAAAAATGGAAAACATTTTACTGTACCTCAAATGTGTGATCCAACCTATACACTGCTGCGGAGTTCATAGCACTGACAATCTCAAGGACACCATTAAAGTTGTTTAGCTCTTGAAATACTTGCAGGATTTCAATTATCCGGCTCACTACAGTAACTCTTTCCTCCAGGTTTTCTGTTTCTACGATGCATCTAACCACAGAAGAACATTTGATCTTGTATTAAAGCATTGATAAGTTTTCCAAAATCAAATATTAAGTCGTACCACAAACATGAAAAATTTATCAAATTACTTGACACAGTTTGGAAAACATTTAGAGAATAAGCATTTGAAAATATTCTCAGAATAAAAATCGGAGACTATTTATGGTAAAAGTCTCACAGGGACCAGCTGCAGCATCTGAACATGATTTAAAACTGGGATTCTTTCTCACAGGGACCAGCTGCAGCATCTGAACATGATTTAAAACTGGGATTCTTTCTTAACAGAGTTTTTCACAGTATATACTTCTGAATGGAGTGTAGATGTCCAGAGCAGATTCAGGAAAGTGACTTACTTTTCAAACCACAAAGTGAGGTTAGTTGTATGCCTTATCATTTTGAGAAGATTGGGAGAATTAATTTCTTTATCTTCCTTTGTCCACACACTCCCAACTAGTTCAGATGGCTGCACAGCTCTAGAAAAGTAGATGCACATATAAAGAGAAATGTAATTAAAAGCCAGAGAGAAGATATTATTTTCCCAAACCTCTTTATTTGCAGTGAACTTTGAATTAATATTTGAAATAAATTTTTAAGATATGACTTCTCTTGTATAATGTTAGGCACCTTACACGACTAATTGACTAGTATTTCTATGCTTTTTAGTGTGTATTTCTTAATTTAGGTGACTATTAACCAGCTCTGTTCATCTAAATAAAGAACAAAGTCTATGTTTCATTCACCATCATAAAATGTGAGCTTCCAACACCTGAACAGCCTCTCACAGACAGCTGGTGAGATCTGAACCGATCCACAATCTGCTTCACAAACTAGGATATGAAGAAAACTGATTTAATTAACATTCATACTTCTCAAAAGCTGATCTACTTGGAAAATATAAAGAGAAACCTGCAGTACAATGCAACTGACAGCCTGCATCAGCCCTATCTACTGCACATTAACTGGGGGGAAGGATAAGACAAATACTCGTTTTTAGCAGTTTTTCCTGACAAAATAGCAATCACTATACAGCACTGGTAAAGTCCCTTGACCTACTGTGGGGATTCACATCAGGGGCCTGCAGAAACAATTTCATGCTGGAGAATATTTTGGTTTGTGTCATGTGTTTTTCAATGGAGGAAAGTTACCTGTAAAAATCTGACTCAAGTAAAGTAAGCTGCCGAGCAATTTCGATTGGATGCAAAGTGAGCAAGTCAAAAGTCTCTGTGTGTCCTGGTTTGCTTATGTGCCATTCAATCGCCGGAGGAGGGCTCTCAAAAGTAATGTTGTGACTTTGCCCAATGGCTTGTGCCTGCTTCTTCCGGTTGATGATCTTTGTGATAGATTCAACCCATTTCTTCATCGCTTTGCCTGGCACACAGACAGAAATTTGCTATTTAGTTACTCTTAATAACCGTGCACTATTGAAATTATTATTTAGTTACCCTTACTAAACTTGCACAGGTCCAGGTCATTTATCCAGACCTAAGCAAGGCATTTGACACTGTCACACACAGCACCCTTGCCTCTAAATTGGAGAGGCATGGATTTGACAGATGGGCCAGTTGGTGGATAAGGAACTGGCTGGATGGTCACACTCAAAGAGTTGCAGTCAATTTCCAGGTCAGTGATGAGTGGTGTTTCTCAGGGGTACTGGGACCGGTGCTGTTTAACATCTTTGTCAGCAACACGGACAGTGGGATCAAGCACCCTCAGCAAGTTTGCTGATGACAGCAAACTGTGTGTTGCAGTAACAAGCTGGAGGGAAGGGAAGCCATACAGAGGGACCTGGACAGGCTGGAGAGATGGGCCAGTGCAAACCTCATGAAGCTCAACAAGGCCAAGTGCAAGGTCCTGCACCTGGGTCAGGGCAATCCCAAGCACAAACACAGGTTGGGGAGACTGAGAGCAGCCCTGAGGAGGACTTGGTCATGTTGGCTAACAAGAAGCTCAACATGACCAGGCAGTGTGCGCTCACAGCTCAGAAACCACCATGTCCTGGACTGCATCACCAGCAGTATGACCAGCAGGTTGAGGGAGGGGATTCTCCCCCTCTACTCTGCTCTGGTAAGACCCACCCTGCAGTCCTGCATCCAGCTCTGGGGCCCCCACACAAGAAGGACGTGGAGCTGTTGGAGTGAATCCAGAGGAGGCAATGGAGATGCTCCGAGTGCTGAAGCGCATCTGCTATGGAGACAGGGTGAGAGAGCTGGGCTTGTTCAGCCTGAAGAAGGCTCAGGGGAGACTTTATGGGAACGTTGAAGTACCTAAAGGGGGCCTATAAGAAATCTGGAGAGGGACTTTTGACAAGGACATGTAGGGACAGGACAAGGGGGAATGGCTTTAAGCTGCCAAATGCCTGTTTAACTCGATACCATAAGAATTTCCTGCATGAGATGGCGAATTCATTGAAAATTTACCAGCAATCCACATTAAACTAACTGGCTCCTTCTCTCCCTCTTTTTTATTTCTAAATAACCATTAAATACTTCTCTAACACAACACTCTCCTACAAAGTACTCCTGTAGCTGCTTCAGGTTTTTTACAAGGGATCAGGAAAAATCTGTCCAATCCCAAGTGGAAGGTAACCTACAGTTCTAACACGCGCTGTGAAATACCTGGAAAACCCTCGCTTCAAAGAAACAGTGGTTTCCATCATCAAACTTTTACAAAAATTACACCTGTATACAGTTTAAGAGGACAATCAAAGCAATTATTCAGTCCTGATGATTATTCAGCTATTACTATTTTGCATGATTTCAGTCCCTTTATAACAAAACCAATATTTATTAGGATGTAAATAACATTCTTTCTTTTGAACATTATTATTCAAGGATTTTGAGTAATAGTGTTGATTGTTTTTTTTAATTAAGGATTATTTTATGTTCTCTGGGAAGTACTTAATAAGCAGTCAGCCCTATTTCTCTGCTCAGTGATTCCATTCCGTACCTCTGAAAAGGGATGTGTTATGATTCTATGATAAATGCTAGCGCTTAAGAAATGACAAATACCTCTTACTGTTCCAATGAATTCCTCTAAACGCTGCAGAAGATCAGCATCTCTTTCAAAGTCATAGAAGTGGTGTTCTACCCAGTGTCGACACACATTTAATACTCTGGAAAAGGAAAGGATAAGTAAGCATTCTACAATACAGTGTACCTTCATGTCTAGCATTTCAAGGCTTTTAGCTGGCAAGGGCTCACAAGAATATCAGAATCAGCAGTTCAAAAGCAATTATTCTACTGTCTGCATGTCACCAGCAACCAGATATAAGCATCCTTCTACTTTAAAGAAGTCAGAGTAATGCTATTGTTCATAAAAAGAACGTTATCTAAAATGTTCTCTGTCTACATCTTTGTGGCACACATATATAACCTTGAAGAAATATGGATTTAAAAAAACCTGGGAAGTACAAGAAACTAATTTGCACATTAATAAGTCTAAAACTCATCACAAGCCTTTTCTAAGGCTTTTGATGCCAAGAATTCAGATTTCCACCAGGTTTTCAAGTAGCAAGGTCTAAATGGCTTACTGCCCCTGCATACTCTTTACCAAAGCATCTGCAAGAAAGGCTGCAAGAAAGGTATCCCCAAGAGCCACTGCATCCAAAAGATGGTACTTCAAAAGACTTAAAGGAAGTCTGTTTGGCTCACATTGATGCAATACCTACCGTAGCTGCACAGGTTGAATGTACTCTTTCCTAAATCGTTTTAACTCTGCACTAAGAGGCTGGTCTCCATTTTCCATAGCAATACGATCAGCTTCTGTGGGCTCAGGCTCTGGAATTTCAAATCTAGCAGAGAAGATGGGCATAAGACCAAGCTCTTATTTTACTCATCTCACTCACAGCATGCATGAATAAGATGTCAATTAAAGATAGCTTGAAATTCAGAACATTTCAAAATGTCAGAATCTTGTATTTTGGTAAGCAGATAGGAAGATTTGCTAAATTCAGTAACAACACAGATTTCAAAGACAAAACCATGGGATGCTGGAAGTTCCTGGAGCTACCTGAACAAACCGAAGGCTCCTGGATATAACTTGTATATTTCACCTACAATCCTTGAAATGACAACTTAAAAAACACTTTAAAAAGTGTTTGGAGTGAATCAAGAACAACAAGAAAACAAGAATCTTACAACCTCTACTACTCCAAGTAAAACCAACAACAATAATACAAAACAGGTAGTTCATATGAACAGTATGTTTAACAGTGGCATACCTTTCTATTAGCAGACTCAGCAACTCTTGAGGTTTACAGAAGGATCTATATGTCGTGAGAAAAGTCCGAACAAAGTTGGGATCTAAGACAAAGAATAATTTCATGCTCAAGTCAGTGATTACCTTTTTTTAATTTTATTTTTATACTTTAAATCACGTTAACTACCCGTCACAATTAAGGATGCTGGTTTATCAATCTACAAAGAAAATGATGTAACAATTCAGAACCTCTTAAAATAGCAATGAAAATCGGAATTTAAAACCAATTTTTATCCTGTTGAGAACTCAAACCAATTACTTTGTCTTTTCCTTTGGTTATTAAAAGACTGGATTCTTTTTCAACAACTTTGAAAATAATAAATATTTTATTTATGAGCCACCTAGTAAACAACTTTAGTTTTGACAACGATCAGGTCAAGATAACTCACAAAAGACACAGCAAGTAACTTTGCATTCAACAGAAATCACCTTTTCAAGGGGAAAAAGTTTTCCCTAAACTTCTACAACTGATAGTCACGTTTAAGGCAAGTGAGATATTTTTCAGCTGACAGCTCTCCTTTGAGGTTACATTTATTTCACTGCAAAAATATCAGCAGATTTCATTTAAACTAATTACCTATCAGTTAAACTACTCAAATGTGTTTGAAACCAAGCAAATATTGATAACAGAAGCCCCAAACTGTCTCCCTTCATTACAAAAGCAAAACCATTTATTTTCGAGTATGAGGAAATGCAGTGACAGCATGCTGGCACTGCACAGATGCGACTAGAAACAAAGTTAACCTTGTTATCACTGAATAAAATTAATGACCATGTTACAATGGCTTTGCATATTAAATCCATACACAGATTTTTAAAATTAACTGGTAATTTTTCTAACAGAGAGTGGCTGAAGAGGAGCACACAGGACTTGAGGCAGGAGTTCCTACAGGGTGTAATGAAGATGAAAACACCTGCATTATTTGACCTAACACTGTACGAAGCCATTAGACTTGTTGCCTGGAATAGGGGTTCTTAAGAGGTTTTTTAAAATCCTCCTTAACTGTTTACCAGCACCTTGTCCATTTGCATGAACCTTCTACCTTTCTTAGCTCCTACTTAAGCTCCCTTCATGTGGGCAACAGTTTAATGTGTCACACAGATTAACCATGCACTGTGTAACACAACATTTCCTTGCATTTCTGTTGTATACAATTCCCGTTTCTTAAACAATTGGCTACTCTGTTTTACCATCTCTATGTCCTTCACTAAGCCATTTTTCTCATAACACCTCTCCCACCTCTCCTTGAAACTGTACAGTCTAAAATCCTTTTCAAAGGCAAAACTCAAAAACCCTTTTGCACAAAGAAAATAATCCCTTTCCCCATCATCCTCATCATGAAAAAAACAGGTTTTGTTATCCTAAAAGACAAGTATAGAAGTAAGCACAGTAACTCATGTTTTCACATCTTGTAATCTGCACACACCATACAATAGTTAGGGTTGGAAAGGACCTTAAGATCATCAAGTTCCAAGCCCCCTGCCATGGGCAGGCACAGCTCGCACTAAACCATCTCACCCAAGGCTTTGTCCAACCTGGTCTTGAACACTGCCAGGGATGGAGCATTCACAACCTCCCTGGGCAATTCACAACCTCCCTAGGCAACCCCCTAAGCAGATTTTGTCTACATGAAAATGAAAGCCTCCACAGCAATTAACGTTTTCAGATCACTGCAAGCTCTGAGTCATAGCTATTGTTATTTACAGGTAGGGTCAGTGGTTAAACCCACAATACATATTGAATTTCAAATGAAGCAGATCAGAAAATCAAATCTAACCTTATTATCTCACTAGCAAAATCTGTAACTCAAAATAGTGTACAATATATGAGCAAGCGTTAAAAAAATACAGACACCACTAGTTAGTCAGGATGTCTGCTCATGTGATAATTCTCTCTTCAATACAGCCAATTTGAAAGCTAAAAAAGAACAATAACTTGTTCTACAAGGATTTATAAATAATCACCCTTGAATTCCTTAAGAAAGGAAACGGACACTATGATGACGCACAAGCACTCTTAACATATCAAAGCTTTAAAAATAGAAGAGCACTGCCCTATACATAAAAAAAATTGCCACCACTTTCAAATCTTGGTACCACCTAACTCAGCTGCTCTTAAGGAACAGGCAAAGGAGGAAATAATTTATGCAGAAACAACTTAAAAACAAGTAAAACCCATTAAAATATGCAAGTAGGGGATTTCTCCCTGCTTTGCTGCTCTACAGCAGGAGAGTTTGGACAATCTGCCATACCTTCTGGCTAGGTGGCCATCAGGGCTGTCTCCCTGTGCTCACTCTCACTGGATGCCTCCTACCCCCAGCAGCGTTGCATGGTAAAGCAATGCTTTGGTCCCTGTTCCACAGCTAAACAGAGAAATATTTCAGCTGGTTTGTGCATCGTCAGGGAGGTGAGGGAAGAAAAATAAAAGGTTCAACACCCCTATCTACAAATGACATGGACTGCATAGATCTTCATTGCTGTCCCTGACCCTGGCAGAGGGATTGGAACTGTATGATCTCTGAGGTCCCTTTCAACCCAAACCATTCTATGACTGACAAAAAAGTTGAGACTACTGTCTGAACACAGCCCATATACTCCTCCATATGCAACTAACTAAACTGCTCTTCAGCTACTCACAACAGACTGGTATCACCTCTATGATTATATCTGTAATTATAGTATCTGACTTACAAAGATAAAAACCTAGCAAAGAGTCACAGCTACAGTAAATATTGTCTTTAGACTGTCAGATCAAGGGCTGCCTAACCAGTCACGCATATTTGAGACAAGTCACATCAGAAGGGCTTGCTATTCTGACATATGAAGTCAATAAATTCTTTCAAGATTACAATCACACATACATAATCCTGCATGGAAAAAGAAGAGCCTTTCTACAGCCTGTAGCTACTTGGCTAGGTATCACCAGAGTACTCATCTTCCCACGTCTCCAAGCAAAACAGAAGTCTTGAACTCACGTGGTAAGTGTATGAAAGAAAAGCTAAAGGGTTACTATGGAAAGCTGTTGCCCTACTCACTGCATCTCATAAGGTGCAAAAAAACACTGAATGATTTCCATAGTAAATGGATCTTTGTTTCCTGCACAACAGAGCATTTTGGCTGAGTCACTATAGCTCTATTTCTTTGTTCCCCTGGAAAAGACACAGAACAGCACAGAAAAGGCACAGAATGGTTAGACCAATTAATTTTTCCTCATAGGAAACCAATAATAAAACAGAAGGTATTGAATGGAAGAAAAGGGTGCTAAGAAATCATGTGCTACCTAACAATTCAGCATCAGGTCCATGCATGTTTCACTAAGATCTTTAAGGCTACAAAGGCAGGCCAAATATATCACAAAACCAACCATTTTTCTTCTTTTGAAGATAGGCTATCCCACAGTACCCACATTCTCAGTTTTGTCATACAATAGTTTGGTCCATGTCACATATACCTTCAAGCAACCTTGTACGTATATGTTGTTAGGCTTCAAGCAACCTACTTAAAGCTTTATTAAATAAGGGCTATTACAAGCAGGGATTTAAATGACTGTGGATGAAGGTTGATCTGATCAATTGATCTGAATGCTTCATTGATGTTCTACACACTAGCAAGGGCAAACAGACATGCAAAAAACGTGACAGAGGTGATTATTTCAAGAAGCCACATGCTCCTTAAAAACAGGCCTTTCTATTTTATGAAGCTGGAGAATGTAGTTTGTGGATCCCAGGACAGAAATGACGCCTGGAGAGCACTGCTATCACTTGGAATAATCATAGAATCATAGAATAGTTAGGGTTGGAAAGAACCATCATCAAGTTCCAACCGCCCTGCCATGGGCAGGGACACCTCACACTAAACCATGCCACCCAAGGCTCTGTCCAACCTGGCCTGAAACACCGCCAGCTATGGCACCAAAGTCCCAGAACATCTGGAAAGGGCAATTCTCAGTGGTGCTTAAGTCAGCCAAAGCAGAGCAAATATTCACAAGGGCATTACTGAAGTACTATTTTTGCCAGTTCTCTGTCAAATACAATGCTAGCTCTAAAAACCAAAAAGCATCTGTCCTTCTCTAAGGCTGAATTGTTTTATTTTAGCTTTCCAAAACATAAAACTATGTCACAAATCATGACTGTGGAATACGAAGCCAAGAGTTGGAAGTTTATAAAGTTACAAGAAAATGATGACAGGCACAAAACCACTCTGGTGAGAACTGCCAGCACAATATTGCATTGGGTTTCTAATACGTGTTAGGAAAGCTCAACTGAAGGGAACGTGGAGAAGAGCAATAAACATAATGGGGTAACCATGTATTTACAAGCATTTAAAAATAAACAAAAATACTATACTACACTAATTATAGTCTGCTTATTCCCCACATCTTCCAAACAAATATTCCTGGATTATGCAGGGTATCCAGGACTGAGCTGCAGGAGTACAATTTAGAGTCAAAGGAGTACAATCAGAGTGCAAAGAGTAAAAAGAAAGGGAAACAACAACAAAAGAATCTACAATTGAATATGAGAAGCACAAATGCCAAGATGCCTGAAGTTTTAGAATAACTGACATACAGGTAGAAAAAACCCCAAACAAACAGAAAACCCAAACCCAAGCCCAATGCTTGTCATCATAACTTATGAAAATCCTGGGAAATTATTAAAAAAAATGAGGTTGGACTGGATGATCACATAAATGCCTTCAAGGTACTTTCAACACAAACAGAAACCCAAAGTCCTTAAATCAAATCCCCACTGAAATTCTGATTAAGGCAAAGTTCCAAGGCCAAATTATGCAAGTGACTTCTTCTAGGAACCTGGTATTTGGTCTTTTCCATTACATGCCAGCATGGACACAGGTAATGAGTAGAACCCGTAACTGAAAACACTGGGCCCATAATTCCCTCCCACAGTGCTAGTGCTTCATGTGCCACCCAGCTTTGGAAGTCTTGAGCGAATGCAATTCTTGTAGCCTGCGGCATACAGTAAAAAGTATTGCCTAGAGCTCCATTCCTGCAGGCGCCTGATCCCCCATCGCTTTGATGAGAATAACCTTATGCATATCCCACCATATTCAGCCAAACAGGATTCATATTTTTAACTGCTATAGCGATGCATATTTAGATCTCAAAACCGTAACTCAAAAAGCATGTTAGGATATGTGTACTGCAAAGCATATTTACTTTCTGCAACTTTATATATTTTGCTGCATGTATTTAGCAGAGAAAGAGAAACATAGCCTGGTCACCACTTTGAGTTTTGGCTATATAAAAGAAGTGCCTCACCTGCATACATGTGGTAAGTCAGCCTCTCAATAAGCTTGACAACAGTTCCTGCCTTGATGATGGGGATTCCAGATTTGGGCTGCATGTTTTCTTCAAACACAATATTCTCTTCAGAGTCGGGTTCTGCAAATCTGTAAAGCTCAGGATTTGGAAATCTCATCTGCTCCTCTTTTTCTTCCTGCAACATTGTTACATCCAACATTCTTTCCAGCGTGCTTCTATATTGCAAAGATATCAATGCTGCCATCCAGTTGTTTTTCTCCTCAGCTGATTTAGCAGCAAAAATAACACTGTTCTCATCTTTTAAGATTATTTCAAAAGCATGTCTGTACTCGTTAGTGTCGTCCTTATCATTGATTTGTACCTTTCGCATGAAGAACTTTTCTTTTAGACGATATTCTGCATTGCTAGCACCAGGAAGTCTTGGCTGGCCATGATTTGACTTACAGCAAATCATCAAGCCATCAAATAGAAATATGTGCCTCTCATGCTTTGCTCCTACACGTGTGAGTGTTCCTTCCATGATGAACTCGTTACAGCATTGTCCAATGTCCTTACCCTCCCAGCCATCAATATTTTTCTGGATTTCATTCATTTTCTTAATTGCCAGCTGTTTCCCCTTCATTTGCTGAGTATAGAACCGGCATGCAGATTCACTTCAGTGAAGATGGGAAAAAGGCAGCCTATTAGTATATATGTATTTAAAAACCACAACCACCACTAACAGCAAAACCACAAGATCATCTTCCTGAGTGGTGAGAATTCCACTGAGAATGCAGTTTCAGCAGCCACTATCAGCACCACTGCAAGTCTTGACTAATGTTTCACTTAAGTAACTCATCTGATAAATTTTCTACTTATCTTCTATGTAATAAATGTTGTACATAAACATGGACAACCAGAAGCAGGCAAGCCATTAGTGCTTCTTAGCCTAATAAACCACTCATTTCCATAGCCAACAAAACAATTTTAGACTGCATTAATTTGAAAGAAACTTATTTAGAGAAAATTATCCATGTCCAAGCCTAAAGATTCCACCTTGCAGCACAGAACTTGTTTGGTAAATAAAATATTGAAACAATTTTAAGAGCAAACACAAAGTTTTAACATGTTTAAATAACTACACAAATGTTAGCATGAGATCAAAGAACTGATACTATAATCCAAGAATTTGCTACAACAGAGCATCTAAGAATTAGCTATCCATGCATCTATTTCTATTATCCAGTGGTAATTTGAACTAGGCATTGCACAAAACAGTTCAGATTAAGTAGTTTCAAATTCAAGCACATTCCCTTCTAATCCCACAGACAGGCACTTCTACAATATTTTTAAGTGAATGTTCATTATCTGAGCACAATTACCCCACAAATGCCGTAACTTTCTACTTACCAGGGAATTCTCAGAACGTCTCAACTACCAGCATGCAAACACATAGAAACTAGAACAATTTTAAAACAATAACAAATTATCTCGGCTTTGATGTCACTTCCTCTGAAAAAGCAGGCTTGTCACAAACTATTTTGTTCATTGTTTACTAAAAGAGGAAACTGGGAGCCCTGGATTTATAGCAAAGCATTAAGAGCAGAAAGCAGGAAAAATGGAAACGTGTTTACCTAAGCCTTCGTTTTGCAAGACTTTTGGAGCATATCCGTTCCATACTGCTTTGAAGATTAAGTAGGGCAGTTATTGCTTGCTTTAAGCACTCTTTATCCTCTTCATCCTCACTTTTTTCTTCCAATTGCTGTGAACATTGAAAGTCAAATACAAAAAGTGTTACAAGCATTTTGGTTTGTTGAAATACAGAAGTTTGACCTAGGAAGAAGAAATCCAACCATCTGATGATTTTGTATGCTCCTGCTTATTATTAAAGTTAATGAAATTGCATTACTGACACTGGCAAGAGAGATCTGCTAAGAGATTAATCTCAGTAAAACAAGAACAGCAGCCACTAGTCCTCCAGATACAGACACACTCAGGTACGTGCTATTTACCTCAAAACTAGCTTGATTTACCTTACATCTCCAAAAGAGAATCCATTTAATACGTTACATCTTAAGAGGAACAGTGAGGAAGGAAATCCCCACACATACACCACAGGATCAAATCTATGGTATGGCTCTATGCTTGTGACACACCTGTAACAGGCAAGCTGGACTGAAAGCTAAGCAAAACTCCTTCAACACATGGATAAACAGAAGATTACAAGGGCTCTCACCTCATTAACAACAGACTAATCAATAATTCAGGTTGGAAGGGACCTTGGAGATTACCTCATCCAACCTCCAGCTCCGCTGCAGAGCAAATATAGACCAGGTTGCTCAGGGCCATACTGAGTTTTTAATTCTCTCAGGATGGAGAGATCACAACCTTTCTGGACAATCCATTCCAGCGTCTGAAACCCTCTTGGCAAAAAAATCTTCTTCTAATACCTTGTCTGGATTTCCTTTATTGACTTTTCACAGTGGAATATACAGTGGAAGCACTTCACAGCTTTGAGAAGTATTTCTCTGTCTTCCCTACGCCATCATACAAAGGTACCAGGAAGGTTTCCCCTTTTCCTTAGCCTCCTTTTCTCCAGAACGAGGAAGCCCACTCCCCCAGCTTCTGCTTCATCACATGTTCCATTCCTCATGTCATCTTGACAGGTCCTTCCAGTGATTTGTTTCAGTACACCAATGCCAACTGAAAGCTTACGCTGGATGTGGTTCTCCTGATGCAGCCTTGCCCACCCTGAACAGGCAGGCACTGCCACTTCCCTCAACCTGATGGCTACACGCTTGTTAATACAGGAATACAGGCCTTCACTGCTCTAAGGGTGTTCTGCAGGCTTGTGTTCAGTCTATAATCCAACAGGACTGTGTTGTGGGTTTTTTTCACACAAAAAAGCAAAGGGGAAAAAATAACCAGAGGGACATTGACGAGAGTTGCTTGGAGCAGTTGCTTGGCTGTTCATCAGAAAACACAGGGGTATCTAACCATGGCCAGCTTGTAAAACCAGGATATATATGTCCCCATCTTAGTAAACAGCTACATTATGCCTTCATATATTAACTTACTGTAAAGGACAAAAAAATATAATAAATTTATAAACTATAACTGGACAAGAAGAGTTAATACTAATACTTTTGTGCCTAACTAGCTCTGTGACAGAGAAGTTTTATAAAACAAGATCTGCCATGTTTTCTCCCCAAGATTTTAGTCTTAAATCTTCATTTAACCATTAAAATGTTTTACATTCTACTTAGTGAAAAAAATTGTTGACTACATCTGTGGCTTAGATGTAAAACTGAGATAATTATTTACAGGACTATTAAGAGGTAAGTGCTGAAGACAACCACACACTTTTAAGAACTGGCTCCAGAGTACTGAAAGATTTGTTTTGACAGAGGTTATATAAGTGAAGTGACAGGCTAGCATGGACCAGAGTAAGACACCCTTGGCAGCACTGCAATCACACAGTTTGCTTCCAGTATAAAATGAAAGTATTGTCCTCCAAAGTCCATTGAACACAACATATTCATGTCTTGACATTTGAATTGGTCATAGAATAGCATTATTTTTTTCCCCTGACCAGAGTTAATCATTCAGTACAATAGCTGTCAGTGCCAAAGACTATTTTATTTGTTTCAGCCATAAGGATGACCACAAGGCTTACTCTAGGCAGCCTTAATTTATGCAGTATAATCTGTTATGCACTTCATCTAAGCAGCATTAGGCATGAGACAACCATTGAGACAGGGCTAACAATGCACCACAACAGACAATACTTCCCAAAAGGTCTCAGGGAGAATAGAATCATAGAATGATTTGCAATGGAAAGGACCTTAAAGCTCATCCAGTTCTACTCCCCTGCCACTAGCAGGAACACCTTCCACTGGATCAGGTTGCTCCAAGCCCCATCCAACCTGGCCTTGAACACTGCCAGGGATGGGGCAGCCACAGCTTCTCCAGGCAGCCAGTGTCTCATCGCCCTCAGAGGGAAGAGCTTCCTAACACCTCATCTAAATCTCCCGTCAGTTCAAAGTCATCCCCCCCTTGTCCTGTCACTGCAGGCCCTTGTAAAACATGCCTCTCCAGATTTCTTATTCTCCCTTTATGTACTGGAAGGCTGTTGTAAGATCTCCCCAGAGACTTCTCCAGGTTGAACAAGCCCAGCTCTCTCAGCCTGTCTCCATTGCAGAGGTGCTTCAGCCCTTGGAGCATCTTTGCAGCTTTCTCTGGACCTGCTCCAACAGCTCCATATCCCTCTTGCCTTGGGGCCCCAGAGCTGAACACAGTACTCCATACAAGGTATCACAATAGCAGAGTACAGGGGAGAACCACCTCCTTCAACCTGCTGGCCATGCTCCTTTTGATGCAGACCAGAATGCAGTTGACTTTCTAGGCTGTAAGTGCATGCTGCAAAGTCATGATGAGTTTTTTTATCAACCAACCCTCCCAGATCCTTGTCCTCAGGGCTGCTCTCAATCCAGAGATCGAATACATCACTCCAAGATGAAAGAGACTACCCTCATCGTATTCCTCTGCTCTCTAGATTTAACACAGAGGTACCATCTTCCTTTGCTTCAGTTGTGCATATCAGATAGGTTTAGAAAGGACTTCAGACAAATAAGGCAGGTACAGCAGTGCTGGCAGAAGTCCTGAAGGCTAAGAAAAACATGTAACTAATTCTAAGATTTTGCATCTTTCCTGTACAAGAGTCAATGAAGGCTCTTTGACTTGCACACTGCCTCTGCCAACTTCCATCAGAAGAATTTGGCTGGAAAAGATTGTTTTAGCCTAGTGTCCTTGAAAACAGACCTTATTAGATCCTACGGTATGCTTTACATTCTCTTCAGAAACATACTGGTACAGATTAATGTTTGTAACTGCAAAGTATTCTGCTCCTATGCCGAGTTTATAAAATGCTTTTTACAGCAATTTCTCTCCAGTTGCAAAAATTTTGGCATTCATCATAGAAAAGTCCATATCCAAAAGCAAAATACATGTTTGATACCGTGTTAGAGAGAAAGCAGTTAAGACTAGAATCTCCCCATCAGGATCCATTGGAAGTAACCCACATTTTCAATTGCATATGCAAACTAAATCAAAGCCCAGTGAGTGTAATTGTGCTCCAGGCTTAAGATTCAGAAAGCAGTGTGTAGAAGGATGCACCTTCTTAAGTGTCAGACCAACACAACTGACAAATCTATCAGTGCTGGAAACTATGAAGACACTTCTCTGAACACAGAAAAGGAATTTGAAAGAATATATGCCAGCATTACACGACTGCCATAAACCGCTATCAGAAACAGTCTTAGTCAGAACTAAGCCTAACTTACAGCAAAGAATTTCACTTTACACTACCTGCAGACAGTTTGGAAGAGCAGGTTAAGGAAAGTGAAACGGCATCACCAGAAACACATCTAAGTTTCTCTGCAAATCCCACTGATTCTTCTATAGGTGTGCAGTGCCCCCTAATGAACAAACCGGGTAGATGCTAAATACAAGTGCGTGGTGTTGGGTTTTTTAGATAGTCCTGTGAGGAATACTGTATTATTGTGGGAAGGAGATTTCTGATTTATCAGTAGTATTACAGTTGCAGTTTTAAGAACCTAATGAGAAAAATATTAGTTTATAACGATTTTAATGATTCACAACACTATAGTCACAGTATCCTGGCCATTCAAGGGAAACAAACTTGGAAAACTGACTGCTAAGGGAAGTTTCTAATTAAAAGAAGTACTCTACATTCTAGGCCACAAGCCCTGCAGATATATCAAGTGGAAGAGCAGGTATTTTGTTCTACCTCTTGCTTAACACAAGGATTAGATGTTTATAGAACTGGGAAGTTCCAAACAGATACAAAAGAAATCCTCCTCATGCAGTACAAAAAAATAAACTATGATAGTCCTTCATTTACACTGCCAGGGAAGCATGTATCTAGAAAGACAATGACAGAAAATACATTTATACTTACAAGAATATGCAGGTATAACAATACTAGTGGGTGTCATGATGGATGGTGTCCCTGCCCATGGCAGGGGGGTTGGAACTAGATGATCTTTAGGTCCTTTCCAACCCTAACTATTCTATGATTCTATGTACTTTAGGGCTTACATAACAACCTAGACTTTTGACTTCCTGGGAACTTATTTCAAGTCTAACCATTGAAATTTGTGAACTGCAGGTTCCCCAATTTAAATGTGAGGAGACATCACAAATAAGCTTCTATACACAACAGATAACAGCATATGGGAGGCAGGGAAATCATAACTGAATTTGCTTAACTCAAGATCACTTGATTGCAGGTGCTAACAAAACTCACTGCTCCCCCAGACTTTAATGTGTGCAACTTGTAAGTGGGTGGTCCCACATTACAAGTGGGAGCTGCACACCACAATACTCAACAACAAGCTCAAACTAGTACTGCCTCAGAGAAACCTCTTCAAAACCCACTATGCAATGGGGTTTTGAAGCCCACAGCGAGGCAATAAAACAGCTGCATAGCTGGCAAAGCAAGCTTGATATGTAGTGTGACCTATCTGCTGTGTAAGGAAATGCCACATAAGTACGCAATGTTCATGAGAACATGAAGTGCACTAACACCAGCTAGTCCAGCATCTGTTCTAATGCCTCACCATTTTCTTCAACATGTTTCTGAAAATGGGGTACATACCCAAAGGTAGTCCTGAAACAGTCTATTTTATGATCAAGAATAACAGTGAACAAGGTTTTCTCCTCTCTGGCAAATGCAGGCAGGCTGGTCTGCTGACACTTCCCCATAAAACACTCCCAGAAGCAGGCTCAAGAGCACTGAGCTGCCTGAGAGCTCTGACTTTTTGCAGTTCCTTGAAATAATAAAAAGCTCAGCCCCAGCAAGCCGTATGCTGGACAAAAAGTGCTCTCATAGACTGTTCAGAAAGTCTGACTGTTAGAAAGGCAGGAACAGCAAATGCTGACAACTGCAGGAAACACTATACACACTTCTGGGAAATGCTAGCAGTGTAAAAGGGACTTGAAGAAAAAAGGAAACTCCATATGCCATATTCCTGCACATACATACACAGCTTTAATGCACTGAAACTTTAAAAGTAATTTTGTTTTCATATAAACTGTTTTGAGCATAGTGCAGTAAAAACAGGCATATATTTAGATGTTTATTTAGATACACAATATAGCAGGAGTGTTATTTGCGTTAAGAATGAATCCAAACTTAATTATTGAAGTAATCATAAAAACCTTTTCTCCACTCAAAGTTTAACTGTGCCTTCTCAGTTTAATTTTAAAACTTACATTAAATCACGTAATTTACATGAGCATGTCAAATATCAAATCTCAGATATCAGATAACTGGTTACAAAAAGGGTCCAGAATTGTCTTGAAAGTACATTTTAAAGATAGAAGCTAAAAAGCCATCATCTTTTATTTCATACCAAGTTTTAACTCATATGTTAAATACAGTCAGCCCATTGGGAAGTATACCATACAAGTAAATCATTAAACAGGAAAATAAGATGCATTTCACTTTTTAGCACAAGATTCCCAGCTCTTTCACAGCTTGACTATGTGACTTAAAATAGATCTCAAAGATATATGGAAAATTTAAGTAAAAACTTCACCTGAGCCCAAGAAAGTGAAACCATCTGGACTAAAACCATGTGAATTTAAGGAATTGCTACTTTGATAACTCGATGTAGATGCTCTTAATTATGGAGAAAGGAATGAAATAAAAATAAATCTGTTGCAGAAACAGATTACAGTACTCTGAAGTAAGTGCCATTTTTCAAATCAGGACGGACAGTGAGGAAGAGTCAAGGAAGAAATATTCAGAAATATATACCACATCAGTCTGTCAACTGACATTCAACAATTCAACAGCTTAAGTTTTCCAAACCAGGTTTCTTAGGTGGCAAATTTGCCACTAACATTCCCATGAATGGGTACAGCCTGTCAGGAGACCAAATTCCAGATTAGGTCTGCTCAAGTGCTACTGCAGCCTGCGAGGTATTTTAACTGGTTTCTGCTCAGCAGGAAAGAGTATGTATGCTCTCAGTTTCTACAACTGTGACGAGATTCATGCATGTGAGCAATTCTCACTGAGCTTACACAGTCAAAATTCCCTTCATCAAGGAACAGATACAAAACCAAAGACTTGTTTTCAAGTAAGTTCCTTCATCTTCTCATGAAACCATTTCCTAAGTATTCAGACTTTTTGTAGGCTACTGGCTGCCATATACATATTCTATATGCCCAGATTCCATTACTAGGGGAATGGCCACTTAGTTTACAGGAGGCCTTGTCTTCTGGAAAACCCATCTGCTCTTCACCCTTTAAAAATCTGGGTGTTTTTTTTTGCATATACTGATGTCTCTTCCACAGCAGATTCATTACCTTTCTGCAACAAACGTACAAGTTCACACAGATCCTTCCAGAGCCTTCATGCTCTGAAATTCTCTTCTTTCTTACTGTCACTTTGGTTTGTCTCATCATTATTAGCAGACCTGCAGAATACATTAGAAATTTTATATTCATAATTAAGTTGGTAACATTTAGTTAGATCAGTATTTCAAATATCACAAAATATTTACCTATGTGCTTCCAACACTTGTAATTGAGGTCTTCCATTTTCTTTCCCCACATTTTCCATCATAGTAAAGACAATTCAATTTGAAAACATCTTCCCTTTCTCTTTTGTAATTCCAAAATGGATTAAAATCCACTTTCACTGCTTCGACACAATTTAAGTCTGATCTTTGCCAGCCAAGTTTGCAAGACGTGAGCTCAGCTGGATGGCACCTCTATATTTGGATAGGAATGTATGCATTTTTGAATGCTATGTAAGATGATTCACAATTTCAGAGATCATTTTTGGAAGCAACAGTAGAACCCTGTTGATTTTAAGAGGAACCCTGTCGATTAAGGTAAAGTCAGCAGACAAAATTAGGGATTTCAATCAGAATCCCATGTGTAGACTTGGTCAACAGAAACCATGAATGCAGCTTGTTATTTTACTTGTGTTTGTCATTTCCTACATCTTTTCATTGGTTTCCACTGAAGATATCAAAGTATTAACAGAAAACATAGACCTGCACTGCTATAAAAGCAAATAGAGAAAGCATGCTGGTAGTGGGACTAAATCCAATTCTGGACAGCTCCATGTCCAGAAACATTTCCACTGAAGAAATCAAGTATATGGAAGCCTCAACCATAGCAGACTCTGAGGATCTCCCTTTTGTAGAGAAGATGACAAGAACAGAGGCAGGAGGATAGGGAGATACACTACTGCTATTAAAAGACTATACAGCAATACAAGTATATAAGAGACTATATGATGACTGCCAGTCACAAAAACTATAGGAGCTGAAAATCTCAGCTACGGTAAAAGCTTCTTAACATTCAATCCTTGATGGACTGTGTCAAAACTTTTATTTGGGGGAGAGAGGGAGAAGTGATCAAAATCTGTCTAAGTTCCTGTAACACCCATCTATTTTCATGAGAACTTGGCCTTGGACGTTCAGCATGAACTGCTGCCATGTAAGCTATAAGAGTTATCTACCATCATCATCAGCCATTGAAAACAAGAAACAGACCTCCGACCAACAACCCTAGAGAACAGTCTTTCCCAACAGATCACTCCTAATTCCCACAGTAGTGAAGAGAATTTGCCCTGTAGGTATTCCCAGAAAATGAATCAGAACACAGGAGTCTGGAACCCTACAGCTGCACAGTGAAGTCAAAAGTCAAGCTGGAGTTAAGTTAGTGCTGTATTTGACTCTCCAAAGAGAGCATCATCTAATTAAGAACAGTCTGGCCCTCTGCCATGCTACTCGCTGCTTCAAAGGAGCAAAGTACAACATTTGTTGGTCCAGCAGCAGATTGACAATAACACAGCTCAAGTGTCACTGAGGACTATAAGCAAAGTGGAAGGAGGATTTTTTTTTAATTTTACTTTTATTTTATCCAGCTTTTGCACAAAAGCAATTTTAGCAGAGTAATGGAGAAAAATATTCTCCAAAGGTAATAAGAAAAGTGCCTGGAAAGAGAAATCTGCTTCTCAAAAGCCCAGATACATCCTGTGTAAAAAGAAACAAAGCTACACAACAAAACATTGTTGTGTACAACAAACAGCGCCATCACAATACCATAAACAGATGACATAAATCATTGACAAATGAAGGGATACATGTGCACATTTGTCTGACACAAACACATAGGAAATCCATCAGTGAGTACCACAGCTAGAAATTAAAAAAACAGTACATTCTGAACAACTTCTTCAAGAGTCATCTCAGAGAACCCGATTAATCAGATTAACCAAGTTTGTTGAAGAACTGCACACACACACATATATGCAAGTTTTATTTTCCCCATCACCTTCCCTTTGGCTGCCAAAGACACAGCTGCCAAAGCATAAACCCATGACCAACTAAAGGAGAAAAGCAAGAGAAATATTGTCAATGAAACCAAACAAGCAAGAAGGAAATACGGAACCCCATTTACCTGGCTGTATCACCTCCAACTTCTACCATAAGGCACAACTTCTGTACCTTTACAACAATGCAGTTGTAATGTAAGTCTTCATAGCTTAACTATATGAAGAAGTTAAGTTTTTCACCTATTGTCATATCCTAGGAACCCTCTTCCTGAACTTGACACCAACATTTATATCACCACAGCTTTTCCCCCAAGAAACACCCAAATACACTTGGCCAGTCCTTATCACGTATGAACAACAGTTTGGTCAAGCTACATTTCCTCAAGTAGATAGGCCTTCACTGTCACAGAAGCATAAAACTGCGTCTTACCTCCAGCGGATGTAAAGGACAGTCATCCTCATCTGCAGTTACATGTACAAGCCATATAAAACAGTAATGCTTCTGCTTTTACTTCAGAACAGTATGGTAAATACAAGTTAATGTGTTTGGAAAGAAGCATGAGCATGCCAGGCAGTGATTTTGGCAAATAAAATCCTTTGTTGATGCTAAGCAAATACTTCCTTAAAATAATTCATAGTTAGTCTGAATCTGTGATTTTCTGGGTTTAATATTAATAGGAGACGACTAAGGATTGACCAAAGCAAGAGAATCTGTTAACTACAGTGCCTGTACTAAACACAAGCAACAAAATCCAGTGTTTTGAGACAATATATAACATCTCATAAAAACTTTGCAGAGTACCAAAGTTCCACTAATTAAAACCTGGTGATTCTCCGCCTTGGACTGGGTTATACCAGTTAGAGAGGGTATTACAAACCAGTTTCACTAAATTTGTTACACTCTGGATCACGAGTCTGACTGAATCAAAGTGAGGTCAAAGCCCAAAATAGTTTGGGATGTGCTGCCCAGTGCAGCTCACAGCAAGAGACTTACAGGATCAACCTAAAGATACTCTACTCCTAAACTACTAATATTTCACCACCCACCCAGTGCCTTCTCCAGCAACACGTAACAAATCTAATACCATCAGGTCAGAAAGAGGGTGGTTTCTTGTCTTGGAAGACCTTGCCAAACCAGATTTTATTTATTTTAAGTCACATTAGGACAGGGAAAGACAAAAAAAAAAAATTGTTTAATTGAGGCGTATTTCTACTGGAGCTGAACTGCCAGTTAGTGAAAACTGGCAACTTATTTATCATCTAAGTACTAATTCTGAAAAAGTCAATAAAACACGCTAGATGCTGTTGTGAAATGAAAGGGTCCTGAGAATTAGAGATTATAGCAGCTAGAATTCCAGCTAAAAAAGTATTTGTAAATAGACACGAAGTTTCCATTCAGAAGTCACAAGAGCCAAGTCTGCACTTGGGTTTAAAAAAAAACAACCAAACAAGAAACCTATCTAGCTTTCCTGTTTTCTGGAATATACTGTTTTATCTAAACAAAGTTTATAGATGATTTGGGCCATTCCTACTTTGAAAACAAGGGATTTTTAAATAATCTTTTATTTACCCAAAGAAAATAAAGAGTATCACACATGCACACAACTTTGCAGCATCCAAAGCAGTGCTCAGTTCAAATTAAGTCTTATAAACATCTTCCTTCAATTACTCGAAGTCATAAATAACTGCACTGTTTGTACTACTCTATCTTGCATTGAAGAGTCCACATTTCTATTCACAAAATTGTATGATTTAGAAAAGCCCATTTGCATTATCTGCAAGCTTGCAGAAAAGCATAATCTCACATGAAGCAGCTACATTATACAGTTGGTTTTTATATAAAAGTCCAGGGACTTTCAGGTTTGGTTGAAGGAAAACACAGCCCTTTAGCATATGCTAATTTTCCAACAAAGTTACAGCAAGGAGCTTCAGCTAAAAATAGAATATGTATTTGTGCATTCCTGATGCCCTGCCAAACTTCAGGATGGCTTTAGTTTCTAAATAGGATAACCATCAGTGGATAGAAATTAACCTTTTTTTTTGTACTCTGCATAGTTAGAAGGTAACTTTGAGATGCATTTAAGTAGGTAACTTCAAAGTATGTAAGATTACACAACACAGCTCAAAAAAATTGCTAACCTGTTTATCCTTAAGTTTATCTATATTCAAGAGAAATAAAATGTGTTTTTCCATATAGCACTTGGCCAACATTCTGCCTCTTCATACCAAGAGATCCATTCGCATAGCATTTTAAACTTGATTATTCACAGATATGCCTGCAATAACTAATCAGGTCTCTTACTATACAAAAGTATTCGATACGACTTTGCATAAGTGAAATTCTCAGGATTACATGACTAAATAATTCCACCCATACCCTTCCATCAGCACATCTTTAAATATATCCAACCTGGAATCTGTTTGTAGATTCCAGATATAGGAAAGAAAATGTTATTGCCAACACAGACTACTTGAGGGAGGGATTCAGATGCTGTGTGCACATCTATGTACTAATTGACAGATGAAGCTCCTATCATGAGAGTTACTCTCTCTGCATGCACTATTATCCATTACCATCTATTACACATATCACATCTGACAGAAGTGATGCGTGTCTTGCTAAAATGTGAGATAAGCCACACAGTGGGAAGAAAACCTGCAAGGTTATCATATACAGAACAAAATACAACCCAACAATATCGTATTTATTCAACCCAGGGCAGAGGGTGGGTGGGTGCAGAGCACGAACATGAAAAGACAAAAGTTTTACATGAGGCATAGGTCAGGAGTTGCAAAAAGACTGACAACCTTCTGGAGATGGGCTTAGCTAAGCCTCCAGTTTGCTCTAAGAAAGAAGAATATCAGCTGCTCCCTATTTCTGTAAGAGCACATGCCCTCTTTCCCCCACTAAAATTACCAATGGCAAGAAGTGACGCAGGATGCCTTTGCGTCAGGCAACATCAATCCTTTGTGCTTTGTCTATTACATAGGACAACACCATGTTCACATCGACATTTGCAAAGCCACTAGGGTACTGCATTTTGAGACTGGGTGATAAAAGCATGAGCAGAGAAACCTTACGGCTGTGCAGGTCTTTATCATACAAAACGCAGACAAGCTGTATCATACCTCCCTTGCAATGGGCTGTCATCAAAGGAAACAATATGTTAAAGATGTCTGAAAAGTGAGACCAAACTCATCAGCTAGACAAAGAGATCAAGCACATATTGCAAAATTCAAAAGCAGCATGTTACACAAGATGAGCTATGTGCGAAAGCTGTGCATGTAGATCTAAATCAGCAAAAACTGTGTTAAAACTGTAGACACTTAGACTCAAAGATGATCTAACTACTGGGTTATCCCAAGACAACCGAGCATTCCAGAAAAACACATATAGCTTTCTTCAGAAGAGCAGAGATTTTATTTTTTTTTACTTCTGATCCAAATCTCCCAAAGTAATTAAATCTGGAACACGGTATCCCTTATGAATTTCCATTAAGTCCAAATGAAAATTATACTTGAAATTTTTCTTCAAAATGCTCTACACTCCTTAAAGATTATTATTCAATGGTAATTGATAAATACCCCAGAAAAACACTCTATAGCTATTTTCTTTACATGTCTATTACAGAGTCTTTACTGCTACCCTACACCAATGTGAGGTCTCATTACAAAAAGTCCAAGAAGTACGCATATCAACCAAGCCTTCCCTTTGAAGGACGGCTATCAACCTTTACAACCACCATGGGATGTGCACTGCAAGAACACCACAGCTTTTATGAAAACGAGTCTTGAATGCAAATCTTACTGTGATTTTAAATTTACAAAGTAACAGCTTGAGGAAGCCTTGGACACTTTTGTAATACAGCCATTGCCATTATCTCTTACCATTGTTGAAACAATCAGTCCAAGAATATGAGTACCCAGATCTCTGTTGCTTGCTAAATTAATAGTCTTTCCTATTACTATTCAACACAAATCATAAGCTGCTCTAAAACTTCCATAAAATTACAAGCTGATATTCAGTCAGTTATAGCATGCACCAGAGCATACAACCTGCTTTGCCTTCATCATGGCAGTTTTACTGTTTACAGTCTAGTAAAAGGTTTTACATCCAACTGAGCACATAAAACTCTGGTAGCCAACACTAGGAATTATGAAAACAAAACATCAGATGACACAATGTTCTTACTTTTAGCAGTTCAAAGTAATGAAGACAGTGGTAAACAGGGGCCAGGAGCAGCCGGGGTAGAACATACTGAACAGCTTCTTTAAAGCCTTCACCTATTGACTAGAAACAAAATAAGTTTCAGTCTTAAAACAGTAAATGCATTGAAACAACAATATAATGTAATTAAAACAGTAATATCAATAATATGGCTCACTTAAAAGAAAGTTACCTGTAAATAAAATGCTGCTCCTGGCTTTGATAATTGACTTAGAAAATGATCATGAAAACCAGGTCGCAAAATATCTTGTGCATATGATTCATACGGATCAAATGCTAATTCCTAAGAAGAAATACAGATTAATTTTACAAAGCTGATTTAATATCTCAACTTCATATTTCTTAAAGAAAATACACTACATAGGAGAGACTTTCCTGCATACTTTTTCCAAAATACCTATATCGAAGATTCAATACTTTTATGTGCACACACTCATGGAGTAATTCAGTCTGGAAGAGATCTCTGGAGGTCAACAGTTTGCTCAGGGTCAAAGCCAAATCCAGCATCAAAACTAGCTGAGGTTGCTCAGGGTCTCATCCAGTTGAATACCAGGTACCTCTAAGAACAAAGGCATCAAAACCTCTCTGTGCAGCCTATTCCAATGTTCAGTTGTTCTCATGGCAGATCCCCCTCCCCAGTCTAATCAGGGTCATTCTTTCTACCATTCACATGTTCTCTCTCATCTCATTTCACAGTTTTCTACTGTGAGCCCCCAGTAAGATTTCGCCTCAGTCTTTTCTCCACATTCCTTTCAGGTAACTGAAGATACAATAATCTCTACTTCCTCAGACTTCTAAGACTGAACAAACACAGCACAATTAATCCTCTTTGTACACCATGGACCTTAACTCCTTAATCACCATGGCAACCCTCATGTATAAGCAAATCTTATAGAATCATAGAATAGAATCATAGAATAGTTGGGGTTGGAAGGGACCTTAGAATTCTAACCCCCCTGCCATGGGCAGAGACACCTCACACTAAACCATGCCACCCAAGGCTCTGTCCAACCTGGCCTTGAACAGTGCCAGGGATGGAGCATTCACAACTTCCCTGGGCAACCTATTCCAGTGCCTCACCACCCTTATAGTAAAGAACTTCTTCCTTATATCCAGTTTAAACTTCCCCTGTTTAAGTTTTAACGTGTTACCCCTTGTCCTATCACTACAGTCCCTAATGAAGAGTCCTTGTACTAGGAAGTCTTGTACTACAAAAACCAAAACTGGATGCAGTATGCCAGATGTGGTCACAAGTGCTACACAGAAATTATCACTCCACCTGCCAGCCCCATTTTTCCTAATAAAACCCAGTAGTCAGTTACCCTTCACTGCCCCTTCCTGAGGATTTTCAAGCCCTGTCGAACACTGCTGCTCCTCAGCCAGGCAGCTAGACGATTGCATGGGGTTGTCTAGTCTCAGGTGCTGAACTTCCCGTTTTCCTTTACTCAGTTCTATGAGGTTCCTATAGATAGGTCTGTTTCTCTGGCCTGTCAGGTCCCCAGAGAAATAGCCTGTCCTCCTCTATGTCCCCCCACAATTTAGCATCACCTACCAAGGAGAAGGAAGACCTTCTACCACAACACTAATACAGACATTAAACAGTATCAGCCCCAGTGTCAAACACTGAGGACTGCCACTAACTGTTCTCTACCACATGGACTTCATACTGTTGATAGTCATTCAAGCCTTTCAGTCCAGCCAATTTCCCACCCATTCTAATTCAATTAGCTAGTCTGCATCTCTCTAAGCTGACTATAAGGATACTATGAGAGACTGTGCTGAAGGCCTTGCTTAAATTCAGATAAGGGATATTAACTGCCCCTTCCCTTTGTCCATGGAGCCAGGCATCTCCTCTTAGAAAGCAGTCAAGCTGGTCAGGTACAGTCTGTTCTTCAGAAATCTGTACTGGCTGTTGCAAATCACCTTACAGTCCTTCACGGGGCTGGATGTGAGCTCCAGAAAGATTTGCTAATCTTCTCAGACACTGAGGAGATGCTGACCAACTTCTAGTTTCTAGGATCCTCCTCATCAGTCTTTTTGAGACAGGGTATAACAATCTCCAGTCACCAGAGACCTCCACAACTCACCACTAAATTTCAGGAACTCGAGACAGCAGCCTTGCAATGACATTAGGCAGCTGCCTCAGCATCCTGTCCTGGCTCATAAACTTGCATATAGCCACTTGAGATCAATAGTCCCTAACTTATCTTTGACTTTCACCTCCCTCCCTCAATCTTTGATAGCAGGACTAACTGGTAAACCTAAGAAGCACATTTTGCCACTAAAAGTCAAGCAAAGGACACTTGAGTACCTCAGTCCAGCACACAGCCTCTCACCCCACAAGCAAGATACCCATGTTTTCTACCATCATCTTTTTTATGCTGTTTTACCTATCCAAGCTATGCTTTGCTTCATATCCCTCACAACTAAACCATGTCCCTGAGCATCATGCCTACAATTCTTTAAAGTACCTCCAGGAATAGTGACTCAACCACTTCCCTGGACAGCCTGTTCCAATGTTTGAAAACCCTTTTGGTGAAGAATTTTTTCCTAATATCCAGTCTAAACCTCCCCTGGTGCATCTTGAGGCCATTTCCTCTTGTCCTATCACTAGCTACCTGGGAGAAGAAACCAATATCCACCACATTATCACTCCCTTCAGGTAGTTGAAGAGAGCAATAAAAGCCCCTCAGCCTCCTTTTCTTCAGAATAAACAAGCAGAGTTCCCTCAGCGGCTCCTCACAGGAGTTGTTCTCTAGACCCTTCACCAGCTTTTTAATCTTCTTAGGATGCACTCCAGCACCTCAAAATGTCCTTCCTGTAGTGAGATGCCCAAGTTTGGTTAAACAGGAAAATCCACACTGCACTTGTCCTTGCCTCCTGCTGCACCTACCCTTTTCCTTACGGACAGGGAACGCATAGTCCCTGTGATCTGAGCACACTGCCTTTGAAAATAAAACAGTTCTCCTGAGCCCTTTCCACCTTCAAGGTAGCCACCACTATGATCCTGCCTCCCAGCTAGGTCTACTCTCCCAAAGACCAGGATCCTTTAGTCTGCTTACCTCCCGCACTTTTCTCAGGACCTTAAACTCTATCATCGCTACCTCTTACTGGTAAACATGCCATTAGCTACGATGTTCCTGCCAGTTCTTCCTTGTTTATGGGAAAGAGGTCAAGTGTAGCACCCTTCTTAGCTGGCTCATCAGCGTATGCCACAAAGTGTCCCAGTGCCTTCCAGAAATCTTCTGGATTACCCAAAAAACTGCAAGTTGTCCACCCCAATGCCAGGAAGGTCAATTCTCCCTGAGAAGCAGGGCCTGCAATAAACAGATGACTCCTACTTGCTTACAGAAAGCTTTGGCCACGTGTTGATTGGACAGTTCGCAGGAGAAGCTTGACTACAACATGCCTTTTGGTGGTCTCCTAAGATTCTGATCCTTAAGTATTCAACCAGTTGATCATTCATTCTGTAACAGAGCTCCATGTATTTGAGACAACCTTCTGTTAAGCCTCCTGGCTTCATCTTTCCCACCTGTCCTTCCAGAGTACCTGTATTTGTTTATACAGCCCTCCATCATGCAACCCTTCATCATGCAACCCTTCCTGCCACATCACTAATTCCAGCCACATGACAGCTCTGCAACCCTGCACAGACTCACAGATCACAGTATCACAGTATCACAGTATGCTGGAGATTGGAAGGGACCTCAAAAGATCATCTAGTCCAATCCCCCTGCCAGAGCAGGAACACCTAGATAACGTTACACAGGAATGTGTCCAGGCGGGCTTTGAATGTCTCCAGGGAAGGAGACTCCACAACCTCCCTGGGCAGCCTGTTCCAGTGTTCCGTCACCCTCACTGAGAAGAAGTTCCTTCTCAAGTTTAAGTGGAACCTCTTGTGTTCCAGTTTGCACCCATTACCCCTTGTCCTATCATTGTTTGCCACTGAGTAGAGCCTGGCTCCATCCTCGTGACACTCCCCCTTTATATATTTATAGACACTTATAAGGTCACCCCTCAGTCTCCTCTTCTCTAAACTATAAAGACCCAGCTCCCTCAGTCTTTTCTCATAAGGGAGATGCTCCACTCCCTTAATCATCTTGGTTGCCCTGCGCTGGACTCTCTCCAGCAGCTCCCTGTCCTTCTTGAACTGAGGGGCCCAGAACTGGACACAATATTCCAGATGGGGTCTCACCAGGGCAGAGTAGAGGGGAAGGAGGACCTCTCGACCTACTAACCACCCCCCTTCTAATACACCCCAGGATGCCATTGGCCTTCTTAGCCACAAGGGCTAAGTGTTGGCTCATGGTCATCCTGTCGTCCACTAGGACCCCCAGGTCCCTCTCCCCTACACTGCTCTCTAGCAGGTCGTTCCCCAATCTATACTGGATCCTGGGGTTGTTCCTGCCCAGATGCAGGACTCTACACTTTCCCTTGTTATATTTCATCCCGTTATTCCCTGCCCAACTCTCCAGCCTGTCCAGGTCTCGCTGGATGGCAGCACAGCCTTCTGGCGTGTCAGCCACTCCTCCCAGCTTAGTGTCATCAGCAAACTTGCTGATAGTACACTCAATTCCCTCATCTAAATCATTGATGAATATATTAAATAATACTGGTCCCAGTACTGACCCTTGAGGCACTCCACTAGTTACAGGCCTCCAACTAGACTCAGCCCCATAGACTACAACTCTCTGGCTTCTCTCCTTCAGCCAGTTCGCAGTCCACCTCACTACCTGGTCATCCAGTCCACACTTCCTCAATTTAGCCGTGAGGATGCTGTGAGAGACTGTGTCAAAGGCTTTGCTGAAGTCAAGGTAGACCACATCCACCGCTCTGCCATCATCCATCCACCGTGTTATTTCCTCATAAAAGGCTAAGAGATTGGTCAAACCTGGTGAAGCCATGTTGACTGCCCCTCATAACCCTCTTATCCTTGATATGCTTTAAGATGGCACCAAGGACAAGGTGTTCCATCACTTTCCCAGGGATGGAGGTGAGGCTGACCGGTCTATAGTTACCCGGGTCCTCCTTCTTGCCCTTTTTGAAGACCGGAGTGACATTTGCCTTCCTCCAGTCCTCAGGCACCTCTCCCGTTTCCCAGGACTTGGTAAAGATGATGGCGAGTGGTCTAGCAATGACTTCCGCCAGTTCCCTCAGCACCCGCGGGTGCATCCCATCTGGACCCATGGATTTATGGACGTCCAGACAGCTGATCTCTAACCCATTCCTCATCGACTAAGGCAAGTCGCTCCGTCGACCTGACTTCATCTAAGGTCTCAGGGGTATAGGGCTCTTCAGGACTGCCTGCAGCAGAGTAGACAGAGACAAAGAAGGCATTCAGTAACTCTGCCATCTCTGCATCTTCTGTCACCAGGGCACCCATCCCGTTCATCAGTGGGCCTACATTGCCTCTGGTGTTAGTTTTGTCTGCCATGTACTTGAAAAAGCTCTTTTTGCTGTCCTTGACCCTTCTTGCCAGGTTTAATTCTAAGGAAGCCTTAGTCCTCCTAGCTGCCTTCCTACATCCCCTAGCAGCAGCCTTATATTCCTCCCAAGTGGCCAGCCCCTCCTTCCATGACCTGTAAACTCTCCTCTTCCACTTGAGCATACCCAGCAATTCCCTATTTAGCCACACAGGTCTCTTGGCCCTCTTCCTTGACTTCCTACGTGTCAATAGATCCTATTATCTGTACATGAACACATGTACCCTGGGGAAACAGAGACTTCAGATTAGCCTTTGGCCATCCCACCTTCTCAGGAAAAAGGTGGAAGAGCCTTGGCTGCCATGTTTTCCATTATGCACATCCCCTTCTCCTCTCAATTCTTCAATCTGCAAGCTTTGGCCTCCATTCACTAGTGAGCCCAGTTTATAAGCCTTCCTCACCAGCTCAGCAAGTCTGTTGGCAAAGAAGTCCTTCTCCCATTTGCTTTCCACAGCAATCCTGATCCACAACTGATTTACAGGATACCTCTGTTTCTGTCAAAGTCCAGTCACAGGTGTTTGGGGTATTTCCCCCCCAATGCCCCCTAAATTTTAAACAGCTCTATTAAAAACTGAAGTTTAGAGACTAAAAAGGTAAAAGCACTCTCAAAACCAGGCAGTCTTATTCATCGTGGTGGAGCTGGAAGAAGAAATCACAGCCTAAACTAAAGCAGCTACAAAGAGATTCACTTAGCACCTAAGTGCCAGTCATTAAAATACATAAATAGCAAAAAAAGAACCCTGCCCTCCCCCCACAAACCCCACAAAAAAAAAACACACAAAAAACCAACCAAACAAAAAAACCCCACCAAAAAACAAAAAAACCCAAAACCCCACAGAATATATTCTTACCTCAGCCATGTCTTCAAAACAGCTGCCTACTAGGGGATGAGGACTACCTTCATCTGTCATTTCAACGGTGTCTTCTATATGACCCAATAACTTAACACTAAGTTCATGTATGTCTGATATACGACTAAATATATTTTCCACATCCTGCAAAAAGCAACAGAACCAAACAAAATTCAACAGGGAATTTGATACAATTTCTAAGAGAAAGAATGTTATGTGCAAAGCTACTCTGATGATATGCAACTCAAGCACTTCCTCAAATTACAGAACAAAATTTTATATTTTATTATGTAATTTCTGTAGAATTTATATAAGATCATAAAATTTATTTCTTAAATAACTACATATATGTCTAAGTATCTAAAAAGTTAGAATGAATCAAATATGGCAAAGAACAACAATAATAAAAATTACAGGCCTGCAAGTGAATACAGTGAATTGGGTGGTTTCTTCCACAGTTCTACAAAACCCATGGCTCCTCACAAGTGCTCCTTTACTATTTCCATTTCACAATTTGAGACAGGTGCTTCCTCTACTACTGATATGTTAAACTGGGCAATAGTTAAGTTCTAGAAATGTTCATCTAGATTTACAGCTATTATAAGAGGGAGTTTCTTGTTTGTGGTTACAATACTTACATGAGATGAAAACAATTTGGAATTGGAGGCATATGGCTCTCTAAAAACTCTGATAATGAGATTTAGTTCCCTTATATATTGTCGAACCTCTGCCATGAATGACTTTACAAGGTCATAATAGGTTTGCTCCCCTGAGGTGGAGGGTTCCTCATCAGATAAAGTTAGTGCACTTAAATCTTCTACATCTTGATGGAACATATCCATTAATACCTAAGTAGCAAAGACAGGGAAATCCACAAAGTGAGAACAACCTCTTTTCAAGAACTACCAGTAAGTTACCAATTAATGAAATCTATTCTTCACATGAAATCAGACTGATCAGCAGTAAGATTTACAGATTATTATTCTGTACTTGCTTGAGCATTTACAAAAGCAATATTCATTGCTGCAAATTTGCATTATTTGCAGTTAGACCAATCCAGGCATCTCTCCAAGAATGTGGTCGTAAAAGCAATTACAATTTTAAGAAGACTATGAAGTATACAGACACATTTAGCTGTATACTATTACTCTGCATTAGCCATGCATAACCTCAAGATACTACAGTATCTGAAGTCAGAAAATACGTGTATTTTGGCTTTTCAGCTTTAGGTTTAACAGGAAGTCACACACAATCATACCAAAAACCTTGTAATCTATCTGTGAACAACACTGGCCTACCCAGACATACAGTGTGGCATGGTTTCTGTCCCTCTGACTCTCAAGGAAGGGCACCAGCCTCAGAAAAGGTGGCAGTCACATTGCAGAACTACATAGATGAAAAGACCTTGACTACCAGAGGTCCCAGTTCATACCCAAGCCAAGGCTTACCAAACACAAGCAATTAATAATTTGAACTTCAAGAAAAGTGGATCACTGAACACTTCTTCCAAACATGGTATCTGAGCCAGAAGTCATTACAATGACTTAGGCAAGTGGCAACCAGAAATCACACTTTGGGGTTGTTTCTGCGATACTCAAAGAATATCTCAAAGCTAAACTAAATAAGTTGACTGCAAATTAGTAAAATGCATCCTGATTTTAAGTATGTTTAGCAGAAAGAAAACCTAAGGAGGGTCCACAAACAATCTATGATGACACAGCAGATCTTAACAACAAGCCAGCATAAGATGTAGGTCAACATACAAGATGACTTTGTCCTGGGATAGATGGGAATAGTATTTATAGGCCAATCTGCTGCCCAGAGCTACATCCCTTCCAGAAAGTCATGAATTGTATTGAACAATACATGTGAACTTCAAAACACAAGAGAACTGAAGAACTGCTTGCCAGCCTCCTTCCCAAACAAATGGAAGTAAAGCCATGGAAACATATGCCTGTTACTGCAGAGACTGACCTGACAGCTGTCAATCATTGACAAGACTGAGGAAAAGACTGCAGGATCAAAGCTGTAAAAACCTCTTCTGAGAGCTGCAGAGAGGAAGGCTAACACATTAAACACGAACTAGAGGTTTTAAAATGACAGAAACAGAGTAAGAAGTGTTTTTTCAAAGTAATTATAGAACTGCAGATCAAGAATTAAACTTCTGAACAAGCACAACAAACATGGCATTTAACCTGGTATTTACAGTTAGCCATTATTCTTCACAGCATGTTACAGGCACTTCTGCAGAAGACATATCAGTTAACCAAGCTGTGACTACTGATACTAGTGAACTATTCTGCAAGAGAATACTTGGTAACCTGTAAGTTCAAGAGATTGTCTGCTAGGTTCAGACTTGAATACTACAAGAACACACCTACCTAGAGCAGTCATTCTTCACACAGGTCTTGCCCTAACACTCCTCGCAAATATACACATCTAGAGAGGAGGGAAAATGGGAAACAGCAGGTTCTTCCTCCTAGTGAGTCAAAGGTCCCTGCTACACACCCGGTCTTAACCTTTTCTGAAAGCAGAACAATGGACATTTTGCATTAAGACTGTCTTCTTCTGAAGCTCTAAGAGCAGGTGGTGATTCTTCTTTCAAAGCCAGTACATAGAACTCAGGTTATAGAGTCCTGACTGTTTCTGGGGAATGGGACATTATTGGGTCAGTACTGCAGGAAATTATATGGAATATTGCAGGGATTCAAGGAAGCTCCAACATTTGTAACTACTTTGCAGAAGCAATTCTAGCATGTACTTGAGCTAGAAGATTCCAGGCTGCATTCGCAAGGTGTATATCCCACTACTATGAAATCCATAGAAAGAACGAGCAAACAGAGAAGAAAAACAGCTTGCATTTTACTGCAGTTTGCTTTTTGTAGACAAGGCACAGTTTTCCAGATGGATGAATAGCACAAAAGCAAGTGTGAAAGCGCTTGGGAAAAAAAAAAAGAAAGGCACACAGGGCCAAGAAACTCTTCTAGTTGTTTTGTTTCAAAAAATAAGACCAAGCAGAACACATGTTATGAGAATGAAAATAATATACTATGAACTTTCTCAATACAACTGGAAGGAAAACACCTTGGGAGCACCTTTCAATGGCTTATTCTGTAGAGGCAGTAAACCAACAGGTTTAGAGCCTTTCAAAAGTTTCTTCTCTGAGTTCCTGTAATGTAATGTAACAGAAGTGCTTAAATCAAGTAAATCGCACCTTTTCTAGGATAGAAAGAAGTACAAAGCAATAGCACTTATTCCTGTTACTATTCTATGACAAATATTCAAGCATACAACTTCAAACCCTGCCCTAATGACCCAGGCAGATATGCCCAAAGTCAAGAGTGACCAAGACTCCTGACCCATCTGAGAAGTACTTCACTTTTCAAGACCTCATCAGATATCTTTAAACAGAGTTAGAAGAAAAGTGAAGGAAGTATGATGAAAAAAAAAGCAAGAAGGAAGAGATAAAGACATTAACTGAAACAGAGACAACCCGAAGACACTGATTAACACAGACCGGGACAAAATATTGGAAAGAGGTGATAAACCTGAAAATCTCTAGACTTCAAGACTAGAGATCCTTTAATCCTATCCCTTAAAGGATTAACTTCAAGCTTTGTTTTGTAAACAATGGAAAACTTGAGATGCTAACAAAGCGGCCACAGAAAGGAGTGTGCAAAGGCACCTGAAAGACAGACAGGGGACTTTGTTCTATTAACTGCTGGGAAGAGCAGGGATTTCTGTCTGAATCTAATCAATCTTCTGAAGCTACAAGAAAGACTACCTGCGGATAAAAATATGAACGGCTAAGGAGGATTAGGCTGATATGCTAACACAGGTGTGGGGTTCTTTTTAAATGCTGGACCATTGAAAGTTGGCTTTTCACATGCAATATAGTCTTTTATTCTGGGAGAACACCCAAGCTTTATTTCAGACTTCTTTTTTTGAAGCTACAAAAAATGCTCCACTATTACAGCTTAGGAATGTTACATTTTTAAGTTAGTGCTGCTTAACGGTATTTTTAAAGCATTCACACCTTGCTGAGATTAGGCAAGTGATATCAAAAGGAAGAGAAACTTTATTAATAAATAAGCACAAGCAATAGCTCTGTAAACTCAATTAGCTTTTTGGTAGCTTTGCTCTATTATCAGAACTATTTTATGGCAGTAATTTCTTCTTTCAAAGGTACAACACTCAATGAACTCAATAAGGAATAGACATTGTCCACTCAAAGCTTAACTAAAGTTTCCTGTTAACATGAGAAACAAGAACTAGGCTTACCTTATCAGCACACATTGCCACTTTAATATCTTGTTTTGTAATCTCATAATGTCTTATATTCCGCACATAATTCCCAACCAGTTTTAAGATGTCTGCAGAAATGTATTCTAATACTGCCACTATGTAAACAGACACTTGGTGGTCAATTTTGTAGCCTAGAACTTCCTGAAAGGAGAAAAAAAAAAACAAACCAACCATGTTCCACTGTTATTCAGACAACAAAACAGACACCACAGGTTACAACTAAACCCAGGTAAGTTTAAGACCCTACTCAATAAACATTCACCACATATCCACAGTCCATTTTAGAAATAGAACAAGTGGTCTGTAGGCCTAGAGAAGAAAGTATAGGTGTTGTTACTCTGCTGAAGTGACAATAGCCAATGACTGTGCCAAAAACCGTACTTAAATGTTTAGGGCTATTTCCAGAAGCTTCTTGAGCATTTTCTTAGTAGTGCAAAATGAAACAAGCATCACAGAATCATAGAATCGTTAGGGTTGGAAAGGACCTTAAGATCATCTAGTTCCAACGCCCCTGCCATGGGCAGGGACACCTCACACTAAACCATGTCATCCAAGGCCTCATCCAACCTGGTCTTGAACACTGCCAGGGATGGAGCATTCACAACCTCCCTGGGCAACCCATTCCAGTGCCTCACCACCCTTACAGTAAAGAACTTCCTCCTTATATCCAATCTAAACTTTCCCTGTTTAAGTTTTAACCCGTTACCCCTTGTCATACAAATAATCAAATTCAGAACAAATGAGTTCTAGGCTTTGTTTATCGTAGAGAATTAACTAATTTTAAGGGAAAGAGGAATACAATTAAATGTATTTAAATATAATAAAATGCTATTAAATAAACAGGAACACTTAAAACTAGGTAACAAATACAGATATTCTTAATCCTTTTTGTTTACATTTCAGGCAGCATACAGCCACTACATGAAACAAAGGCATCAAATTCTAATTGCATTCTAAAAGCAGGATTGCACCACTGCTTACCTTTAATAAAGGATGGATTTTTTCTACTGGGAGAGATAACGGATTTCTTCGCTTCCTCTTCTCAATAGCAGACTGGGCATCAGCTATTGCCCATTTGTCAATAGGATGGGGAAAACTTTTTTGAACACGATCCTTAAAAAAAACACAACTAAAGGGTAAATCCACAATCTGCATGAGCTTAGCAATACTACTACATTATCAAATCACTTTCCATTACTTAACAAGAGACTATTTGCTTATGTTAGTATTTCAACTATAGAAGCTCGCACAATGTGTAAATTTTATCATTTTGGTACATGCTATTCACTACATTCATAGATTTGTATCAGAATATAATTATTATAGAATAATCTAGTGCTCAAAATTTGAGAAATACCAGATTTAAGTTGCCACTGCAGGCACAATTCGCTCCCCTTGTGCGCTTGCCTAGTAATTCAGCATTTAAATACATGACTACACTTTCTCCTAGTACTTTATTCCCTGTACAGAATGGTCACTGAATGAGATGACACGAGTTTTCTGTTTCACCTTTACTGATCAGGATGCGGTCCAGATTGTATATGTGCAAACTACTCTGATGAGGCAATGAATGCAACAGGTACAAATATGTCCAACAGCACCCATGTATTTTAAAACAGTTTCATAGTCTACAGTTGGACCACATATGCCCCACTTTATTTACTCTTTCCAGCAGCCAGGGTGACTGAGGGCACCTACCCTTTCCTGCTGGAAACCACACACTGGTCTCTGGAGGTTCAAAGCTTCAGTTTTTGGTAGCCCTGGTGTTCACAGACACCAAAAATTTAGTTTCTCTGATAACTTCATATTTTTTTCAGACCACAGTTCCCACTGAGTGTTTTGGTTACAAGTGCTCACTTACGTAAATATGACCCCCGTTTGAGCAACCACGAAACGAGGAAGATGAAGTTAATGACCTCTTACAATGATCTGGTACAGGACAAAGTACACAAAAACTTTCTAACAAAATAACTGGGACAGAATACAATTCTATAAAGGTGGCGCCGATCTTTGCAAAGTACAGGCTTTTCTTATTCTCCCCTCATCGAAACAATTCTTCAAGAGGAAAGCAGAGGTCCTGTAAAAAAAGTCTCATTCACTATCTAAAACCAATTCACTCCCCCAGAATAGTCCACCCTGCTGACTGAACAACAAAGGTGTCCTGGGGCAATAATAAATGTGTATGACCATATAATTAAAGACAGCATCGTTATGCATAAACACAAAGGAGGTAAACTGAGGTTGCTTGGTCATCTCTAATTCTTGCATTTCTCATCCTGATGTCACAGAATTGTCCCCCAATGCTGTGTGTCAATTTTTTTTGTTTAAAAAAAATTACTGAAAATACAGCATTAAACCATCTTCCACAAACCTCTTGTCTCTTGCACTGCCAGACCAGAATGATGTTGCAAAATAGGCCAGCCATTAATGGGGACACGGGAACACCATCAGAGGTGTCAGTGTTCAGAAGAGAAGAATGAAATTCATGAATCTTGAGCTCAGAGACAACTACTTTTACTTCTTAATTGAGTTTTGATTTTTTGTTGCTGGGTTGTTTTGTTTTTTTCCGTTAGTCTACTTCCTTCAGAACGTGAGGAAGTTGCATTTTGTTTTGTTACCTACCCCAGCACAGTCACAGCTCCCAAGCACTGAAAACCAAAAGGCGCACCATGCATGGAGTCTGTAGCTTGGCACCAAAATCTTCAAATCATGATTAAGCACAAAAGGCTACCAAGGTATTCATGGGTTTAGAAGCTCAAGTCATTTAGCTTAACTAATTTGCTTCTCAGATGGAAAAACTCTTCTCAGATCAAGCCCTCTTCTCAATCACCAAGCTGCTTTTTCCAAGCAACAGACGTAAGTCTTTGAAAAGGCAATTGTAAGAGAACAGGTTCCTATACAGAGGAAAGAAGTGTTCCTCAGCTCATTCTGAGAAAGTGACTGAACTATTTTTGTTCAACTTTCCAGGACAGCAGGGTGTATATCACTCTAAATCACTGCTGAGACAGCAGCACAGAGCCTCAGACTAAGCAGCTATAGTTTGCATGCACTACCAGTGGGGACAAAAAGGCCTTTTGAAAGGAACCAGTCAGATTTACATAAACAAGCTACACTCACCATCTATTATACAGCAATACAGTTCAGAGATAGTTTTACTGTGCATTGAACAACAAATTCAGTTAACAAAATCAGATATTGGATAAGTCAGCAGGTTTTATGCAGAAGGTTCTGCTACAGAAAGACAATTACTGCTTTCCTTTTTACACTGTGAGGGATTAATATATTAACTTTTCATATAACAGTTCAAATTATTACAGGTTTAACAGTTATTCTCTATACCTCTACATCCAGGAAACTTCTTGGTTGGGCTTGACACAACATATTTAACAACTGGAGAATTAACTCCTCCACATACTGCAATGCATCTTCAGTAGAGGAAAGTTTAGGATGGACTTGCACCTGAACCTATAGGGAATAGAAGAATTCCAGCTTTGAGTTTTGCTCTTCCCCAAACCACATACTTTACTTGCAAAAACAATGACAAATGAGGCAAAGAGCTCAGGAAAATCCAACCCAAAACGTAGCTCTATTAAGGCGCCCCAGACAAACACGAGTGAAACACTCACCTATACGTGACAGAAATACAATTGTTAAATGTATTCAAATCACTGTGACGTTTAATGCCAAAAAAACAGCTAATGAATAACAGTGCAATTAGGAAAACTGTTTTAAATTCCTGCACATATTCATCTTTGTCCCCTAGATCTTAAACCACTGTTTGTACAAGACATTTTAGACATGGTGGTCTTCTGCCTTTTACAACACGTTGTTCATCACTCAATCTACAATAACAAAATGGAGAGCTTTTTCACAGGACTACAGAAACAGCAATGGTTTCAGCAGTATTTAGCCTTCCAATTATTTAACCCATTCTTAGGAAGCTCCCACTAAAGTTAGCTTAGAAGATTGTTTCCACACCAATTTTTAATATTTCAGCCTCTAGAGCGAAAAACACTTCTACAAAGGCCACAGTGTTGTCCTGACACTAAGTGGCAGCTCAGAGATTTTACAGTTTGGCCTCCATACTTTTACTTGTATAAATGCTTGTAAATTCTCACTGGTGTAAACCCACTGAGGCAGATCCTCCTTGCTCCCCTTATTTTTCCAGACAGTGATTTAAGTTCTAAAACAAGCCTAGCTTTCCTTTGCACAAAACAGCAGAGTTTTAACTAGTTTCAATTTCATGTACACAAAGATCAGTATCTCAGATCTTAGGCAGATAGTTTTAATCTCAATCCTACTACACTGATGGCAAATATGCCAGAGCAAACTTACTGTTAACTTTCGCAATGCATCTTTCAAGCCCCAATTTCATCATTTTAGCATTCCACTGTACACAACCCAAAATGCCTCCAGTTCTCCCAATCACTATCACAATCTTGTAACTACCTTAAGCCAAAACCCAACAATCCAAATATCAAACCCAGGTCTATGTTCAAAAAAATGGTACCATAACTATTTAATTTCACACCTGAGATTTCATTCCTGTTTGCAGTTATAGCGAGAATTAAATGTTATGAAGTTAAAACACAACAGCATCAAATAGAAATCTACTTGCCTGCTAAGGCACTCATTAGTTTGAAAACTTCATGTCTGGGCATAGTCCTGGTGCTCATATAACCACTGCTGAGATTTAAATACACAAGATCATGCGCTTAGTTTCCTGCAGACTGCATACCCTTATGCAGCAGGTCTTAAAAAAACAACACCTCCAGAAGTTACTGCGTTTTAAACTTAAAAGCACTCTGACAAAAATAGAACAGAACATCTCTCCATTTGACTAGCCAACGCAACTATTTTGATTATGCCAACAGTTTCGTTTTTCCTAAGAAGCTCACCATACACAGCTACAGAATGTGTTTGTGGAGGTGCCCGAGTAACAGCATGCCCAGCAGTCCCAAGCATTATTTACAATTCAAACACTGACATCTGAAATACTGTACCAGCTTGGAACATCTTAACACCAGAAATTACAGACTTGCAGAAGTATTCTCTTGAAGATCTGAGCTGATCTGAGCTGCCTGGAAAATGCTGCCTTTAATGTTTTGTTGGGTTTTTTTCTAAAGCAGAACTGAACAAATTTCTAACACATTCTCCCTACAGTATACACTGGCACTTTGTATTTTGAGAAGCATTAAATTACCAAGTCAAGCCAACAGTAAAAATACACAGCATGATAAACCAGAGTGATGAAGAGCAGCTCCAGTTTCTCCTTTACTTAGAGAACAGATTGTAGACTTAAATAGCCTCATTGCAACTCTTTCAGTCTAACACAGAGTCTATAGGAATAAATAAAAATACCACATCAGGCTGTGACCTGAAACATTATCTGTAGTCAGCCAAAGCAGAGTCAACAATAATAACCTACTCCTAGTTCAGGAGATAAAGTTCCAAACATTTTTCCTAAGCATTTATGTTTGGGGGGCAATTATATCATTCTTCTCAAAGGCCACAGTCTTCTGGCACTTTCAAGCTCTACTTTAATAGACTATCCACCTCAGCAAAGGAAAACATCATGAGGTGTCACTGGTATGCCAGTGTAGTTTATCTATATTAGGTAGTAAATAAGCTTCATTGCTACTTAAGTGAGATTTAGTATCATTTAGAGTTCAAAGTCATATAAGCGAAAGCAAGAAAACAAGGACACTAACAGAGAAAATTACAGGATAGCTGGTGTACAATTATCACAGGAACGTGTAATTTCAGCATCTGCACTAATGTAATACCTAAAGGCTCAGACCGAGAGTTTAACAGTGTTATTTGAGGGTACTCAAGGCCAGTCCCAAGAAATCCATTATCTAAGACATGATGCAAGACTGGGTAAGATGAAAGATTTAGTAAGAGAAGACAAGAAACGAGAACATCGGTTAGCATACAGCATCACGTGGCCAGTTTCACAAAGAAGATCCAGCTACCAGGGGGTTTCCATCCTTCTCAAAGGCAGTTCAGATTTTAAATTAAAAAAGCTGGGCCACCCTGCCTTATCATTCTTGAAAAGGAGGAGCATGGCTTGAATCCCACCAGACCCTTCACAGTCCTATGTTAGGAATACACATGATAAAAATAGACTAACAACTTCTGAAGTGTAGTGATATTTAGATAAGATTCTTATCTTAAATAATGACAGAACCCATGCCTTCCCTCCTACATACCCCCCGCCCCCCCCAAGTGTCTGTCCCACAAGGGAAATTATTAAAAGAGCAGCTTAAGATCTTTTCACAAAAGCTTTCAATCCTTTGGAATACCCCAACAAATTCTAATGGGCAAATACAATCTGCATCAGCTACAAATCCCAACCTCCACAGCTCAGTTTTCACTCATATGATCACCTTTTTAAATGTCCAATCTTCTCAGTCTTTCTTAATTCTCAAAAGATCAGGATTCTCTTTATTTAAAGATAAGATGAGCCATCATTTCTTGAACAGCCTTTCATGCTGTTTAAGAACAGGAGACAAGGAGTGCCTGCTCAGAAAAATCCTTGGTTGTCTTTTTGTCTTCCCTTAAAATCAACAAAAGTAAGGAATTTCTATCAGGAATGGCAACACCTTTAAAATTACAGCAACCATAAATCTAAACTGCCAGAAAAAGTCAATGAAATCAACTAAAAAAAAATGCACCTAATGAATAATGCAAAGATAAATGTATCTGATCTTACTTTATAACCCTTAGCAACTTATTTTATATAGCTTTCTCAAACCATCCTTTTCAAATTCTACGTAAGAAATTAGAATATAAACACACCCACAAGCCTTGTGGTAAGCACCTAGACCAAACCCTGAAACAAGTTTCAGTTAAAGCATTGCAGATCCAACAGTTTCAGCTTACACAGAGCCTTGGCCTCTGACTGGTCCAACATAACCCCTAGGCTGGTCACAAGACATCCCAAACCTGGGCCTAGACTGAGACTCAGCAGCTCATTCTGCACTAGAAAGAGGTGTCTTGTAACAGGCAAGACTCACACAGTGAATTTAACTGATACTAAACCACGCTTCCTCAGCAAGAGTTTCTGGTTATGTCTTCCCCAAGCAGCCTTGAGGAAAAGCCTACTTTATGTCAGTCATGAAGCTGAAAAATTTCAACTTACAGTGAAAACACCTCTCCAAAGACTTCTTCAAGAAACTTCACAAAAACACCAGCCTAATGCTCCCAAATCATCGTTAACAATCAATGCAATCAGGCAGCTGTTCTGTTAAATCCAGAACACACCAGAAAAATCACAGATGTGAAAGGCTCCAGAGAGAACAATACAGAACTGAGTCCCTAAGGAGCAGAAGAAGCTCCAGTAGCTTCAGAAAGCGCATAACAAGAAAATCGTTCTAAAGCTACCTAACAAACTTAAATGAAAGCAAAGCATCTGCTACTGTTGGTTAGGAATAGGTTTTTTTTCATATCTGGGCAAGAAGACCCATCTATGGGGATTCTGGCAGGAAGTCACAGTCTGAATCAAAATCCAGTGCTGCTAAAAAACAACTGTGCTCACTGCTGAGTACAGGTACTGCCACGCTGCCAGTCTTCCTTGGTGGTGGCTGAAGCACTTGTAATAAAACGTATGAAAGAAAAAACCCAATTATATTTACCACAGCATTTTGATCATAAAACAGAAGCTGTAACGAGACAACAGGCCAAGTTCTCCAAAGCACTATCAGAGGTTGAAACTTTACCGACTATAGGCATTTCTCTACACCTTTCCTAAACCTTCACAGACAGTTTATTCAACTGATTATTAGTAGAAACAACTTGGCCACAGAGTACAAATTTCTGTGGGAGAAGGAAGAGAATTTTCTTCACCTCTGTAACTTTGTAAGTTGTCACTAATGTTAAAATCCTTATTTTCACTCAATATCTTTTGTTAATTTTCCCTCAATGACTACAAAACTACTGACAAGCAACTAATCACTACAGCCATCAAGGATTAAGTATTTTATGTACAGCTTGCATAGATGAGTGTTCTCACAGTGCAGGCACTCCATTAAAAAGGGGTTTTATTTTCTGTTCTTGTACATCTTTGCTGACATTTGGCAACCCTGCCCATGTTTTGTTATTCTGATCAATCAAAAATCCAGTAAGTTAAACCAAATACAAATGTCTTGGATCTACACTTCAGTAACAACTCAGTGGCCACAAGACTTAGATTTTTGCCAACATTTCTCTTCACGTACCAAGGCAGCAGTATTAGACTGCACCAGTGAGCACATGAAAAATGCACAATAAAGATCTCAACCATAGGAGAATCTTAACTTTATCCTCCATGGCCACCAGATTCCAGAACCCAAAGGAATCAGAAATTAAGTATGTTTTACATCTGCAGTGAAGCAGTGCCAAGAACAAGAAATGCCCTTCCGAGTAGCAAATGGTAACTGGATTGTCATTGATTTGAAGAACTAGGTAATTATAAGTCAGGCACAGCTCCCTGAGCACTCTGTAGTCACTGAAGCAGCTTTTCTTATCTCTTTTGCTCCATGAAAGGTACAGAAGACTGACTGTACAATACATGGAGTACATGAAAGCACACTGTCTGGAGCAGATCCTTTAACTGAGGAAGCAAATCCCCTCAGCTGTCAAGCCACATCAGTCCAATCATTTTGACCACAACAAATTTGGACAGCACCCCCTGTTAATTGCTCAACTGATTCCAAACAACTCAAGGTACACAAACAGCGTAATATCCGTGCGGTAAGAAAGTTCTTCTGTTTTTTCCTCAGTCATTGGGTTGCTCAAGGTATCAGTAAGGATGATATGCTGCTACTGCAAAACCCGACATATCAGGGAAGAAGCAGGTCATAGGCATGCAGAAAAATTCTGACTGCAGAAACAAGAGTTATACAAGCAAGATGAATCCACAAGGAAAGATGTTCAGGAATAGCTATCAAAAAAAATTATACATTTTATTCTGGTCATAATCCATTAGTGAAGGAACACCAATGTTGGAAGAGGCATCACTTTGCAGATGTCCCTTCCGAGTCCGTTTTGCAAGGTGTATTAAAAGTTTCCACCTCCAGGCACCCAACAGCTCTGGTGTTTCACGTGTCTTGAATCCTTTGTCTTCAGCCCCAGCATCTCACCTTTCCATCTCTGTAACTACAATTTCAGACACCAGCTGTTATTCTTACTTCCTTTTCTTGTACCTCATCACCACAATTACTGTCTTTCATCACAACCTGGGATTTCTGCAACACTTTCATTGCTTCAAAATAACAGCGATGAGGCAGAGAAACATCTCAGTACACATCATTTTCTTCTTAACTGAGTACAGTGGAGTCTATCTTGACAGCATCTGAAGGAGAACTGGAAGAAAAGGGATGACATTATGATCTGAATTGTACAAGAGCTGTTTTTTGTAAATGCAGCTGTTTAATGCAAATACAGTTCCACTGTTAAGGTGCACATCTAATGAAATACAAGGCATGCTCTCCTAAGAATTTAACACAGGAAGAGATTATTCTTACCTCATATTCTTGGTTTTGTTGCTTGATTAAAAAAAACAATCAAAATAACTCATTGGGAGAGACAGGGGGAGAAAAAGCTATTTGCAATGAGTTGTCAATACCTATTTTTTAAGCAAGCGATTCTGAGGCTGTAGTTTGAGCTCCCCATTACAAGCCAGCTCACAGTTATAAAAGGGCAATGGCATTTTAATGATTCAATACACATGTGACAGCTTCCCCCAATAGCTGCAAACACTCCATTCTGGTATATATACTTTAACAATGTTAAATTAAATGCCACTCTCCTCATCGGAGATATTAATTCTATATAGGTCTTCCCAAACTATTAGTACTAGGTCTCATTTCCAGCCATACAGGAAATCATCACAACCCTGACCATGCATCTACCAGCTTTCATGGTGGAGTTCAGAAAGCAGCTTGCTGTCACTACCCGAGAATGAGTGTCAGCAGCTGGTCAGCTAATGGGGAAAATGAAGGAAAGGTTCTCCTTTAGTAACAACAGGATGTACATGAGCTTCAGATAATCTGAGTGCTACCGAGACAGCAAGCTCTGGCAATTCAGCAGACAAAGCCACCATATACTAGTTTCCCTCCAGGACAGTTCTGCCCTTCGACCTCATTGGCATATGCTGCCACATTCCCTACTTTTCTAGTGCCACATGCTGGCCTCCAGGTACAGCTCAGGTCTTTGGCTAGCAGAACAAGGGGTCAGTGTCTCAAACCCGCTGATTGCAAAGCTGCAGTTTTGCACCTGCCTTGTGAACAATGACGGACAATTGTCAGATCAAGTATGCTGCAATGTTAATGGTTTTCCCTGTGACCTATGACAGGTTCGCTATTTTAGGGGCCTTTATTAGAGCTAAACACCCTAGCCAACACTACTTGTATCTATATACATTAGTAAAATACTCGGACTTCTCCATTAATGAAGCAGTCATTTATATAACTAACATTTTCATCTGTTATTTTATAGTTTTTCTGTAACTCAAGTAGTCAGCTGCTCAATAAAACAGGTGACAATATAGGCAGATTTTCCACTTCTACCTTTAGAGGGACAGCATTAGTAAGCAGAAGACTGTACTTTTGGAGCACAGGAGGCAATAGCCTCAGAGAAGATCAAAAACAGGTGATGTGAAAACCTGAAGTAAAAAGAGTTAACACCTGCCAGATGATTGCAGATTTGAGTGTGAAGCCTTCAGAACTAACTGCACCTCACTCTTGCAACCCCTCTACCCCCAGTAAGAAACACAGCACAGCACAACATAACCAAGACAACTATACCTTGCAGGGCCAGTTTGTCATCCATGGTAGCTTGTCATCATTATCCTTCACTGTTGACTTTAGACTTCACAATTCTCTTCCCCCCCCAAAGGAATTTATCCAGCAGCAAGCATCTTTAACGCAGGGTAACTTCACAAATGGCTCATCTTCTTGGAAGAAATCTTGCACTTCAGATGCAGCAAGTAATTCCAAAGTCTTAGTTCGTACTTGACTCAAATTCTCAGTCTGTGTCCTCCAGTAATTAGCAGTAAGGGTCATCCCAAATTTAATAAATCTCTGCTACACCATGGAATAAACCATCCTCCAAAGGAATGAACTCTTGCTGGTTGAGATCTTGGGTAGCACCAGTTTCCAAGCAGGCTGGGTGGCTGTCCAAGTGCTTACAAGCACCACAAGCAGCAGCGAGTTGTACAGTTGGCTCAGAAGTATAGTTTCAAAGAAGCGACTACTGATCAGGGATAAGACATTAACAGTACATACCATGGATGAGACAAACAAAAAGACTTCCAGGAACTGGCTGCAACCACAGTGTTGGAGACCTCAAAGCACATACCCAGAAAAGCAAGGTAATACATTGTAAATTAGGAGGAAATACTGCATCAGAACAACTGCAATATTCTAGACTTCCAATCCATATAGGGGATGCAGCAGTTCAACTAGCCCTAGCAGCAAAAGTTGCAGTTAATCCCTGTAACTAGACTGGCTCATAAAGCATTGCTGTGTACAACTAAAAAGCATCAAGTTCTGCAATCCGAAGTCAGTTCAAGCAGTGGTGTCAGAAGCCTCGTTTCTTAAGCCTTCTACTTGCTGGGCTCTGGCTGCAGAAGTGGAAGAGGAGCCCTCACCATGTTTCCTTTCTTCCAAATACTTTCCACACCACAGGCGCAAGCTTCACCATCCCGAGGGAGCAAGACATGCTAGTTTGTCCTAATGAAGCCTTCTCAGCAAAAGGTATTTAAACTAAGAGAAGCTTAACTGAAAGTCATTAATACCGAACGCTAATCAACCAAAATTCTCTTAGCAGTTCCTCAAAACGAACCCTCCCCGAACCGCGTCGCTTCTGGGCTCAGGGAGCCCAGCAGAAACCCGCAGCAGCATTACTTGCTTCCTTTTCGGCGAAGGGGGGCCGGGACCCGCCTGTCCTTTAGCCATATTTTATCTACACGGCTCCATCTGTCACAGCATCGCCCCAGCGCCGGAACCCGCGCGGGGCCGCCAGGACCCCTCCGCGGCGCCCGCTAAGGCCGGCAGGGAGGCAGCGCCTGAGCTCCGCCGAGCCCTACAGCCGCGTCCAGGGCGCCGGCCGGCCCCGCTAACCTCAGCTCGGCCGAGGCGCGGCCCACCCTGCGCCGAAACCCCGGCCCGAGGCCCCGCTCCCCCCCTCACCTTCTTGAGGGCGGGCACTAGCAGCCCCCGCCACTTGGGCGCGTTCTCCTCGCTGAAGAACTCGTAGAGCAGCGGCTGAGCCTGCATGATGATGCCGCCGGGCCCGGCCCGCTCGGGGAGGCGGGCGGGGCGGGCCGGGCGCAGGGAGGAGGCCGCCGCGGGAGGGCTCGGCGCCCCTCAGCAGGAGGCCCGGCGGCCCCCCACCGCCGCCGCCAGCAGCACCGGCGGCAGGCCCGCAGCGGCGGCGGGAGGAGGAGGAGGCGGCGGCTGCCGCATTCCCCGCCCCCGGCTCTCGGTGGTCGCCCCGGGAGGGCGGCGGGAGGGGACGGCGGGAGCGGGGTCACGCGGGCCGCCGAGGGGCGGGGTCGGGCGCCCGAAGCGCGAGCGCCGCCGCCGCCTCCTCCCCCCCGCTCGCCAGGCTCCTGTCCTCGCCCGCACGGTGCAGCGGCAGCGGCGCATGCGCGGGGCAGCGGCGCCCCCAGCGAAGGGCCGCGCATGCGCACCCGCCACGCCTGGTGGGGCCTTCCTCCCCTCTCCGGCGGAAGTGACTTGAGGCGGCGGCCGCGCCCCCCTGCGGGTAGGAGGGGCGGGGCGGGGCGGGGAACCCTGTGCTGCCCCCCCGCGGCTGCCCCCGGCACTGCAGCGCTGGCGGCCCTCGGTAGGAGGTGGGGGCGCTCCTTCGGTCACAGAAGCCAGAGTGCAGGCGGGCCGCACCACGGGAGGGTCTGGCAGCGCAGGAGTGGCCCTTCGGGGGTCTGGGAAAGAGAGAGGACTTTGGAGCCTTGTCAGAATCCCCAGCGGATGTGCCCGGGCAGGTAAGGCCCCTCCACACCTTTCTCCTCGCTTGTCCTGCTGCGGGTATACCGATAACGATGCCCACAGGGCTTTGCTCCCTGATCTCCTTACTGTATACCCTGGCTGCATCAAAAGGAGCGTGACCAGCAGGTCGAAGGAGGTGATCCTGCCCTTCTACTCTGCTCTCGTGAGACCTCACCTGGAGTATTGTGTGCAGTTCTGGTGTCCTCAGCATAAAAAGGACATGGAACTGTTGGAACAAGTCCAGAGGAGGGCCACGAGGATGATCAGGGGACTGGAGCACCTCCCTTATGAAGACAGGCTGAGGAAGTTAGGGCTGTTCAGCCTGGAGAAGGGAAGGCTGCGTGGAGACCTCATAGCAGCCTTCCAGTATCTGAAGGGAGGCTATAAGGATGCTGGGGAGGGACTCTTCATTAGGGACTGTAGTGATAGGACAAAGGGGAATGGGTTTAAACTTAAACAGGGGAAGTTCAGGTTGGATAGAAGGAAGAAGTTCTTTACTGGAAGAATTCTGAGGCCCTGGAACAGGCTACCCGAGGAAGTTGTCGCTGCCCCATCCCTGGCAGTGTTCAAGGCCAGGTTGGACAGGGCTTGGAGCAACCTGCTCTAGTGGAAGGTGTCCCTGCCCGTGGCAGGGTGTTGGAACTGGATGAGCTTTAAGGTCCCTTCCATGACCTTAAGATAATAAAATTCTATGATTCTTGCTAGCCTCCCTTGCCAAGGATGACCTGGAGCAGAAGGAGATGGCATCTGCCTGTGACAACCAACAGTCTGCTCAGAGCTGAGGTGGTGGCCTCTTCACTGGAGAGTTCTGTCACTGGAAAGACAACCTCATCTCACCTAGGGACCAGGATCAGAGATAAACACACCCCATTCAAGCAGCACAAGAACAGCCTCAAGGGTGAATACTAAGCTTGGTTTGTGGGAAAAAAAAGGCAGGAAAATCAAAGCTGGGATGCAAATAAACTCCAGTCCTGTTTAAACAACAGGACAAGTCCATGGTGGCCTGCAGGGCCAAGGGAGGAGAATGATGCTGGAGATGAAAAGCAAGTTATTGTGCTCTGCTTTGTAATGCAAGGGGTCATGGAGAGCCCAGGGACCAGGAGAGGAAACAAATGAGCTGCTATTGGCAAGCACAGAGAAGGACAGATGCATGAAAATCTTCACTGGTCACTGGAAGGAAGGTTTAGGACCAGCTTTCCAGCTGGGAAGAGAGCAAAATACCTTGAGTCTCTCTTCCTCAAGGACTGTTTGTGCAGACAGCTGTCAGGAATGGTGTGTATGTTGGGAGCCTCACTTAATTAGTGTTTGTATAGTGCTCTGAAGACAGGGGATGTTCTTGAGTGATACTTTAGCAGGTAATGGATGGAGCCTCTCCGAAAGAGCTGTCTTAACCATGCAGCTCTGCCTCAGGTGTTTTTCCTCCAGACAGGCTCTTTCAGACAGATAACTACTGTCTGAAAGAGCCAGACTGCAGCTTGGAGTTTGCAGGAACAGCATGCCAAAGTGGAAATATTCATGTCTCAGAGCTATTTGCTTGGTCTAGCAGCCTGCCTGTGCAGTCAGGGACACCATTGCAGCATCTCATAGACTGCAGAGCTGCTGCACTCGCTGCCTTATGCTGAAAAAGCAGTGTGTTGAAGCTTAAATCTTCAGCTGCTCCCAAGTGTGTGCAGCATGGTGTAAAACTGCACAGGGCTCTGCTCTCCAGCCCCTCCCTTTGGAAATGAAGGTACCAGGACTCCTGAATACCAGTGAATGGTTTACAGCATCTCTTTCCTTCAAACGAGCCAACATCAGGTAACTTGAGCTTGCAGGACTTTCACCAAGACCACAGGAAGAGCCTGAGCTCTTCCTCCATCCAGAGCCACCAGCTGATAGCCTTCCTCTCCTGGCTTTCAGTGCTGTTTCAGTGCCCTCTGCCTGTCACTGGGGTCTATTGGTTCAGACAGGCAGTTTGAGTTCCTCACCGACCTCCACCTGATCGCACAAACTCATTTCATGTGCTGCATGGGAGGGTGCAGCTTTGCTTGGAAAGCAACTAAACAAGACATAACTATCTCCAGGGCTGCCTGAAGAGCTGTTGCTGCACTGCTCATGGCAAATAAACCAGTCTATATGGCAGAATGGGAAAAGTCTTGTGAGTCCACTGAAGAGCAGAACACAACTGAAGGCAATAGGGTGCTGTCCCAGGCCACTGGCTTTCATAGGGACATAAGTGAGAAGAATGGAATCATGAGGGAACAGAGGAAGCTCAGTGGCATGGGGAGGTGCAGGGAGATAGGCAGTGGGATGATCTGCTCTTAGGTCAAGATCAGACTCGCTGATGCTGCTGTCAGGAGCAGAAGCCAAAGGTCACAGCCGGTGCAGTGGTATGCAGGTGGCACAGGGACACCTGGGATGCCCCAGTGCTGCTGGATGAGAGAGAGGATGAGGTGGAGGGTCATGGCAGCCCTTCACCATACTGTGCTGAGCACTGACCAAGCAATGCAGGCTTACCAGGAGTTACAGTACCCCTTTAACACCAGCAGCTGCCACTGAGAATGTAAGGAGGTACTGATAGGAGCTGATGATGTTCCGTATTCAGCCTCCAGAACACTACTAGGAGCAGGCATCTGTCAGAGAAACTCATCAGGGACCTGAATTTGAATGTGTTGGATTTAAATGAGCTATAAAGGGAAAATCTGTACCCAAGGAGGTGCTGCCCAAGGAACTAAGATCCCTAGCAACAGTAATCCACCTGTATTATATTGAATCTGACCACCCTCTTTCTCGAGTCATCACATCCTGTTTCTGACAGAGCCAGGCACCATGGCATGGAGAGATGTGCAAGAACAGAACAAAAGCAATGTCCATTCCAACATCCTCTCAGCTTTCAGGAGCACTTCTGCAATAAACCTAACCAACCTCGCTTCTTTATTCTCAAGTTCAGCCCCTGCACTGGTCAATCCTTGCTGCTAGGCTGGTAAATGCCCCATCTTGTGGATACATCATGACACATTTCTGCCCAGTAGGAGCCAAGACAGAAGCCAGCGTAGAAGGGGCTGGGAGGACAGAGGAAAGGGGAAGCTACAGAGGTTGTTAGAGAAGCCATGTCAATTAGGTGTAGGCAGAAGCCTTGCTCTAACCTCATCGTGCCTGTGATTTGGATTCCTAGCTCTGATGGCTCCCCTCAGACTGATCACAATCTTCCATGAGCACAGGGATGGTGGAAGCTCCTACTGAATTGGCTCAAGGAAGCTTTCCGTTCATGACAATAGCCCATATAGCAAAGGAGATCAGACATCCACATTTCAGGGCTTAACTGGGGGCAGCTGCCAGCCAAGGAGCCAAACAGCTCAGGGTGTGGGAGAGGCAGTTTTGTGACATAGGCTCCAAATCCTGTAACAGGACAATTCCTCAAAAAGCAGGAAAGCAAAGATTTGAGACAAGTGTGCCCTAGCACAATGCTTCCCTGTCCTCTTTATTTTTACCTCTTCCACATCCTTGCACCCAAAATGCTCAACCAGAATAAAACCCACTATCCCTTAGCTCCTGTTGCTTGTAACTCAGCAATGGCCTAACAGCCCCAAACAGCAAGACATTTGGCCCCAGCCGCTGCAGAAACTCCAGAGGAGGAAGCGCATTTACAGCACATCAGCTATACTGTACTAGGTTAAAATTTAGCTACTTTGAGCACATCAGAGTCAAGAGCAGTCCATGGGAGGCAGGACAGAAATTCCCCTTGGGCAGCAGCACAAGTATGTGGTGCAGCACACGCAAGTCCTGGCCTTTTCTGGGAATTCAGCTTCTCGGCAGCAGGGCTTACATTACCACCTCTCCTACAGGGCAGAGCTGAGGTTCAGTTCAAGGGAATAAATGAGATGGGGCCAGCAGAGGCAGAGAGCTGAATCCCACAGGCAAAAATAGCCCTGCTAAAAAAAGGTAATTAGTTTTACAATTAACAGAGGTGGAAAAGCAGGTGATGGAGGGAAGGAATCAAGCAAACTGGAATTTGGAAAGACTTCTCTCAAATACATATATCCATTGCCTAAAGGCTAAAAGGGTATTAAATGCCTAACCTCAAGTTCTAGCCTAAATTGAGTTGAGCTGCAGTGACCATTCATACATTCAGAAATGTCCAGCTTCTGTGTTTGGCACAAACATTTAATAGCAGAATTCAAAACTCAGTATGTTCCATTTTAGTCTTATGCGGAAAATTAGTGCAGGTGATAATCTAATTGTACAACAACATGTTAAAAAAAGTTTATTTTACATTATATACATTAGGGAACATATTTCAATTACTAATCACAACAATAATGCAGGCCATAAATTGCTTTAAATTTAGTTTGGTTTTAGTGTATATTATCACAATAAAATATAAAGAACATATACAAAAAAAGGAGTCAAATGTGTGCATTTTGCTAAAACTTGGCATTTACATATTCCATTGGAAACCAGCAATCAAAAATACTTCTGATCAAAACTAAGTTCCTGTGATGCGTAGTAACCGTTGTATTGTTTCAATGAGGTAGTAACTAAATTATTTTGGCCATGTGTTAACATCCTAAAAATCAAGAAAAGTGTGAAAATGGTTATAAGGCCAAAAAAAAACCCCAAAGTCAAGAATGGCAACATCTTTGAGCCATTTCCACAATGTGGAATGTTGCTCCTTTTCATTATGATATGAATCTATTTAGTAAGATGAACAGTAATACTAATTTTTATCATTGTATACACTAATAATTCAAACACCTATTGCAGTGTTACAGCCAGGTACCACTTCTTCTGGGACTGACACCCATCCAGAAAGTATTGTTTTCAAGCATAGAGCAATAATCATAAGGAGAGTTTTAATTAAATATAAAAATACAGGTGTTTAACTGGTTTGTTTCACAAAGAAAACTACCCAAGTAAAACTAAAAAAAGGAACTTTGAAGCCCGAGTCATATCCACAAAGTCACAGCTTACCTTTGTGACTAAATACATCACATCTTAATACATTGTGCAAACATGAACACCAGTGTGTTGCATTAATTAAAACAAGATTGTAATCTGATTACAGCCTTGGTTACAATTTCTAAAAGTTAAGATTTATTTGTATTAGTAAATTACATATAATAAAATACAATAGTGTTGTTAAATGTACTATATTTGTTGCTAGCATCCCACTTTATAATAAACACATGAGAAGTCCTTAAAATAGTACCCCGATTTCGTTTTTGCATCCTCAGTGAGTTTTACATCTGTACAGGTAAGACACTTGTACTTAACAGGGGGGCTGCTATCTACAGGAAGTCAGTGTAGGTCTTCACCAGTAAGTTTCACTGAAAAATACTGCATATGTACAAAGATTACATAACAGTAAATTAAGCACTTCTGTGGTATCATAATGCTCATGTGTCCATACCACAAACAATTCTTGTCTTCCTCTCATGCCACAATAAATTATGAAGTAACTGAAGTGGGGCTACTGCAGCTTCTGTGCAATTTCAACCAGCCATGGATGCTGCTGCAGCAGGAGTGTTCTCTTGTCATGGCGAGCTGCCTTGCCATGCCCTCTTTCTCAGTAACTGTTCTCATGCCCTGCCAGGATATATAAATTGCTGTTGGCTGTTGGGTTATCTGTCGGCCTACTCTCCAGCACCACAACCCTATAATGAAAATAAAAGGAGACACAGTAAAACAAACTTTCATTTAAAAACATCCCTGGATGTAACTGCAAATACTCTTTGCCAGGATCCATCTGACTGGTCATCATTTCTCTTTCCCTGAAGGCCTCTAGTCCAAAAGCCTCTCAAAGGAAGACCAACCTCAAAAGGTAGCTTGGGGTCTTGTCCACGCAAGGTCTCCAAGGATCATCACAGCCTCTCTGAGCTCTTACTGCAGTGTTCAACTATCCTCACTGTGAGGTTTTCCCCTCTTTTATCCAGCTGGAATTTCCCTTGCTGCAAGGTATGCCTGTTGCCTCTCATCCTTTCCATGGGAGCTTCTGAAGAGGGTTTATCACACCCCTACTAATGCTTCCCCAGAGCTTTGCTCTGGTTCTGAAGTCATTAGTCTGCTCTCTTGGTCACTGAACAGATGACCAAAGCTGAGTCTTCTGTGAGCATTTCCAGTCTTTCCCTGAGCCTAGGTAACCTAAATCCAACAAAACAGAAGCTTCCTCCAGCTCTGAAAGTCCCAGAGACAAAGACTTGCAGGCTGAGAGTCCTCAAGGAAAGGACTGCTATGTGCAGAATCTTTTCTCTCACTCTTATTCTTGCCACTTGCTTTTGACCAGCATCGGAGACAGGAGACTGTGTTAGCTGGACCTACACTGCAACTGCAAAGACTGTAAGGATGTCCTAGATCAGACCCTTATCAAAGGAGAGAAATCAGCAGCACAATTGTTTCAAAAACTGAGATTTTTAAATCAGGCAAGGACTGTAAAATTGCTAAATGGACCATGTTCCTGATTGAATTCTCCTCCAGAAACACCCTGTAGTGAAGGCAGATTGTAGGAAATCCAAATCCATCTATTGTACATTCACACAAGGAGAGGCTGATTGCTTCCGAACTACATCAGTCAGAAAACCTACCCTCTGCTCAGTGTGCTCCATAAAGGCAATGACACCTCATGCCATGAGGAGTTTCCTGCCCACCAGGAGAAAACAACACACAAGCTCTTATCAGACTGATGTCAGTTTTCTGGCTTCTCAGAAGCCCAGTTCCTATGAACTGCCTAGGAAATGACATGTTATGGAAAACGGTTTCACAGCTCAAAATACGACAAAGCTGCAAACAAAACAGTATCTGAAGAAATTGGAACAGATGTTTTTTGCAATGCAATTAACATTGTCTCAGACTTGGGAGACTATTACTGCAAGCCACAAATAGATGGAACTGTATTTGGGGAAAAGGACATTATTTTTCCATGTGGTGTCATACTCCATTCTGAAGTCAGACTTGGTTTTAAATTGAGCTGTGGTGTCTCTCAACAACTAAGAGAAATGACATAATAAAGCTGAGCTGCACACACACCTCACTGGAGCAGAGAGAGTAAAACCCTCAGGTCAGAGGCGAGTATTATTTACAACTACCCATTACCAAAAAGTTATCAGGTATTGTATGTAAAGCAGAATCCTCAACCCCCAGCCAGCAAAAATTGCTTGTAGCTAGCCCATAAAAGCCACAGCACCATTCACTGCCATTGATGTTATGGATAATTACAGGGCTGTGCATCAAGTCTGGAAAAACAGAATACGGGGAAGGCCTTTGGTTGATATGAAGCTTTTCTGGTGGTGCCACAAGAATGTGAGTTTACTGTATAAGACATAGGCAATTCTCAAAAGAAAAATTAAAGCCTATCTTTGCACTTCATATAAATCCATGACTGGTGAAACCATCATGTCAAAATACACACCCCTGAAGACAAAACTTCTGCTGTTTTTCTGGCTGTTGTAGAAGCACACAGTTTGACAGCAAGGCAGAGAAAGTTGGCGACACTCCTAGAACAGCAGCTACTGACTCGCCAAGCTGGTATACAATGGGTCAGACACAGTGTTAGTGTCTTGCAAAGCAGGTGCTGAAACACCTACACTGGGAACTACCAAGAGCTCTAACAAGACCTGAGCTGTCATGCTGGGAGGACAATTGGTAGAGTGGGGGGTAAAAGTGAGGTATTTAAGTTTTTAAGTATTTTTTGCATTTGCCTTAAGATGTAGATCTTGATGAGCTTCTACAGTAGAGCATCTGAAAGTGAAGATTTCACCAAGTTAAACAGAAGAGTTCCAGCAGAAAAAGGAAGACACTCCCGGAGATTGCAACTGCAGCCGAAAAAAAGGAACTTCTCGGCATGGCTGAGCACTTCTGGAAGCCCACAAACACTTTTAGAAGATTTTTTTTTTTAAGGAGTAAGTAGAAAGGTAGACATGTGCACAAAGGAATGAGTAAGGTGGCTATAAAAGGAATCACAAGAAAATAAGCAAAAAGAATTTGTACAAGATAGGAGGAACACACATTCTTCATTCTAACATGCCATGTTTGCTTCTCTTCATACCTGTCAGATCCCAGAAGCCTGAATATCCTTGTATTATCTGAAATTTCTTGCGTGATCTAGACAAAAATAAGACAAATGTTTACATGTTAAGCACACGAGTGTTTTGTTTTAAAGTCAATCTTAAGAACTGACTACAACTGAGGTTACCAATTTACTGCTGATTTAAATCAGCTAGAGAATTTAATGCAATTATCACTTTTAAGTGATTCTGAAAGTTTTCTGTAATTTCTGCCATGTTACATGAATTCCTCTTGTAGCAACTGCAAGTACAACAGCAGGGGTCAGCTCAGTATCTGAGCTCCTGGTGCAATTCTCTTTACAGCCATGATTGAAACAGGTAGCTGTAGGGTGTAATTTGTCTCACCCTACAGTAGATCTCCAGAAAGGGCAGGTAAATCACACATAAAATGCATTTGGTTGAAATTCTGAATTACAGTAACAATGCAATATGTTCATATTCTGAAAACCTTAACAGAGAAACAATCTTATTTGTGGTACATATGCTTATTGTAAAAAGAAAATAGTACTCTGACATTTCGGACTACTGCAGTAGAGCTGTTTACTGCAGGCCAACTGTACTTGTGATACATCTTTATGCTCAAATGAATACTGAAGCACCAAAGAAAACATCATGCTAATCAATAAGTCAACTGAAGCCCAATGCATAATCATAAGCATATCAAGTCACATCATGAACAAGCAGCAGTGTTTACAAAAAAAGATTCATCTTTCCAGATCCTAGTAGCTAAGTCAATTCATTTCTGGTATAGACAACTTGCAAGAGAACATTAATTCACAACAATTACATTCCCCACTTTAAGAAAATTACTTCCTCCCTTTTGTGGGTTTAAGTCTGCACAATCTTGGTCCAAATTTTGAGCATCTTATCTCAGCATTAATACATTTCCCTGTTTCATTCTTTCCATTCAATCAAACCACTGTGGAATGTCACAGTTGTAGAAGGAAATGACTGCAAGCAGCAAGAACCATCCCAAATTAGACCAACTGATACTGGATTAGGAAATCTGAAGTAATAACTTTTACCAAAGACAAGCCTGCTGCAAAGTTAGGTTGGTCAGGTTTTTGTCCTGTGTAACCACTCCCTACATAAAACATTGTATAAAATGCCCCCAAAAGTAACAAATATGGTCACCATCTGAGGCTGGTAATGCAGGCTTTCCATGCTAGAGATGAAAAGGAGTTGGTTGGGTTTTTTTTCTTAATAGCTGTGTCTGGTAGGACAACCAAGAAAAATGAGGAATTTCAAAAGGCCTGAGAGCTTACCCTAGACATGTTCTACAAAGAAAGTTTTGTGTGGCTTGCTGACAACAGCTCAGTTCTGCCTTCTGTTCTTCATCTACGTGCTGGCTTTGGCTTGACAATAACAAAGCAAGAAGCCACAGTTCCTTATGCTTTACATAAACAATATAAAGCATCCACTTGTTCTGCAGTACTCTGGGACATGTCCTCTAACAACTGGATCGGAGCTACTGAGTGCCAATGGGTGGAGTAATCCACTGAGCCTTGCAGGAAGTCTGGAGTTGGAGAAGTGCCTAGCAGGCTCATCTCCTTCTCATAGTCTGTGCTAATAGCAGGGTGCTGCAGTTCACCATTATGAGCTCTTGGGAGAAGGACAATCATGCATGCACAGATGCCACAAGAACCATTTGCAGACTTGGAAATAAGAAGTAGTCTGACTCTAATCTTTGGTCCAACTTGCCACAAAAAACAGCTTACTGTCAGCACAGATGAGGTCAACTGTGGCTTTGTGCAAATAAATGTAGCTGTATCACAATGTGGAGTATCTAAGCTTGGCATGGTATGACTGTACATATACATTAAAATACATCACTCATAATAAGCTCAGTTTCTCAGCCAATGTGACACTGGTGAAAAACTGGTGAAGTCTGTAAACATTCTTTAATAACTGAATTAAGAGACATTACAATCCTACAAAGCATTTCTACTAACACACAAAGACACAAGGTTTGAAGCAAGGAGGAAAAAAAAGGGATTGAGAAAGTATTTATAATGCTTTAACTATGTCTAAAAATCTCAAACTGGCTGAAAAAAGAGACTACACACATTTTACTAAAAAAAAACCAACAAAAAAATAAAACCCAAAACAAACCAAAAAAACTCTAGATCAATCTGACATTTTTCTCCTGAGAATGAAAAATACTTGCGAAAGCTGGGCACCAAAATCTTCAATGTATTTGTAAGCCAAGGGAACATGGAAGAGACTAAAATACAACAGGCAACTCATTCAACACTGACAAAAAGCTAAAGCTCAGCAGTGGAGTGTGCAGTCATTAGCAGAGCCCAAATTCTGGCACCCACTCATAAGAGGCTAAGAGACTGACATTGGTCTTCAAAGAAATTTAAGGTGAAGATGATGAATGTTCCCAAGAATTAGGCTTGGATATTTTCAGTGGCATCATGGCCTGGTCTCGTTGCTTTGTTTTGTATGTCATAAACCTGACAGTGGCTATCGTATAGCTTCACTAATCAGTTTGTAGCTTATGAAACATGCTTAGAATGAGACTTCAGCTTCCAGGTCTAACCTAGGAAGTTACTGTATCCTCTACCTGGCTGTCCTGGGTTCAGCAGTAGCAGTCATGTTTCTCCTTCTTGGTAGCTGGTGCAGTGCAGTGTTCTGACTTTCGGCCTGGGAACAGAGCTGATAGCGATGTTTTGGTTTGCCCAAGGACTTTGTGAGCCTCATGCTCTGCCAGGGAGGAAGGGAAGCCAGGAGGAAGCGGAGACAGGACACCTGACCCAAACTGACCAAAGAGGTATTCCATACCACAGCACGTCATGCCCAGGATGTAACTGGGAGTGAGCTGGAAGGGCTGGGAGACTGCCGGGTTGGAGGAGGTATCGGTCGGTGCTTGGTCGGGCTGAGGGGGGCAAGTTATCGGTTGGCTGGTGGTGAGATGTTGTATTCTCTTCCCTTGTTATTTCCTTTATCATTGTTATTATTGGTGGTAGCAGTAGTGATTTGTGTTATACCTTAGTTACTAAACTGTTCTTATCTCAACCCGTGGGAGTTGCATTCTTTTCGATTCTCCTCTCCGTCCCTCCGGGAGTAGGGGGAGGGAAAGAAGGGGGGAAGTGAGTGAACGAGTTACCTGACTGGGTTTAAACCACGACACTGGCTTATATTAGAAGCTAGAGTTTGAAGCAAAATGTAGTACTCACCTCATTTGATCTAAAACTCCTTCCTTGCATACCATGTTTCCAGAAGGCCAACACACTGTCTTGTAGACAGACTGGTAACAAAGAACACTGGAATCAGTTTTGAGGCATAGTGTCAACTCATGCTTTTAAGGCCAAAAGTATATGACTGCAGTTCTGAAATCTGTACATGTATGTTTTAGTCTATCACATTCACCCACACAGATTGCAGAATGTCTCTCACGAATCACTGAACTTGCCTCAAAAGCAGCTGTATTTTTTTGTTTAAGGTGCAGGGTTAAAAAATATTACCACCCAACCAGAAAAATTTCTACAACTGTCCTTCTGTCTAGGCCTAAACATGGCCTTTCCTTTCAGCAGGAAACCCCTCTCCATTCTAATACATAAATTACATATTGAAAATACGTAATTAATATAGAAAATATGTATCGAATTTTAGCAAGAAAGTGACAGGGATACTGCAGTGACATTTTTCATTTCCCAGCAACTATTGGCTAATACAGTCCTACAGCAACGGGAAGCTTTACAGAGCCTTTTACTTCCCAGCCCTTTCCCTTGTCACAAATACAGTGACAGACACCTGCATTTGCACCCTGTGAAAGCAAATGGGTCTAGGGCTTTCCTCAAGGACAGGGTAAGTGTGTAGGTTCCCAGGAAAAATCTGTAAACAGCCCACAGTACTCAAGGTGGGGCTGCACCAGTGCAGCATAGAGTGGAACAGTCAACTCCTGTGACTATGCTGTGCTTGATGCACCCCAGGACGTGGGTAGCTCTTTTGCCTGCCAGGGCACAGTGTTTAGTCATACACAGCTTGCCATCAACCCAAATCCCCAGATCTCTCTCTGCAGGGCTGCTCTCCAGCCTCTCATCCCCCATCTTACATAATCAGGACTACCTTGTCCCAGATACAGAATCTGGCACTCGCTCTTGTTAAATTTCATATGGCTTTCTAGTCTACCCAGATATTCAGTATTAATAACAAAATTGAACTTACCTATTGATTCAATCTGAAAGTCAAATGTGAGCTCAGACGACAGTTTGCGGCTGGATTTTAACCTGCCTTGCAGATTCACTATTTTTATGCAGCCTAGACAATAAATAGGACATGTCAACCAAGAATCAATCTTCAATGTGACCTAATTTGAAGACAGACAGTATGCATGTACATGCATATGTATGTATTTAGTTGATACCAGAACTTACAATCCAAACACACCAAAATGGTATCTCTCTCCAGCTGTGTTACATGTACAACACTTGTCTCTGTAGTGTCTATAAAAAAATGACAGTGTTAGTTCATAACATAAATTAGCATGAAATCTGAAATGGAAGTTCTAGAGACTGAGAAAATTTAATGGGTTAGTGTGTTTTCATCTACTTAAAATAATCATCTTACATTTATCTTCTCTTAGAGAGGCATGTCCACATATCCAACATGTTGACTGTGACAGGAAAACTGAAGCTGTAATATTAAAGTATGAACTTAACCCAGCCTTTTGTGAGCCAAGTCACAAAAGCAAACTCAGGTATACATTGTTCTCCCTATATTATCTGTTGGTGTAATTTAATATTGCTGTGGCAAAAAAAGGCAGATATATGAGACTGTCCATACTAAATCTGAATGCTGTTTCATTCCATTTTTCTTCTACTGCTAGGGACTTAATTAATTCTTGCTGCTATTTTCAGGTTTTCCATCCCTAATCTCCAAAAAATAGGGGATTATTATTTCCTTCTCCAAACTCTTAAAAGAAGGGTCATGGTCCTCTCCTGCATTACAGCTGCAGCAGTCTCCATCACAGTAAACAAATCTGACCCACCAGGAATTAGTGGACACATCAGCTCAAGAGAAGTACAGCTTTGGTTCATTTGTTTGTTGACACTGACATTACACAAAAAGCAGCTCTTACTAATTCAGCATTACTGCCAACAATTCTGTAGGTGTTCTTTCATACAGAAAAGAGAAACTAATTAAATCTGTTAGAGATGAGAAATTAGAGCATGTTACCTAAAATACAAAAGCAGCTCTCAGTTAAAGAATAAAATCCATGGTCCTGTTGAGAAGCAAAAAAGCTTCTCGAGGATGATGGCAGACACATGCTTCTTGAGATGGTCACTCCATCTCTTTTTTGCTGTTTGTCTTGGAAGGCATTTATTTATGATTTTGACCAATTTCTAATGCACGGTCTTAACCAAAGGCGGATACAGCCATGATGAAAGCATGCAACAGAAGGACTGGAGGACACACATCTGTGCAACCACATTATGTGATGCGGAAACATGCACTGTACTTGCTGAAGCTACCAGAAGGATGGCACAGGAGAAACCCCCTGCACTAGAGTCTTTGCCAGCTTATTTTTTTTTTTTTTAGCATCTTTAGAAGACGTTTACAGAAAAATATCAAACGCCAAACAATGAACACTACTGTAGAAACTGTGTGATGGGCACTGTTTGTTACCATACAGTACACCCTTGCCTCATTTAAAAAAACGCTGAAAAATCCGTTTCATTGCATTATCCATCTCTTGCCAGCAGGGGACAGGAATAAGCCAATACAACATGAGGTTTTAAATTGGAGTCAAACAAATAGCAGAAAATAACAACATAGAAACAACACAAGAACACACAAATGACCCAAGGAAGCTAAGGAAGTGTACCTTTTGGGAAGACACAGTGCAATGTTAAATTTTCTACATTAAAACAAAAGGAACCATGAAGGAATTATTATTCATAGAATCATAGAACTGGATGGTTTGGAAAGGACTTTAAGATCATCTAGTCCCAAACCCCCTGCAATGGACAGGGACACCTCCACAGTGCAGATAATACTGAGAGAAGAATGACAACAGGACATCATGGGTGAAAATTTCTCTTCAGTTTTCTACTTTTATGAACTCTAACCAAGCCACACAGTTACATGAACAGATGTGTAAGTTTGAAAGTAAAATGCACTTTCAAGTAGTTAATTGTACTCTGAAGTGCATTAATCAGCCATCCATTGATCACATTGGTTTCTGTAACTGTTCTTTAAAGTGTGTCAAAATCTGACGCACTTTTCAGCAGTGAGAAAGTCAGCAGGCATCTTTGTAGTGGAAACTGTTCTTCTTAGTGAACTGCATGGTACACCATCAGCCAGGTAAGTATATGCCAGCACAGGACTAAGTATAAATTCATCATGGATCAACAAGGGCTCTATGTCTGGTAATAACAAAGCTATTTACTGCTTCTAAACATGGAAGCTATGACTGGGGTCAGCTCACTACTGCTTCTAGGTTTGGGGGGGGGGGCTTGCAACTCTTAAAAATTAATCCTTAGAACACTTCTTTCTTAAGACTATTTATACTGTTGCTCACATGGTGGCCTTCTCACTCATGGTGCCCAGACCAGTGACAGACAGATACCTGGCTTCCTGCTACCAGTGGTCCTAATCTCTTTCCACAAACATGGGGAGAATAGAAATATGCTCTCTCTCAGCAAGAAGCTGATAACCTCATTTCTAATCACACTGGCTTATTGCAGAAGAGGCAAACTACACCTACAGAGATGATGAAAGAAACTGTTCAGAGTGCAATTCTATTAAAATCTATTAAATAAACTGACACCATGCTGCCAGGGTAGAGAACAGAACAGCACAGTGGGCAATAGTCAAGTACACTCTGATTTATGGGAATGCAAAAAACCCCACAGCTCCATACTCTGCTATACTCAAAAACCTCAAGAAATCAAATCAGTTCAACAACTAGAAACATCCAAAAAAGTGCATGTGCAAGCAAGTACAAACAGATTTAAAGAGAACTTACAATGATCACTTAGCCTCAATGATTTAACCATTAGTTTTCTCATAGGAAACTACCTTTTTAGTGCTTCAGCTGTAACAGAAGAGCAACGAGCATTTCTGAATGCAATTATAACAGTGTACAAACCTGTTTCTGTAAACCATGAAGAGGTAGAGTTTGGGTTGACAGTCTCAAACTTCACCACCTGGTTGAAGTCTCTTCCTCTACTGACACCAACACAAACTAAAGGGAATTCCTGCTCAGGGACTACCAGCATTTCAAACAATCTCAGTGGACAAGGTACAGGAAAATCTATGTGCTAGATTAAGAAACAAAAATAGGCATTAGAAACAAAACAAGTTTAGTCTGAGTCACTATTAGGTATTTAAACTGTATGGTAAATTTTATGCCATACATTTTAGAACATTAAGTTTACCTCTTCAGATAACAGTAACTGATAGATACAAAAAGCCTGAGTTAACAAGGTTAGAGTCTTCATGCCAATTCAGTTAAAATAAAATACGATGTGTGTCCTGTGCAGCTGCACACAGATGACACAAGTGCTATACCCACCATTGCTTTCCCTGGCTATGCAGTCTCTAAGTTGGCTGCCAGGCTGATCAAGTTATAGTGGCTGCGTCCCTACATGAGTTCTGGGCACCTCCAGTGTCACAAAGCATAAAATAAACAGCCACCTTCTCTCTGGTATGGGAGCAAGCCGGATGTTAACCCATGCTATCACTTCACTCGGCCATGTATCAGCCTATCAGCCAGTTTTTTACTGTGCAACTAAAACACAATGCTCATGAAGAGAAGGGTTTTCTTTTTTAACTGAAGTGCACCACAAAACCAAGAAAATTCCTATAAGTATTCTGAGTCAGTTAATACATATTATTTAAATAGTTATTTTCAAAGAAATTTAAAAGAAACCAAGAGAAAAGTGTATTAACTCAAGAAATGGTCATTCAAGATAAATAGAACTGAACATAAGAATATTTCACCTTATTCTAATATTACCTTGATTAACATAAATTTTTGCATTGGTTCAACCCATTCTAACAAAACAATGCTAGACTGTAGTGCTCCACAAAGGTACTTGTGGCCCGTGTACGGATTCCTCACTGCCAAAAAAGGAGAGGTAGAACACATTAGCGTACAATACAAGCAAATAAACAATTTCCAACCAAATTACAGTCCATAAATTTATTTTTAAGTCACCACCACCACTCTAATCTTTTATATAAGGAAGCTTCTGAAAAATCAACATCCACACTATGAAAATAGTGACAGCAAGCATGCTGGAGCATGGTCTGCCCTTCCACCAGTCATGAGCAGCTAATAGCCTGAATGTATATTTGAGGTATCTTGCTCTACCGTGTTGTTTTGCTTAAACTACTCCAGATCATCATGAGAAGCTGTTAAAGAACAGCTGTTTTGACAATTAATCCAGCAGGAACTGAACTATTGCTATCACTTGATAACTGCTCAGCTGCCTTTCAAGCACTGTCACAGTGAGTATGAAATCCAGGAGCTCTGTATTTGTCATAGATTAGCAGGAAATCTGTTTGGTTTTTTTTAAGTGACATCATCTATTTCCACTCAACTCCTGCTCTTCTACTGTTTGTAAGAGCTCAATTAAAAATGGGAAGAGTACGATAACATTGCAAAATTGGGTGCTGTGAAATCCAAAATTTCACAACTTTAATTCTACAGTATTGACAAAATTTCACCAGCTTATCAAGACAAACAGGTGTTACTTCACACTTTGTACAACTACATCTAAAGACCAGATTTTAAAGGACATCAGGCAATGAACACCACAGTTCACATAATGAGCTTCTACAATCCAGTACTATCTACGTAAGTAAAATATGCTTATGCTACCCTACTGCCAAGAAAATCCACTAGCAATCCCTTGGCACCTTACACATCAAAGTTTAATTTCATTAATCCAAGTCCTCACTCAACATCTGTCAGACCAAGTGCAAACGGCAGCAAATAATGCCTGGTGTGACCCTTGGTATGGCTGAACTCAGCAGCAGAAAACACAAAACATGCAATTACCAACACCTGTAAGGTGGAGAAACGAGACCAGAAGTTCTTGTTTGTTTCTGCCTCCTGTGGCACTGCTGCTTCCCCCAGGCCAAAGGGGTACTTATGCTGCCAGCAGGAATGCTGCAGCTCAGGCTGTGGGTAATAAGTACAGCAGGAGAGGGGAATCTGTTATTTCTCCCCTTGGACCTGCCATCTGCAGACATCCCTGTTACTACTTACTCCTATCATAGGAGGAGGATTCCAGGCTTGTTAGGCTAACCTATCCCTGCATGCCAAGACAGCAGTCCCCCTCTTGTGATGCAAAGTCCCATGGCACTCTTACTCAATTCTGTGCCTGTTAGTACAGAAACCATAAGACTGAAGAGGAGCACACCACTAGGATTCTCATTTCATAAACAGAGACCTAAAATCATATGGACTTCTAAATTAATTTTCATGTCAGAAAGCAGCATTCCTACCTACTCTGATCCTGCTCCACCCCTTCAGGTGTTCCCTCCAGCATCCATTACAGCTCAATTAGATGCCTCAATTAGGGCAAGCCCTGAACATACACAGTACATACTGTTAATACCCTATCACGCCCTAGAGCATCTGCATACCAGAAAAAGTCAAGTTTTAACAGGTGAGCTGGACAAAGAAGAGATAACATCATATGTTTTAGCAATACTGGGGAGATTTTTGTCAGGATAGGTGACAGATGCTCACCACTGAGCCTCTGAATCTCCTGTGTAATACAAATCCTCACACCAAACATTTGACTACAGAACACCAGGTGAAACATTCCCAGGGACAAGAGCTTGACCCCAGGAGTTACCTTTCCTGGTTCTTTTTAATATTACTTTATTTATTTTAATCTACCTGCTCCCACCACCCTTTTTAAAGCATGCCTTAACACAGTGCTTTGAACACACTTTAAAGGCTTCAGAGACAACACAAGTCCTCAAAGAACTGAAAATACTCCTTGCTTTTTATCATCCAATACTGATAGCTGGAACTTGTGCTAGATGTCAGGCTACTTAAGCCTAGGCTACTTAAGCCTGATGGCAACCTCTTTAAGTCACTCCAGCCATGGAGATTAGGTTCTTCCCAAGAGCTGGTTTAAACTGGACATGCATTCTCCTTCTTTGAGGTTTGTAAGAATTGTCCTCCAAAATAAAAAGCAAATTGGGAAAGCTTTCCACTGCTTAAACTCAGGGACTAACCTGAACGAGTTCACTGCCTGCAAATGTATCTTTTCATAATAATGACAAAAGTTATCTTCTCCTATCACTTCCTAAACCTGACTCAGTGACTTTAATACTGCCATCATCTATACTGCTTCTTGGCATTTATTCTGCAGATCTTTACTTACCAACACAACATTTCTGACACCATTTAGTATCCGGAATTTTTGTAGATACGGCAAACTTCCTACAAGATACAAAGACAGAATTATTGGTCAACTTAACTGAATGAATTTGCTTTTTAGTGAGCTGTTGGTGAGAAAAGTTTATCTGCTCCCCAGAAAAATTATGTATGTGTGTATTTCTTCTCAAAATGTCATGCCTAGAACATACATGGTGATCCCTCTGTTAGCACTGAGATGTTGCTCAGTTATGCAACATTATAAATGCAGTGAAAAGTCAGGAATGGAGAGCAATAGATACCTCAATACCTTCAAATGTCATTTACCACTATTTAATTATATGTATTTATACACATGCCTGGGATATCCACAGGTACTCACACAATCATTCTTCTTTGTAATGCTGTAACTTACTACATCTTGTGCTGGATACTACATTGACAACACAAAGGCCTCTCTTGTCCCAAGGACATAATTGTAATTCGAAGACAAGACATGTGGACCCAAAGGGTATGGCAAATGATACCGTACCAGAGAGCTTGCTTGGACTGACAGGCAAATATTGCAGTCAAAACCATTTCAGCACCTTTCAAATGTCCAGAAGTGACCGATAATGCAGGACTGAGCAGCATGAAAGCTGAGTACTGGCCACAGATTTTGCTCGGAAGAAGCCATGGAAGGTTTGAAAGAAACTGTTCAAGGACACTCAAGGGAAAGAAGCTGGAATGTAGACTTACCAGAGACATTTTCTGCTGCTGTTTGCCTACCAAGTTATCATAAATTCAGCTTAGACCATGTTGCAGATGAATATACAAACCTCACAAATGACTTTGAATTCTATTTTGTTTTGCTTTTTCTCTATAGAAAACTTTGCTTTTAACATTTCTACGTTGATATAATAATGCTCTTCTCCATGCTTCAAATGCACTTCTGTCAGGCTAAATCTTACTACCCTGACGCCTTACAGCAAGGGATAAAACAGAAAAATGGATTATCTAAATGAATCTCTCCTGTGTTTGAAGGACTGCCTTGGCACTCACACATTCAGGTTATGCTGCATTTTTCTAGGGAAGCGACATGACTGGACAAGAAATTTTCTGAGCCCTCTGCAGCTTAGGTGACGTGTCATTCCAGGCTGAATGTAGACTGAAGGTCTCCCTCACACGATCCTTAATGATAATTACAGTTATTAGTCCACTGCTGATGCAGTCCTCACACCAAAGTTAGTTTGGAATAGAGAGGAGCAGAACAATGGCACAGACACACAGAAGACAACGATTCAAGGCACAAATTACCTCTTAGTTAATTAGCATTTAGCCTCTAGGAATAACACAATTTTCAGAGGAGTGCTGCACCATTATGTTGGCAGATGACTGAACAAGAAGCCTTTCCTGAACCCAAGAATTAAATGTTAATAGGCTGTTAATAGAACCAAAGATGGCAAAAAATTATGTCTCCTATAATACAATTTCCTAACAGAAAGTCTATTATACAAGAACCAATGATTCCATACATATTTTAAGAATCAAAGGCATCTCTGCAAACTAGATTAGTGTTACTATCTATTCCTCTTGGATTTGAATGGTCTCTTTAAGGCTTGGTTTGTCAGCCAGCGTTGTGTCCCTGAGATTTTGTATGCACTTGTTAGTAAATACGGCTGGAGGGACTGCATGCACAATGTGCTGTAGGCATCTGGGATGAAAAGGATCTTCTACACTGGCCTGTGAAAAATGACTAGGCAATGAAGAATGTCAAATCTGCACTCCAGTTCTATTCTTTCCAGCCTACAAAATAATCCATGAGACTATTCCCTCTGCAGTAAGTGATTATCCATCCTCAATTTTTACTTTTACTTTAAGTAGAATGGAAAGATAGGGCCCACAGTAACTAATGTAAGGTCACCATTTCTACTTGCCCGAAATGTAAAAAGAACAATACTGACCCTAGATCTTGTTTAGCATGAAGAACAACCAGGTTTTACCATACTAGACTATACCTGAAAAGAGCTATGCCCTCAAACAAGAGGCTTCATGACAAAAAGCTAAGACGTACCAAACCACATTTATCTAACAGGAGTATATTCATATCCTGATTCATGTAAGTTTAGAGGTCTACCCACTGACTAATGCCCATAGGAGTTATCCATGACAAACTGTGAATAGAGCTCCATGTTATTTGATATTCCTCGAGTTTCACAAGCATATTCTGAACTCCCAAATTAAGATATTCTGATACATCTGATGACATGTATTTACCTTGGAAGTATTCTGTCAGGAAGTTTATGTGCTGGGATAGCAACAGGTAACTTCTGCATTTGCCTTGCATAATCAAAGAGTCCTGGTAGATTATGGGAATAGAGCTGAGAAGCTTTACCTGTTAGTTAGAAAACAAAACCACACTTCAAATACAAAACCAAATGTTTACCACCACTAACAGTTGGAGATAGCACAGTAACTTACCAGATATTGATAACAAGCAATTGTTCATGACATACAACCACGTACACCTTCGAGGAAATAGCTGATAAAGGAAAGGAAAAACGAAGAAAGAAAAGAATTCAATCTGATATACACAAAATGTGGACACATTAAGTTGATTGATTAATATCTGCATAGACGACAGGACAAAACTAATATTGATTTGCTTTTTGTAGCAGAAATTAGCTTAAGCCAAGTAATGTTTACCTGGATTCCAGAGTTAATTCAGAGTAAATCTTAGGCACACACACTATATTTAACATACACATTAACATTTAGACAATTAGCATGTTTTATATTCATGTCTTCAAGAATACTATAATTAGCCCATGAGACATCATTATAAAAATCAATCCTTTTAAAAATTTCAAAACTACCAAACTTTCTCCTTCAAAGGAGAAGACCTTAACAATAGTAAACTTCAATAAACAAAGCACAGCCCTTCTAAAGCCTGCAATAGTCCAAATCTCTTGAAACAAGTAAAACTGGCACTTGAAGCGACTCTCCATCCACATATGATAATATACTTCATTTAAGCGATCAAGGAGTGTAAAAATGTTCAAGGTAGAATTGTTGTCATACCCCAGGATTACTAGAAAGATAGTGTTGAACTGACAAGGTATTTTTAAAACAAAAAAGAAATGTAAAAAAAAAAAATTAAAAAAATACAAAAAATAGTACTTTCTTTCCCCCATCTCGCGTAACTTCTGGAGTTTGTTGCCCCAAGAGGTGATGGAGATGGAAAGTATCAACAGTGTAAACAAGGGATTAGACATACTCATGTCCAACAGGTCCATAAATGGACACAAGAAGCAAATAGCCAGAATCCTCCAACATCCCCAATTCCATGACAGTAGTTGAGTCTGAGAAGAACAGACAGTGGACAGTGGTCATTGTCATGGTCACTTCACACTCCCACTTCAGGAAATAGACCACTGGGCCAGACAGACCACTCATCTCCTTTGCCCTTCGAAAAACAAGCAAAATCTCCTACCAAACAAACAAACAAAAAACCAAAAAAAAAAAAACCCAAAACAAAGCACTCACTGCTGGTTTATTAGAAAGATCTGAGGAGATCTTGTAAATTAACTGAAAGATTTTTCTGCCAAAGAGCAAGAGATTCATCTTGAAGCTGTGCTAAATCCTGGAAACATCAGTTATTTCTGCTTTGTCCATTAGTGAAGTGGAATGCAGTGAAAAATAACCAAGGATACTACTTCTGCTTTTACACTGAATTACATCAGCCTATAGAGCAAACAATGAAGTGAAACAGAACTTCAAAATGCTATTAAAGCCCTATTGCCTGTTATCATAAATAAAGATGCAATAAGAGAGTGCATTTGTATTCCTGAAGTCTCCCCGTAACCTAAACATACTGTAAGAAAAACCTACAGTAATCATCTACCATCCTGGCTTTATCCAAATTTAATGTGCAAGTTTGATTGACCTTCTCTAGCTGCATAACCATATTGTGACTTAGCAGGTCTGGATCCAAAGATTAGAGAACAGCAGCAATACTTCAGATTTGCAGGTTGATTGACCTGTCACCCATTCCTCCTGTTCCACATATGACTGACTGTTTTTACAAGCACCTCTTCTCATCATTCAGTGCTCTAGTGTTCATTAAAACATGTCCCTAAAAGCTCCCTAGGCAATGGACTACAGAACATGGTGCTTGGAGAAAACAAGGATGGACACGAGAGCATGAGTTTTGTTACACTTATTCTCCTTGCCAATTAAAAACAACTCCACCCCACCCCCAAAAAAGCCAAACCCAAACCAAATCCCCCCCCCCCAAAAAAAAAAAAAAAAACAAACCCAGAACAACCAACACTTTCCTTTGTCTACCTGACCTACAAGAATTATTGTATTAGTGGTATTTCTCAGGATAGGTTTTACAACCATAGTGAAGCAGCAGAGAGGTACCTGAGCTAAGTTTAAACTAGGTAACTCAAGCACCAGTATGATTATGGGTTACATGGAGCTCAGTGCAAGCTAGCTAGGCCTTCTTCTCAACACAACAGACATCTACTACGTCTGGACCCTGGAAGATTAACAAACACCAGTGCCTCCAGCTTACAGTGTGAAGGCTGTCCTTGCAAATTCCTCCATCTTGATGGCAGATGCATAGCTCCCTAAGTTAGGGAGAAGGCAGGAAAGAAAACAAGTCTCAGAGATTAACAGAAGAGCTGGAGAAGACACCATACAGAAAAGCCTGCAATTGGCATTTCCCCCTCCCCAGTATCCCCTCAAAAACACCTCCCGTTTATAAGATTCTGCAAAGATTTGGATTCAGTAAGCTGAGTCTTGTCAGCAAAGCTGCTTTTAAGACAAAAAAAAATGGAATCTAGTGTATAAAGGATCTCCTTGCTCCCCTGGAGCTGACACACAAAGTTTGCTCCAAATATTCTATCTTGTATCACAGCTTTCAAAAAAAAAATAGAAAAAAAAATAGAAACTTTCATCAAAGATATACCAGGAAAATTCCATACTATTTTAATAGATTATTTAGCTGCAGGACAACGCACTCTGATGAAGGTCAACACATTGATATATGCAGATCTCCTACTTAAACACGGTTCAGCCGACACAAAACTTAAATGCGATTTAAAGGTATCCTCAGTAGTAAGCATTTAAGATAAATCTCAGTGTGGCTAGTGCCTATGTAACTGTAAAGACAATTTTTACAAGGATTATAGAACATAAATCTGAGTGGCTAAAAAAATAAGATGTATTTTTTTCCCCAAAATATTAAACCAGAAATACACCTGCTCCATTGATGTTTCATGAAGTTCATTGAGGTTCAGTGTGTAAATACCTTCTTCTGCACCAAATATCAAGTACTGATCTGCAAATACAAACAAAAAGAAAATCTAGGAATTCTGACTTAATGAAGGTATGTTTTACAAGAGCATGCAGCTCTTTAGCAAGAGAAGACTTAATTATACACATTGAAACAAACCAACCTATAATAGTTATGGTGTTTGAAAGCTTGAAAAACAAGTATTGCTAAGGAACCTTAGCTTTGTGGATGGGGTTGTTTTAAGACATTAGGAAAGATGAGGCTTTTTATGATTTTGTTATCAGAATAAAAACCAGCAGTGATACAACATAAGCAAGAACTCATGTGAATAGTTTCCTCATATATATAGATCATTCTATTTGAACATTTCCATATATTTTGTGACATATTTATGGCCTTCTTTTGGAGTACTTCGAAAAGCAGTATTGGAATGTTTTCTCAGTATTTTGGGGGTGCCTCACTTCTTGAACATAATTAATACCCTGGATTGCATTTAGGCATGTGAACAAGACAGACATCTTGTATTGAGATGTCAAATGCAAAACATTTGACTTCCATAATTTCATTGTCTGATAAAATCTAAGTGTTTTCTTGCTTACTGGCTCAGCAGCATGTCTATGCAACCTATAATCAACAAGGAAAATTGCAGGCAACGCAAGTACAATGTTACCAATTATCCCTTTCATTAGGCTATACAATGAAACACCAAAAAGTACGCACAAAGAGATCTGCAGAAATCTGCAGACCAGACAGATTTAGGAAAGAAAAAAAGGAGAGGAAAAAAGAGAGAGAAAGAAAGAAAAAAAGTGAATGATAAAGAAATCTATCTCCACTAGGGCCTCCAGGAGTCAGTTTTTTTTCCAAAATGGATTAGGATTGGCATCTTTGGGATTAAAATGTTGAAAAGAGTCTTGACTCAAAAGTGTTTGGTTTTGTTTTTCTTTTTTACCTTTGATATGTAATTTATTCTCTTTAATCAAAGCTGAAATCTGGGCCCCACATCTTCATTAAAAAAACAAACACTGAACTGCAGAGCAGAGGCATAATTAAAGAACTACTGCTTCTATGAATAAACCTACTTTACAATATGTCTGTTTTAAAAGAAGTAAGTCTTGCTCCTCTAAGCACTCTTTAAATCCGAGGAGAGGACAAAATGAATAAATATATGTAATATATTACCTCTCGTATCTGGATTTATCCATGAAGTTGCACAATGTATTTTTAATGGACAGCCATTGAAAACCTTTGAAAAGCAAGCACCCATCTGTAGAAGTAAAAACAATTAAAAAGATACTTACAAAAACCAGAAAAGTGACATTCCCAATAGGATTCATTTTACGTAAAGTAGTAACAAAAAGTTAAAATAGTTTCATTTGACATGTGGAAAATAACCTCACACACACAAGTTGACTAAGTGATTTTAAGTGATTTTTTTCAAGTGTTTTTTTCCCTTTGTGCATAAGACCTTTCTGAACAAACATACCATAATTAGCATTTCTGAATTAACTCTTAATTTAAAAGTCTTAAACTGTATGCACTTAACTATATGCTTAATTTAAGTTGGCAAACCTGAAAAAGGTTCCTGAATTTTGTGACTTTAGAAAGTTTTGGAGAAACTTAATTCTTGACATATTTCATACATTCAAAATAAAACTCTAGGTCATGCAACAATCAAAATCTTTGTTTTAGAGTATCTATTATTTGTTTCAAGTTAATTTATTTTCTATATTGATTGCTTTCCAAAGGGAAACCTCTGGTAGATGATCTCTTTGTTCAGTATAACCCTAATAAACTCCATTTGCCTATTAAGTGTCTTGCATAATGTAATATAATCGTTCTGCCCATCTTTCTCCTAGTGAAGCACAAGCATTTTTTGTAGCACTTATAAGAATACTTAATAAATTTGCTTCAAGAAGACAGAAAAGGAAAAGCCAGGGCTTCCTTTCTTCCCCTCAAACATCAACATAACAATTACCCATCCTATTTTGCTAAGAAGAGCTGACCTACAGTACTGTTGATGAAAGAGAATGATGCAGTAGTGCACAACAATAAGTTCAGTGAAACATTATAACTTATAAAACGTTGGCCATATATAAGATGAAGCCATAGGTAAATGTTGCCATCCTGAATATAAGCAGGTATCACCTCTGTGCAAAGCTACATATCCTGCAGCTACAGAATGGCAATGTTTTCACTCTACATTAATACTTCGATAACAAATATCAATCTGTAAACTGAATTAACCAACAGCTTTCATGTTAACATTTGGACAAGTTGGGTTTTTTTTTATTAACCTGTTGTCGAATAAGAAAGTCTGTGCACACTTCAGTTACTTTTGAACACAATGTACTTTGAAGAGGAAGTTAACCCTTTAAAATGAACAGCAGCAGAAACAGGACCCTTTGCTTTGCACTTCAGACATGTCTCATTCTTGCATCACTATAATGAAACCCATGACTTTGTCTATATATGCTTAAATGAGAGAAGAATCAAATTCATTAAGGTAATCAGCAAAACTGGAAAAACAGGAAGACTCCATTACACAAAGACAATGTGGAAGACTGCCGCACTGCCAGTACCACTGCAGAAGTCTTGAGTATCAAGGCAAGGAGCTGGTACATACAGAGAGAAGTCCAGTAATCCCAACGGCCTGGGAGAAAAAACCCTTCCTTACCCAAATTTTCATTATTTGGCAACTGATGGAGACAGCAGGCAGCGTGGAAAATATAAGTGCCAAATCAATACTTAACAGAAAGGTTGGAAAGTTTGTTATACCTACGAGGTGGGGTGTGATGAGGAAAGAGGAGGAGAGGGCAGAGTTTCTAACCTGGCCATCATCAGAACCAGAGAATGGATGCACTACAAAGATGCATAAATGTGCAGAGAGCAGTCCAATACCCAATGACTCACTTGATCAGCTTCAGAAGTTTCCTTTTAGTCAGCCCCTTTTTACAGCTTCATTATATTAGCAACTCAAGTAATTTTCTGATGGCCTGTCCCTGAAGCTTGCGGGAAAAATGCAACACATATGACTATTTTGAGCTATTTATTTTGTACCCTTTTTCTCATTCCAGTCACTAAATCTATCTTACCTCCCTCTCATGATGATGATTTGGTTCTTGTCAATGCTAGGAGCCCTTCCAAGTTTCTATCATTCACTAGTTTCAAGTACACACTCCTAGGCCATGTATTTAGTTTAATATCTAGTTTATTAAAATAGGACTGACCTACAAACAATGCTAAACATACCAAGAATTCAGAGCTCTGGAACAATCCTGTGAATTTATGCAACAGTTTACAGTTCCAAGGAACAGAAGCATTACATCTACCTTAACCTGTTCTCCTTCTCTAAAATGGCTAGGAAGCAAAAAATAGTATCATCTGCACTTACACAGCCTCATAGCAATTGTATTGTCTATCTAAAGATGAGAAACTGACCTGGCTCAGAGGCAATGTAGCAAAAAGTTTTGTTGAAGATCAGATGAATTCCCCATTTGGTGCACAGCACAACTATATGAATGCATGGTCCAGCACACAGGGAAGAAAATGGCGAGGGCAGAAACAAATGGTCAAAAGGAAGTAAAGACCGGCCCTTCTGATCAGAGAGCTGGCTAAATTGATAGCTTGACTTCGCAAATGAAGCACAGTGATAAGGCCACACAGATATTACAATTAAAGCAAACTAGAATTTATGTTATGAAGGTGCACACAGATGTCTGCAATAGTTTCAAGCCCTAAGAAATGTATGAATGCTATCTTCAGAAGTTTTGAAGCCTAGAGCTGCACAGCATAAGCTTTGAGCTGTTTGTAGTACCCAAGAGGCATAAGTTCCTCAGAACAGCAAGTACCCTCAATACCGAAAGAACTTCTGTAGCATCAGTCACAAAACTCTCATTCATCACTTTTTCATTAAGAAGCTAATAAAAAACATTCCGAAGTTTACTTCTAAAGCACAAAGCCAAGCGTGACTGCTGAAATACCGTGCCTGTGGCTTAATATTTCCAAGAGATACTGGCTTTTATAATTAAAAGAAGCCCCTACAAACACTCAAAAAATGCACTCTCTCAGCTTTAGTAAGAAAACATGTCCTGCTTCCAACATGCATTTCTGTGACTCATTAATACTCACGTGTACTTTAGGTGTGGGAGGAAGGCCATTACTAATTGGTTTCTAGAAAACAGAAGTTAAAAAGTGTGTTTACACTCACATGCACACATACGCATGAAAAATGCACATTCCCATACTACAGCATAACCAAAATACAAGTCTAAAGTTTTTTTTAGAATGTTCTTAAAAGCATTTAATAATTATATTAGGAGAAAATAGAAAGCCAGTACTTACATTTACATAAAACAGATATAAACCCCTCCCTGCAGATTTTTAAGACAATAGAGTTGTGTTGTGTGTTTCTAGACTTTGATAACTGCACTAGGCACCTATTGGGACACTGCTGTGCCACATGTATGAGATATGAAAGCCATGGCAACACTCCCATTTTTAAGCATGAGGTTGGGCCACAGACCTTGCTTCCAACCAACACTTCCATATTTCTGTACGAGTTTCCTAACCACATCCTCTATTGACCACACACCACTAACTACCAGATCATTTGCCTTCACTAAAACCTCTACTACGATTCCCTAGTATCTCCTTACTGAAGGTCTGCATAGCCTATTGTGCAATGCTTTCACATTACAATGATGCCTGAAAGAATGCCATATGCAGCAATACAAAGTTTAAGCAACATTGCAGCAATTGCTCAATTGTTCGCTATTACAAGCGGGTATCAATTAGTACTAGACCCACTTTCCTATATCTGTATCAATTTCTTAGTAGAAATATGCTTCCAAAGAAATGTATTTTACAGGTTAACACAGGAAATTTCCAACACACCATTTCAAATGTGATGCTCAAATCAATTCAGGAAATCATGCTTTCCAAAGTACTTCCTTAAACCAAAACAAAAACACCCACAACGTTTCTGCTCTATTTTCTCTTCACTTCTTTCAAAAGGGTGACATTTCCAACCTCATCCTTAGAAGAAACCCCCAAAGACTACAGTTTCATGTTAAATTAAATCTGATCTAACTCCAAATGCCCCACACTCTCCTGTCTCACATTCATTCCCACATTTGCTTTTGCATCAAAGTAATAGAGTGCCACTCTGGAAGCTATTCCAGAAAGCTATGGAAAAACTCACTTGGAAGAGCAGAAAGGGATGCAGAAATATTCCCTTTCCTCTGCTCACAGACGGATCAGATTACACATGGAGTGAAACTGCTTTCTCTCCATGAGTGCAACTTCACATGACTGTATGTAGCTCAAGATGGACACTAAACAAAAGCTCCTAAACCCTGAAACCCAGAGCTCCAGAGGCCAGCAGACAACAGCTTGCATACCTGGACCCTTAATCTACGTTTCTCCATCTTTTCTTTTTCCCCTGGCATGCCTACAGCTGGGATAAGAGGAGGACTCATTTGACAGCCCCGATTTAGCTCCTTTCCCAGGGCCAGCCAAATCCTCCAGCAAGCCATCAGATGGCAGCATGTTCCTTAATTTAACCATTTGCTTAATTAAAAGTCATTGCTCAGTACAACACATTACATCTCTCTCACAGGATCCTGCTCTCACTACATCTCAAGTATGTGAATACAAGCAAGTAAATCTTACATATCCATGATGATGTTAGTTTCTAATGAAAATTAAATACTGATTCAAACTTCATTTTAAGACTATCACAGCTAGATTAGCAACTGTGCTTTGATTCAAAGTAAACAAGATGTCATCCATCCAGCATAATTTCTATGCTAAAGAGTGTGCCCACTACTTTTCATTGCACATGTAGAACAGTTGAGACTTTTAAATAAGACCCAGAAGCTTAAATACCTACCAGTATTTCCTTCTTTTCCCTCCTTGAAAAATTAGTGTCTCTAACTTCATTCTGTTGATGTGGTGATCCCTCTCGTTCACCATTTAATTGTACATAACTGACTCCATTACCTAGAAAGATTCATATTTTAAAATGTATTCTACCTTCAACTCAGAGTAGTTTAGCCTCAAAACAGTTCTGAAAGGCCGTAATTTCCACTTATGTCAGAACATGTTCCAGTACACTAATTTATGAAGCGTATACATCTCTACATGCTCATAAAATCATCTATAAAGAACATTCAATTTCAGTCCATGGCTTTTGGCAATTAACATAACTCTAACGTGGACACAGAAAGGTATGCAGTCACAGTTATGAGAAAAATTATATTTAACATATCTAAATAAAACTTGGCTAAAGCTTCAAATTATTGATCCTTTATAAATAGCCTTGAGACATTTCTTAGCACTAGAGGCTTAAGCATTACAGTCAAATCTGTAACACATCAACTCCAATACTAAATACATAGCAAGGAAGAGCTAGCAAGGTATCAAGTAAGATTCAGACATTAAGTTCGCTTAAAACAAGCCAGTTCAGAACAACTCTTAGAGCATCAGACTTTAACACACATAAAAGGAACTGCCTGAGCAAACAGCAAACACAATTCCCTGCTGTCCTACCCAACCCAGTTCATTATAAACAAATGCAAACTTTGAAAGCAAAACTATTATTGACATGTCAAACAACAACCTCAGTTGACACACAGAGCCAGAACCTGAAACCTACAAACAGGAAGACTTCTTTAACCCCTGTGAAACCACGATACTCTACATTATAAGCCTGTCATTTAGAAAAGCAATTGTGTCACCAGTGGTGTCAGTAGGAATGGTATCAGTACCTTTACTAAAAGGTACATTTGACTTTCAAGTCAAATTGAGTTCAAGCATGCTTGCTTTGCGCATCTTGGCTTTTGTGATTTTTTTTTTTTTACATGCCCCCCACAGAAAAATTACCACATTACTGTAATTTCACATATGCACACCTATGTATGCATAGGTGAGCATGTAGAAAGAAAATAATGTAAGATTATTTAAGAAATATTTGTATACTTCTTGCTGTCACTCTTATTACCTAAAACATTAGATTTCTGTGGAGGTAGCCGAGGGGGTGGTGGCCTGGGTGGAACCTGAGATGCAGATTTTGCTGGACTCTCTGATGTTGGGCATCTCTTGATTGTTCCTTGGTTATCGTTTTCAGAAGAATGAGTTTCTTGGGGGATAAAGATGGATTTAGGCTAAAAAAGACACAGTAATAATAAAAACATAATGAAAAAAAGAAAATATTCAAAGCACCCAAGCTCCTTCTCACTGACAAAAAAGTCACATGCAGTATTTGGGTCCTCAAATTTTCACAAGTAAGTTGGTAAAGCAACATGTTCTGCCATGCAAATGTTTCAAAAACAAACCAGAAGGAAACACACAGCAATAAGGAAAACCTTGTTATCAACAAAGGACAAATTAAAAATCATTATATTCAAGTCATGCATTAAATAATTACTGGCCACGTGGAAATGTCACTGTTTATGAATACAGATAACCAAACCAGACATTTAAGTAGAACCTAGGGGAGCAGACAACGATACAGCTAGAACTTTGTGTAAAGAATCACAAACAAAGGATGTACCCACAACGGGCAACATTGTTTAGAAACCTGCTGCACTAATGCTGCTTGCAAAGCCCTTCTGAGTTATGCAAAGATAGTGCAGGAGGGTAAGTAAGAAAACCTGCAATTTTTGGCTGAGGAACTAACAGCCAGACAAAAGAAATACAGTTCTTTTTATTTTCCTTCACATTAAGGTAATTTCAGTGTAAAAAAGATTCACTTACTTTTCAAGTGACAGCATGCAAAACCTAATCTGATCCAGGCATGCCCCTGAAGATCACCATTCAGACAGCAAAAGTTAGCAAGCAGATACTTTACTCAGCAGCTCCTTAGTCACGGCTCAAGTGAGAGAACTATCAATACAGTCATTTAGACACTTCTGCATTTATATATAGCGCCCTATTATCTGGCAACAAAATCCCTCTCACCTTTGGTGGTAAAGGAGGTGGCACTTTAGGTTTCATAGTAGCACTACAAAGAAAAGAAACAAAACAGGCTGTTATCCAGCGCAGCTCCTTGAGCCTTATACTGTGGTGTTCAAGATACACAATTTTATAAAAAAACAGGGTTTTATCAGTGACATATAATTAAACACCATTAACTTGCCATCAGCGCTATTATATCCAAATAACGGCACCACAAATACTTTCAAACATTTTGTTATTGCTGTGCATACCACAGATACTATCCAAAATAAAACTATCACAGATCATCCCTAGAGAGCCCAAAGCAACATGAACTGATCTGCTGAAAATGCACATACTTGCGGGGAAAAAAAGTAGGGAGATGCAGAGCAAACCTGATATTTATTCTGCTGAGAGAAGAAAAAAATCAGGGCATTGTGAGCTTTTTTAAAGGGCCATCCATAGGTATATAGGGCAAAGGGGAGTTACAAGAAAACTGATTAATATCATTCCTGACTTCATCAGAACAGCTTTACACATGAAAGCAAAATCCACCTACAATGGACAGCTATCCCACTGTCTGGGTTCAGGGGGGATGTGTGTGTGTATATATATGTATATCTTTTTCCATGAGTTTTAGAGAAATTTTGCAAAAGACAACTTTTTAAATGCAAGAACAATTCTACAGCTTGGCTTAACAGTACAAGGTATCAGCAGAAAAACAAGAAAACTGAAGCATCAGGATTATCCTTCCTCTACTGGTTCTGTGTTTTAGAACATAGAATATGCCTCATTTAAAAAAAAAATAAATTTAAAAAATCCTAAATTTCTAAATGTTGGGTTTTCAAAAACTCTTACACTGCCCTGTTTTCTAATCTTTTGGAACAAAAAATTATTTCAATTGAATACATTAGGCATACAGCTGCGAAAATTTGATATTCTTCTTGACATTCTTGCACAATATTTCCCTTATTATTAAATTATGTTCCAAAGTGTAGGGAAAACATCCAACTAGTAAGATATCTACTTGTTTACAGATCAACAACTTGTCTCCTTTGCTTAATTCTTTTCAGGAGTTTCTGTCCTGGCATCTTATCAGCGTCAGCCACTTCAGCTGTTACAGCAGTGGAAATTATCTTCTCTCCATAACATTAGGACCAAGCTTAAGTCCTCGGGTGTGTGCATCCAAGCTCCAGTTGTATTTTCTTTCATATTCTTCCCTTCATCTCTGACAGCCATCTCAGTGTTACTGGGCAGCCAAATGTGTCCAAAAAGGGAAAAAAGCCAACAATTTGGCATAAATGTAACAGATGTTTGTACAATGGAGTATGCCCTGGTTTCAACAGCAAGGTTTATGTGCAGTTTGTCACCGTTGATCATGCAGAGCACTGCCCCAATAATTTCTGCTTTCCCAGCTTCCATAACCAGGAAGTTCAAGAACCATCAGCTTTGCTGCACATGAAAGAAAAAAATACCAAAACAACAAGGATTATTAAAAGGAGAGAATTTTATGTTGTTCCCTGAAGCATGTGGATTCTCTGCTATGAATCACACAGCTTCACGCAGTGAAGAGTTATGCAGTGGCATCAGTTTGGACTGGAGGGCATACAGCAGCTTCATTGTTTTTGTTCTGGATCTGACAGATGTCACATGTGGTCTTCAACTGCAGCACCATGTCACAGAATATAAATAGAACAAAAGCCTTGCATCTTCAGTGGACTCCAGAAAAAGATATCTAAGACCAAGCTGATGAATCAATGCACTGCAACAGACATTTGGGCTTAAGCAGATACCAAGAGGAAAGGCACAGGTGCAGAATCTGTCTGATCCAAGGCTGAGGCATTGAAGGGTTGCCCCTGTGCTTACAGGAAAATGCAGTGCCCTCTCTGTAGGATAAGAGTATCTAGGATGAAATACAGAAGAAGCAAAAAACACCAGGACTTTTTGGAAGACCACTAGTGACTGTCCTTAAGGTCAGATGAATCAGAACCTCTCCACAAGCTATTGGGTTTTTTCCTTCTTAACCTGAAAGAGAAAACGCACAAAAATACCACAGTGACAGAAGCAGCTAAAGCCAATGCTGTTGAAAATTCTGATGGAGCTCTTGCAAGGAACAAGGATCTCAAAGCACTGGATAAAGAAATCAGTGCAAGCACCTGAAGACATCAAGGATCAAGAATTTCCAAGCCCTAGAACATTACTGATGTTGATGATACTGCCTGCAAACAGAGCAAGAAGGTGGGGCATGGGGAATCAAGCAAAAATGAATGGACACAGAGATGTACATCCGGAGATTAGTACGGATAGGGGAACCAAGCTGACATAATTTGGAGCAGTGCAGATAATCCAGAGCATCTTCACTGAAGGCCATCAAAGTGGAGCTGGAAGTATGGAGCTATAGGGGACTGTTACATCCTACAGTGTGGAAGCCCAAGTTATCACCACCAAGGTCTATCCAGCCTAGGAGCAAAGCAGGTTCGCAGCTTGGTCCAAATGCAGGGGAGCAAATCAATGAGTAGCATCATTGAACTCTTTCTCTCAAAAAGAAGACATGAGAGCTTTGTATTATCGATAAACTGCACCATCATGCCTGTAAAAAACTGCTTCATAATGAAATATGAAGAACTTCTTGAGGAATTAGGAAGGGAATGAAGCCTGCTAGAAACTGACTGAAAAATCATTTTTGTTTCTATAAATATACTTCTGTCAAACAGCAAACATACTTGTGTTTTGAGAAGATGATTATTAAACAATGCAAGTCTAACATACTTGTAACCTACATGATACCAGAATCAGTAGCTTTACCTTTCTTGAAGGAGGCTGTCCCTCATGCTCACTACAGTGATTAAAAACTACTGCCTTTGTTATAAAAGAACAGCAGTAAAATAACTCGAGGGAAAAAGAGTTATTTGGTTCTCTGCAGGAGACAGATGCCAGCAACAGATAACGCATGTTTTACAGGTTTCTGGTATGAAGCAACAGCTTTCAAAATTATCCATTAACAGAAAGTAAACAAGAACTCTGTCTCAACAGCATCTTTCTTTCTTTTTTGTCTTTACATCAGATTTATTTAGGAATGTAGATTTCCAAATACTGGCTGCAAATTTTTGTTTCAGCTCTCATATGTCAATCAAAATGAGCCCAATACTTATATTTAGTATAAGCACAATTAATTTAACATGTGGCTATTGATACTGCCTTTGTAGTCACGTAAACCTTGCTCAGTGGTAAGGGAGCCAGCTCTATTACAAAATCAAGCACCCACACACGCATCCTCCTAGCTGAGACAGTAGACAGAACAAACTCAATTATCTAAAGAAGACAGTTACATATGCATTTTATGTATTTTTAATGAGCTTTATTTTAATATACTAGTTATAAAGTTGACACCAGCATGGGGATCAGAGGAAGCGGCTCAATGTACACCAGGATTTTGTTCAATAATAAGAAAAGGACAGCTGTATCAAGTGAGGAACAGATTGCTTCCCCCTGATTTATCAGTTTATCAGCAGAATAAGAAAACATTCAGTGATGTCATCTAGGAACAACATTAAATGCCTATCTTAAAAAATGCTGTACAAGATGAAGTATCCTGAACTATTAGGGACAGAGCAATTCAACTTGCAAGAAACAAACATTCATCTATTCAAGAATCAGCTTTTATACATATAATTTTTACAAGAAAAAAGGACTTACTGTTTAGCATCATCATCTGCGTCATCATCATCTTCTAAATGTGCCACATGTCCCCTAAGAAAATGAACAAGGTATGATGGCTGAGTTGTACTAAAGTTACTTGGCTACTGAGAAAAATTATGAGCTCAAAGGCTGCTACCTCTTTTACAGAATTCAACTGTCTTTTAGCTTTTTATGATTATTCTTTAAAGCACAGCTGCAATCCAAACAACTAAGCCTCTTCTATATCCTCTCAGCAAGTACAGGCACAAACAAGAACTAGTTGTGACACACATAAGAAATCAACACAAAAATGACTCTGAAACACACAAGAGGAAAAAGAAAAAAAGAATTACCGCTGATGCAGTTCTTCTTCAACTGATTTTAAGAGACTCCTTCAGCATTAAATAAGAATAAGAACATAGTTTAATTGTGGCACACAAACTTAATTATCAAAAGTCAGGGCAAATGTCCCTATGATTCTATCAATAAATAGTTCAAAGCGTGATATTTCAGCTGGCTTTCAGAACTTACATCAAATATCCACACACAAATGAACATGGCTACTTTTAATGATTATGTTTTTACATAACACATTTTCATATGCATTTATTAATGTACTGCTATTAACAACAGTTCCTGCTACTGTAGAATATGGACAGTCTTAAATTGATCCCATTTAAAACAAATCCACACTATCCAAGAAAATCATAATCTTAAAAAAAAAAAAAAATCAGACTCACAAAAGGATTAAACTACTATTGGCATAAATGAATTCTTTCCTAGTTACTTTTATAACATTCTGAACTGTTCATTTCTGTGTCTTTGAAAATGCAGACAGGAAGGAATAGCAGGCAAAACACAGGGATGAAAAACAACGGGATTTTGGGAGATATTAGTATCTGTATTTTCCCCAACTAAAACACTGCATGCAAGCATCATGTTCTATGCTTAGATTTTCTACATTTTTTTAAATATGATTTAATGTAACAAAGCAAAGCTGGGCATCCTAATTCTGACATGCATAAATGTAATTAATAAGTTGGGTTGAAAAGAAAAATTACATGGAAAATTATTTCATATGATTAATAAAGCAAAATTATTAAATGTCTGAACACAAAGTTAAAGGACTTTGCTGAGGGAGGTAAGTTTTATTTTTTAAAGCATCTATAACTGAATGTTCCTAGAGCCCTACAACACAAACAAGAGCACAAAACAATGTCAAAGAGCAACACTGGTAGTTCATAGATGGGGTGAAACTGTACTCTGTGGGACCTACCATGCAGAACATTTTATTAACAAGAAGACCAAGATGAGAAATGGCTCTTAAAGGGAAGCTTACAGCACCAGAGAGACAATATGGTCAACATAGCCTCTAAAGACTAAAAAGTGCTGTAACTCTCTATCATTTGAACTACTATTATTTTAGTTATAAATCCTGATTCTGGAATTTTATCTGATATAAACAAGCTTGACATTTTACTACGCCCATTTCAGCTAATGTATTTAATACATTTGTGATTTTTGTGTTAAAATAGTCTTAAATGAATTAAAGAAAGAAAATTATATTCCTTACTCACTTATTTCCACCCAAGAAGTAGTCACACTGAGGCCCATGACCATATTCTAGCTGTAGATCCTACAAATATGAGAGAATCAATCTTTTAAGATGAACAGCATCAAATATACACCATGTCATGCTGCTGACACCCCCTCTAGCACACCTGAACTACCAAACAAGCTCATTCTTTTGGCGTTCCCATCCCTAACACCACTCTCAGGCCCATCACACTGAAGAATCTGCTCTCTGCCAGTTTGCTGCTTCTCTAATCCCTTTTAAAACTCTGACCTTAGCCCCTTCCTTGGACACACAGATCCTCTGTTCAAAGTCACTTGCAAAAAAGGAAACAAAGAAACTACATAAATAACACAACACCACCGCAGCTAAAGGTTGGGCAGAGAAGAGATTCAGAGCAGCTCTGTGGAGAAGGACCTGGGGGCGCTGGCTGATGAGAAAATGAACACGAGCCGGCTTCAGCGTGTGCTCCCAGACCAGAAAGCCAACCATGTCCTGGGCTGCATCAAAAGGAGCGTGACCAGCAGGTCGAAGGAGGTGATCCTGCCCTTCTACTCTGCTCTCATGAGACTTAACCTGGAGTATTGTGCACAGTTCTGGTGTCCTCAACATAAAAAAGACTTGGAACTGTTGGAACAAGTCCAGCAGAGGGCCACGAGGATGATCAGGGGACTGGAGCACCTCCCGTATGAAGACAGGCTGAGAAAGCTGGAGCTGTTCAGCCTGGAGAAGAGAAGGCTGCGTGGAGTCCTCATAGCAGCCTTCCAGTGTCTGAAGGGGGGCTATAGGGATGCTGGGGATGGACTCTTCATTAGGGACTGTAGTGATAGGACAAGGGGTAATGGGTTAAAACTTAAACAGGGGAAGTTTAGATTGGATATAAGGAAGAAGTTCTTTACTGTTAGGGTGGTGAGGCACTGGAATGGGTTGCCCAGGGAAGTTGTAAATGCTCCATCCCTGGCAGTGTTCAAGGCCAGGCTGGACAGAGCCTTGGGTGAGATGGTTTAGTGTGAGGTGTCCCTGCCCAGGGAAGTTGTGAATGCTCCATCCCTGGTGGTGTTCAAGGCCAGGTTGGACAGAGCCTTGGGTGAGATGGTTTAGTGTGAGGTGTCCCTGCCCATGGCAGGGCGGTTGGAACTTGATGATCTTAAGGTCCTTTCCAACTCTAACTATTCTATGATTCTAACAAAACCACACGAAAAAATTCCACGACAAACCGTGAACCAAACAGAAAGGACTTTGTGATCTACCAGATCCTGTAGAGAACTCTGCCATCCCTCATTGGCACATTGTAGTATTCATTTTAGATGTGGAGTAGTTCTGGAAGGGAGCCTGAAATGCCTTTAGCACATGGGGCCGTTAAACAAATAAGCAGAGAGGACAGTAAAAGTGGTTTTTATAGCTCTAGTTATAGGAGTATGTATTTTAAGGATAATTATATTATGCTCTCATGTATACTTTAGGATCACCTTTTGTATCAAAAATAGAAATGCAGTACCAACAGCAAAGTCAAGCACTCAAGCAATCACAGAGCATGGGCTACTTAAAGAAGTGGCAATTCAACAGACACCATACGGCATACAAATTTAATGCATTAATGGAAATATTGGGACCATACTAAAGTACCCTCAAATCTGCATCTGCCAGAAGGATACCGCTATGATTAAAGAGTATTTTTTTGTTCAGGTGGATCACAAAAGGAAAAATCTGGGCATAAATTTGCTCCCAAAATACTGAGTATATTCACAAGGAGAAATGAATTATTGAGCACCTAACTTAGTGATAATGGAGCAACACTGCTCCTTTCCAGGAAACATTTAAAATGTTTCAACATCTTCTGTTGAAGAGGCCTCTCTCAGCTGCAGCCCGCATCAAAAGTATACTGTGCTTCAGAAAAATGCCCAGATATCCAAGCTATAAGACTAATAATCTTGGGTTAGATGACAGCTACTCATGGAGCCTTTTAAAAGGGCACTTGTTAAAAACAGAGGGAAAGTCTCACACTAGATTTGCCAGTGCCCCAAGCTGACGAAGCAGAAACCACCACAGCTTTCAGTCCCAGACTAAAGGGCAACCACTTTAACACAAAGCCATGTTTATTGTTTTCTGCTCAGCAAGGAGTTCTGGTTGTTTACTGCATCCTCAATTCTGCTCTGTAAAGCTAAGTAGTAGTTTCCACATGGGTGTTTCTACCGCAGCTGTCAGTAGCATTTCATCGCTTCAGTGACTTTCCACATTTTTCCAAGACAAGTGAGATTGTGGAAAAAAACTGTCTGTAACTGATAATTACTTGATGTAAAAGAATACACAGATCAGAGGGTTGAATAAAAATTGCAAAGGCAAACCCCATGCTGGCATTTCCTGAACCATAGAGACTGACTTTTCAATCCTTGTACCAACTCTATTAAACATCTGTCTTCCAGAATAAAACAACCTCCCTTCCCCATCCACTTCTATGGGTCTGACTCACAAGGACCACACGACTTTCCCTCTAGACATCTGTCAGTGGAGCTAGAAAGTCAGGTGACAGAAAAGAACAGCTTGCAAGTGATGTGCTGGTAGGGAAGAAAGCTCACTCCATTCCAGGAACACCTGCAGGGCTCTGAGAGGTAGCAGGTGGCAGGGGTCAGCCGTCAGACATGGATATTTTTGATCCCTCCTGCTATCCTTATCTCCCTTCATCACAGTTCATCCTCCTCCTATGCCCTAAACAAATTCTTTACTCCTGCTCCAAACAAGTCACCTTCCCTCAAGAAGGCCATCTGCAACTTCAGTCTCTATCACCCCCAATATCTGTCACCTTAGGCAGTTAATTCTCTTCTGCAGGTCCTCACCACTACAAAGAAATACAAATTTAACTTTCTTTACTGTAAGTACTTGTATTACTTCTACGCAATCTCAAAAACTTCCACATGTAAGCACAGGTATTTTGAGGATTCAGGCTCTACACCAGAAAACAAGACTGGAATCATAAGATGACATCAGACTCATAAACAAGGAGGTTAAACAGGTTTTGTGTAGGAGGACACCCCAACAAAGACTGGGAGTCTGTTGAGAAAAATTATCCCCCACCAAAATAACTAAATCTGAGATTTTCACCTTGAAATGACAAGGTTTATATGTTCTATATGTTGCAAAATCACATTAATCAAAGTGAGAAATGAAGATCTTACACTGGGTAGAGCCTAAAATGTCTGTATGTTTTCATCTGCACACTGTGCAATGTACATTTATATATACTGTACAACAATGACAAAAAAATAAGAAACCCTTCACAAAACATAAAGAGCCTTCATCTGTCAGACTTTTTATACCTTACTGGGATTTCCTTTATGAAAAATGACATCTGCCAGGATTACTTATCTTTAAATGCTTTAAAAGAACAAAAGCTTTGTTTTGATTCAATTTGCTGCTGTGCTGTGTATTAGCATTTATTTGACTATGATTCTAACTGGATATGATTTTTTTTTGCCTTAAGTAGCTTGTTAGTATTCTTCAAAGTTCTTTAAATACTGCTAGTTTTCACTCCAAATGTGGTGAAGTAATCCATTGCTAGGGAAATTCTTTCTGCTCCAAATATATCCATATAGTTTTATAAATCTTCTAGCTACATATTTGGTACAAAACCCATCACTAAATACTGCATGCATCCTGCAAAGCCTCCAGTGTGCTGTTATACTTTATCAAAACAACCAATAAAACTAGATTTTTTTAAAGCCAAACATAAAGGTATTTTTCAACAAAACAGAAATCTTACCAGTTATGGATTCCCACTGGGAAGAACATATTAACATTAATTACTAATGCAACAACTGGCTTAATAGAAAGCTGTTACCTGACCTGCATACCTAAAGTAACCCAACAACTTTATGAACCTTAAACAGGGGAAGTTTAGATTGGATATAAGGAAGAAATTCTTTACTGTCAGGGTGGTGAGGGACTGCAAAGGGTTGCCCAGGGAGGTTGTGAATGCTCCACCCCTGGCGGTGTTCCAAGGCCAGGTTGGACGAAGCCTTGGGTGAGATGGTTTAATGTGAGGTGTCCCTGCCCCTGGCAGGGGGGTTGGAACTTGATGATCTTAAGGTCCTTTCCAACCCAAACTATTCTATGATTCTAACCTACATTAATATTTAACATACATACAATGCTGATGAGTTAACTAAAACGCTTTAGATGAGACAACATCAACACCGAACAAATCTGAGTGACTAGACAGGTATTTTCCAAGCGAATCAAGATTACATCCAGTCAGAATCAGAAGAGGTCAGTAAATCTTGGTTTTAAATCGAAGATGCAACCCAAATCATTCACTTTCAGCCTAAGGTTATCAATGACCTACTCCTGAACCAGCATAAGTATGTACGAGACAGTGCTATTTGCTGGCAATGATCACTTTGGAAAAAAGGTAATACAGAGAATAATTACCAGTTCTTCTCAACAACATGGGTAACATTAAATGAAGAACTTGTGTAGAAAGGCAAATCACACCTTCAGATAAACCATAAGTGCAAAGCAATCAATACTAAAAACAGCATAAAGATTTTCTCAAAGGCAGATATGGTGGCAAGGCCATGCCATGAAACAAATTCCCCAGGAATGATCAAATCGACAGCACCTTCTGCAGTGTAGGTTTCAAATACTGCTTTTTCTGCAGAATTTTATGATGAATTGTTACTGTACTTTTGACAGTCTTATGCTCCTAATTTGCTCGGTAGGGCTGAGCTCTACTCAAAAGTCTATTTTTAGGTATTAAAAAAAAACAAAAAAAAAACAACAATCCAAAGCTGAATGTATACAGTGATCCAGCAATTCACAGCTACTTCCCAGATTTGCTGTTCCCGAAATCTTGTGAGAAACAAGATCATTGAAGTGACAAAATTAAGACTTTAAAACCAGAAACTGCTGAGGAAGTAACTCTGAATTTCAGAAAATATAAATCACCTTCAGACTACTAACATATCAAACAAGAAGGCACATACACATCTCTATTCCTCCATAAAATGATTGAAGCATTCCTAACAGACTGCTTCATAAAAGAGGATGTAATATTAGGCTCTTTTTAAAATTAACCTAATGCATATGTCATACTTTTAATGTCTTTATTTCAATTAAAAGTGCATTCTTGAGTTTCTTTGGATAGCCTGACACATCAGAAATAGCAAGTTACATGTTTATATTTTTAAATATAGTATTTGCTAAATATATAATTCTTCCCTAATGACTGACAGGTTTTACTGTATGTTACTGCTACATAACCACTGTTCCCCTCTTCCTTTCAGGTTTGGTCTGGGTTTTTTTTTTCCCCCTCAAGTTTACCATTATATCAATTCTCTATGCATTTTGTCTATTAATGTCTACTCGGCACAAACAGCACTATTTCATACCCATATACTGGAACACTATATAACTAGATATGGTAAGGCCTCAATGCAATAGGCATCTGTATACAACATTTGTAAACTGCCTCCTAGCAATAAAATTGAACATCTCATTTTCTCAATTACTTTTAAAAGGCAGAAAATTCCCAAAACATACAGGGAATGAAAATATGAGCAAAACCCATATCCCAACCCTTAAGTACTCTTCCCCCATTTCCAATTATTTTCTTCTGATCATAAGAACCATGCACCACTTTACCTAAATGTGAATAAAGTATGAAGATTCTCTCTGAATTTCAGTGTTGACGGCTAACTTAACTCTAGAAATATACTGCAACTAAGTAGGACAGGAGTCTTCATGGCTTGTAACAAAGGAACAAAATACGTATGCATGTGTGGTGAGAAGAAAAATTACTTAAACCAAAGAAAAATGCTACTGGGCAAAGTACTCTATCATCTATGTCAGTCTCTAATCTTTTCCTACCAATGTTTTAGTTCTTCTGCCACAAGTAGTTCATTAACACAGGATAGCTACGCTGAAACATTTTTGCATTCCTAAAACTAATTGTTATCAAAAACTATTACACATTATTAAACCCAGAACATATTTATAACCCAAAACAAAAAACAACCATAACTAAATTATCTAAATAGGACCAAATGTATAAGTACATCTGACAAACACAACAGTGTAGATTGCATAATAACTGCAAACCTCATACTGAATCCTTTACTAAAATGAATGCTAAATTCATAACTGAACAGAACTGTAGGTCAACCTGAGACATCAAATCCAAGTTCTGTTCAACTCCTCTGTCACTTTCCAAAATTGCAAAATTCAACACTTTTCACAGTGTGCTGAACACACCAAGCTAAATTAAATAAAATCCAATGCACAAAGATTTAATTTTTCCTCTCCTACAAGTTAAAAAGTCACTGGCTATAGTGTTAAAAATCAGTGAGCATGATGCAGGCTAGAACCAGGTGTAATGCATCCAAGGTGCTGAGGTAGCTGGCAAACATTATCATGATACCACTCTAACATCCGAAAAGAAAAAAGCAGCCTGCCAGCCGGAGGAACCTCAACAAGCTGAAGGAGTAGGCAACACAACCCCATAAAGTTTAAACACAGCCAAGTGAAAAGTCCTGTGTCTAGGACAGACCAACCACATATACAAGAGAAAGTCTGTTTAGTATTGTCCTGGTCCACAACAGAAGAATGAATGAACTACTAAATGTTTCTTCTAATTTCCAGACGGATTAGATTTTACTGGAAGAATCTCACAGTGAAGCATTAGCACCAAGTTAGAATTATCTTCTTTGATTCACAATGAGCACTTGTAGTTGTGAAGAAAGCACTGAAACACAGAAAGTGCTGTAGGTTGGCTTTAAAAACGCGCTCATGATTGTGTACAGTACAAGCTTTATCAAAGTAATAATTTTTCAAGAGTGTACCGAACAGAAGAATGCATAAGGCAAAAGAGTGCACACAAAAGAGTGTACTGGGGCAAAAGAAAGATGGAAAAGGACAATGCAGTTAGGAGGCATGTTCACATTTATCTCTTGGACCCACAGATACTAGGCTAGCAAGATTATGTGACAACATGGAATGTAACCTGAAAAAGACAAATTATAAGAAGTGTTAAACTCAGAAGAAACCAAAAGCAAACCAAACTGAATAACCATAACCACACTCCCAAAGCCAGAGCAATTGCACAGGATGGAGGTGATCCCATTGCATACAGACAAATCTAAGCTACGGAACTCAAAACAATTTGTGAAACATTTTTATAATCGAGCAATACAGGAAAATCCTTTCAAGAATGGGGAAGACAATGTAAGCTCTCAGTAACTATGGTATTGGCAGATTCAACTCACACCAAGCCAAATGATGCCAAACCAAACAAAAACTCCATAACAAATCACAAACAAAAGACATTCCCCAAACAAACCAGTTTTTCATTTTCCCCTAAGTAAACTTGTATTACGTCTCAAAAATCAAAGTAAGCTTGCAGAATAATGCCCGTGATCTCGTACAGAATGTTTCTTTCTTTTCCCAACAGCAGACGAAGATGTTCAAGATTTAAAAGCATTACTTTTCTAACTACACCATGCCTAAAGAGCAGAGAAATAAGAAGACTCACTTTCTAGAATAATTTCTATACCGCAATGATAACAACCAAATGTTTTAGCAGTGCAGTAAGAGAAAATTTGGGAAGTGTATCAGACTACAAATGATGCCAAATGCCATTGAACACACTTAAGACTCCACTTTTATTTATACTAAGTGTATATTCCTTCTGTAATATAATTACCACCTGGAGAAATTGGATACATTTATATAATTTTATAGTCTTTCATGAGACTATTTAAAGGAATTACCAGACAATATGAGAATGTTTCTTCTATTTTTAATCACCCTCCAAAAAATTAACAAGTTATGCATTGTAAGGCAGTTAAACAAAGAAATTAGCATGACTGCATAATACTCAACTCCTTCTATAAGTGGTTCAGCTAAACATAAATACAGGTTAAGAACTTTCAATATTACACATACTAAAAATTCCTTCCCACATTACAGAAACATATATATATATATACACTAATCCTTACACTGAATGGCTTTTACACAGATGAAAACACCAATACAACAACACAACAAAACATGAGCTTTGGAAAAGGAAAACAGAGACAAAACTAACACTGACAAAGTAAGTCATAAATTGAAAAATACCAGGTTAGATCTTGCAGTGTAGTATACTTCTTCTGAATTGTCGAAAAAATCGCTACTGTCAGGCTGTTTGTTAGATAGAGATCAAGAAACTCAAGTTATTTATATTGTGACTGAAAGCCATGTATACATAAAGGGAAATTTTCTTGCTAAAAAGCTACTAGTTGAAACTCAAATCATGTTTAAGATAGTTGTGCAAATGAGGGCAAAACACAGCTACAAGTGTGGGCACACTACCAAACATTAACAAATCACACCAAAACAATGAATTACTGGTCATCACCTGAGCTGTGGTAATGAGTGAGAAGCTGCCTCAGTAAAAGGCAAGCATGTACCAGTTCAACATTTCAGTGAACCACCAACAGTAACTCATCATGCTGCAGCGCTTTGGTCCTTTGGTTTTGCATTCATACCCACAAGTAAATAAGCATAAAGTTTAAGCATGCTTTAGTGAGACTAAAGGAAAAGGGTCAGACCTGCTTTAATGAAAAGGGATCCGCACTGTTATTGCTGGAGGAAGAGAAGTGCATCTCTTGTTCCTGCCACCATTTAAAAGACTTTCTCTCCCAAAGCATGTAAGTGTTACAAGCTCTCCCTCAGCCCACTTCGTACTAAGGCTCTTTGCTAGACCATCCATTCTAAACAGATCTCGTTTGCATTTGACATGGGAATTTAAATTGCCCACTGGCTCTCTATTTAATGACAACATATGTTTTTTCTCTTTGCTCTACAGACCCAATATTATCATTTTCAAAATCGAAGTTCAGTTTTATCTGGAAAGGACATATCAGGTCTGCATGCTTCATTCTAATGAGTAGTGGAGCAGCTAATTTCCCTCTTCAACAAGACTCAAACAAGCAGTTATAGATCTTCCTTATAGGCAGAGATATGAGGCAAGTTCTTTGGACAGCTTTCAAGTATGCAAACTGACGAGGATGCACAATACTAAAAGACTTCCTTTTTAGCTGCATTAATCTGGACCATTCAAGAGCTTCCGAGATTCCAAAGTGCAAAGGTTCTGATTACTAATGCACAAGGTAGGAAAAGGCTCCATTCCTCCCTTCTGACAACACCTGCCAGAGAAGTGCTCTCAAAATTTGTACAAAAATCTCTCCCAAGTTCAGCAACTCAGCTTCCTAAAGTGCAATGAAAACACTGCTCTGCCCCATGAAATTGCCCCTAAATGGTTTGTATAGTCAGTGACTGATAAAACAGGAAAGGAAAAAGTATTTTTAAAACTTTAGCTTCTCTGTTACCATCTTCTTGCAATTGTGATTATGTGTAAGTATAAATAAATAAAATTCTTAAGGAGCAAAAGCATTATCATTTGAACTATACAATGCTACGGTAGTACCCGCTTCATAATCCAAACAATGCAACAGGGAAGCAAAGCCAAGATAACTTGGAATCAGATCAAAAAACATTTTGAATTAATTGATGGGTTTATGGTAAAAATACTGACTTCATTACCATATTTAATAAACACTTGTATAACCGGGGCTCACAAATGTTGTTACGCAGTTTTGTCAAGGTCTAAATTACATATCTGAAATAATTTCCTAAGTCCTACATGTGATTTGGTAAGCTATTCTTCTCCATCCCAAACAGGTACCAGAAACTGCAGACTGTCTGTCCAGTCAGCTGGTTGTGGAGGCAGAGCAAGATTATATACAACCTCATATACCAGAGCCAGCTGACCTGCTACCAAAGGACTAGGCATGGGGAATGAGATTTTTGTACAACTACAGATCAATACAAGGAAATCTGTGTCAGAAGTCCCACGTAGTTTGTAGACCATAAAAGAGGAAGTACATTCCTAGGTACACACCCTTCCCAAAACCAACTCTGAGCAAAGACAATGCCCCTCCCACCTATGTACTAAGCCAACTTAACACCTGCCTTAGGAAAAAAAAAACAACACAGAAGTCTGAAGGAAGCGAGCAAAGGAGTGTCCTTTTTATCCAGGAACATGAAGAAGCTGCCCATGTGCACAAATGTGAAAAGCAACAGACACCATTCAGAAGTGGAAGCTTTCTGTGTGTGAGACAACACAGACACCTTTTCTCTCTCTGATTGAGTTCTCATACCCCTTGTACTGATGGGTGCATAGGATGGAAACATCGGCAATACACCAAAACAGAATACAGCAACTGCCAAGCTCAGCATGGCTCAAGGTGTGATGTAGGGCCACAAAAAGGTTGTTTGTGTGGGGAAAATAAGAATTCCACCAAAATCCATTTTTTTAAAATAGCACTGCACGTATCTTTCCCAGGCCCTCAATTTTATTATTTCCATTATCAATCATTGTCAATATATGCATAAGGAAGAGAAACATTTAAGTATGCACAGCAATTCTACAATTAAAGTAACTCCATAAATAGAGGGAATAATATACTTGACAATGAGGTATAAAGCATAGAGGAAATCCACAAGACAAGGGGCTGTTGCTTATCACATAAATCAAACCTGTCAGTACCCACAAATAAGGGGTCTTGCTGCATATAGTGTAATGGCATCAAAAAATTTAAGACCCATATGTTATGACATTGCTACCAATCTTAGTAGCACTAAGGAAGTATGCTACATAGCTTTGAGTTCTCCTCCACATATATTTGCAGGAAATAATGTGCAGAGTATAGCCCATGTTTCTTGTTACTCACAAATTCATGATGTGGCTCTGTCTCTTTCCTCAAGGGTGGATCAAATTTTACTTGACCAACTAAAGAGGAGAAAACAAGAATTTCAGCTGGACTGTAATTAGGCAAAACCTACTCATTAGAAGGATCAGGAAAACCATTCAGCGAACAGAGCAGTGAAGTGCCCACTTTAGAGGAGCAGTACAGCTAAATTATAGGAAAAAAAAAAAAAACACAACAAACCCCATCCACTGTGTGAATTCACTCCCAGGTGTCTTCTTCTGGGAGATTCACCCAGAAGCTCCAGGAGTGAATTCCCAGTGCTTCTGGGTGAATATCCAAGCACTAAAGAGACTTGAATGAAGTTTGGAGAGAGCTAATCACATCTTGTAGGACAGTTCTTTAACACTCTTCCTCTAAACTTTAGCTTAAGAAAAGATAACTAAAGCTCCAAATATTAAATAAATCAAGTATTACTTTGATGTAATTCACGCAAAAGAATGAACACAATTTGGGGAGTGAAGTCTGCCCTTAACAGCCAGTGATAACGTCCTCCCTTCCTGATTTCTACATGCCTGTTTCTATCCGAAAAGCAAAAACTACAACAAAATATTAAATGAAGGAAATAAAACCTCCTCTGCCATTCTGTTATTCAGCAGTATCTGGCATCACTCTGAAAAGCCTTGCTGGAGCGGCATATGAAGCTACACCAATCATCAGAACTCAGGCTGCATCCTTTCAATTAAGATGAAGCAACAGTGAGACTTGCTGAAGTGCTGATAAAGAATGTGCTCAAACATTATACACTAAGATTTCCTCTGCATAGTATTTAGAACCTATATCTGCAAGCAAAACAGCGTATGGTTTTGTTTTCTTATGTATTGCTAAAAATGTTCCTGTATGTGTCAGATACCTAGAATACAACTGAAATAAGTGAATATTAAGGATTATCTTTAAAGGATTTAATGTTGTCAAGTACACTTACAGTTTATTTCAGAGCGTGTCTTCTCTTCTCTCACATTTCTACTTGTTGAGTGAATTCTATGAGGCACTACAAGAGGCTAGAAGAGAAAAATAAAACACTTCAATACCAAAACACACCCACTTGAAACTCAGTATTGTGTACCTTGTGTACAAGCTTTCTTTAGCACAGTATCAGAAAAAGAAAGAAAGAAATCAAGCAGGACCAAAACAAAAACAAAACAAAAAAAAAAAGATTTCATGTGTGTATTTGCACCCTAAAATTATAATTATTTGGAGACAATTTATCTGCAGAGTAACTTCAAGCTTCAAGATAAGGGTTTTTCAAACACTGGATTTGAGTAAATAAAGACAATGTTGGCCAGCACTGGTCTTTGCTCAGATGTTTCCTTTTTGCCCCATTCACTTTAAGGATATTGGTAGTGTCCAAAATAAGCACTAAGACTAAATCTGACTTACTGGGAGTGTTTCATTCATTCAGATATCCCAATCATTTTCCCAGCTTCTAACCTAAACTGATTCCTAAGAAGTCACTATCCTGAGGTTTTCAGAGCTGAATAGAAGGGAGCATTCCTGGTACTCCTCTGCTGTGTGACAAGAGCAATGCCAGCATTTCTACAAATTCACCTTCATATTTATGTTCCACTTCTATTTTTTTCCCCCTGGATTTCCATTTACTTCTCTACAGAATGAAGTGTCATGAACTTTAAGACTTGGCTTTCATTTCTTTGCCCCTGCTGAATTTTCTCTTCTTTCCACATCCACTACTGCAGGTTCTCTTAGTAACTGTAACTTAAGGTTTCTTAATGAGAGTACAAGACCATCTGAATTCTGTATATAATCAGGCTCAAAAATTAGCAATATAAATCATAACTGTGCTTTTTCAGTAAGTCCTCTACAATGAAATCTTACTCTTTAGAAAAAAGTTCATTCTCCATGATGTTAGACCAAGTAATGTCTGAAAACCACATTTGCTATGCTTGTGTTGAGTATGTGGCAGCAAAAGAACTTTTAATTAAAGCAATCTGACATAATAGTGTCATAAATTTGCTGTGCTGGTATGTTAGCTTTGCTTTTATATATACTAACTGTAATCTCCACATGGCAAATTCTGACTACGAAGTGATGACAGAGTTGGAGAACTTCAACTGCTGTATTATCACAAAGAGCCACACATAGCTTAGGAACTCTGTTTATCCCTGAAATATTATCTGAAAGCATTATTTCCCTTCTCCCCTTTCTTCACACACTACTTCCTTGCTTTATATTATGTTCCAACACACATTTACAGAGTGTTTCACCTCCCATTTGTTTACTTTGGTCTTATTTGAAACTAGAGAGACAGACTGTGGGTATGTATTTTCTCTCCATGGATTTATGTATATCAAGGGCAGTTTTTAATTTCTTGTAACTTATGGCAATCCTCCCCTTCCTCAGTTCTGGTCTGTCTGCTGTATGTTCTTTTAAGCTTTAAAAATGGTTTGCTATAGCTCTTGATGCATGTCAAGGTTTGATCTGTTTTCTACTTCAGTATTTCAAATACTCTTAAAAGATGTAATCTTTTGTTAAGAGGCACTGCACACTTGCACATGATGCTTGTGCATCTGTAATGCCAGCACCAGGAGCCCAACTGCAGTAGGGGTAGTGGGCATTTCTGCCTTAGCAGCAATATCATGAGAGCTCCTTGCATCCTGCTACAGATGTTTCTATTACACAATAGGCAGAGCCTGCTCTCTCACCACCCTCTCCTTGTTCACAGAATTACTGGAAGGAGTCACATCTTTCAGTCATGAGAACAGAGTCCTCAAGTCACCTTGAAAGGCCTACACTGACAACAAACTGATACAAACAGCTGACATCTGAACTGTGCAAGAGCACAAAGGAATGTAGGATAACTTCCTGACATTAAAACTGTGCCCAAATGGCATATTTATCACGATACATATCTCAGGAGCATCTTATCTCCAAAACATGCTAAGGATAAAACATGCGCATTTTACTTTTTGCAAGCTTTTCTGCTATCACACCCATCATGAGAGTCACTGTCACAGAAATGTGAACAGTCAGTTCTCAACATCCAAAGGTTTATTATTAAGGGAGTGAAAGCAGAGTCCCAGATGGATATCCTGTGTTTGACTAAATGGAAAACCAAATGAAGTCCTCCATGAGTTGGGGTAGAGAAAAATATTCAAAATGTCAATTACAGATACTGCTACCAAATGAACAATGACTGTATCTATAAGAGACCTTTCTGATGACACCCAAATAATCTGATCACATGTTTTAGTTTTGTTATTAAACAATCCACATTTTTCCAAGTTTATTTAAACATTTAGTGTGGCAATCCTCAAACAGTTGGCAAATTCACATCTTAATTTTTGCCTCACCCACATGACTGCAGACTATCCAAGCAGTAACAGACAGCATCCCCTAAAAACAGGTAAAGGACTGTCACCACAGTGGACAATAGACTTGCCTTCAAAGACCACCAATAGCCAGAAAACCTGTACAGCCTCTAAAAAACCCCCCCAGAACCGACCAACCCACCATCCCAAATAACCAAAACTCCAAACTGGGAAGCATGTGTGAAGCTTAAGATTCTCACTGTACTGTCTGTACCATGTTATGCTGTACTATGATTTATTGCTTTCAATTTTTGATAAACGCATCCAGGTGATTGCCACAAGAACAAGGAGTGGTCAATCCTCAAGTTCAGATTAATGGCTCCAGCTACCTCTCTAATTGAAGCAAGCATGTATGTATATATATATACACACATACATATACACACACATATATATAAAAAAAAATGGAGCATCCACACTTCTTATTCCTTCCCTTCAGTTTATTATAGGAGACAACACAATGTCAAAAACTGCTCTACCTGTGGCAGGATTCTTCCTCTGAAATTCAGACCTTGCTCAAGACACATAAAATAATTCATTATCACCTGCTTTATTCAGAGGTGGGTTCTAGACTTGCTTATTACAAATAAAATGCTTTCTCAAGTGTCATTAGCAATCTTGTTTTTCAGGTGGATTAAATGCCTTAATGAAAATCTGGCAACATGGTTGAGGAGAAATGAGAAGAGACACCTAAATTGCCTAGCCAGTGAAAATGACCCATCATCACAGTTAACTATGATGGAAGCTCACTGGTGAGCTCACAGATGTGTGATGAACAATGATGGAGTACCATTATGCCTAGTACAGAAGCTTGCAAACACAGCAAGAAAACCCTCAGCAACATAAAGAACAAATGAACTGAAAAACACTTATCAAAAGACATGCAAGTAGCTTGCTTGTCCTCTGCACTTAGCCAGTCTAGCTCACTGATAAATGACAGAAATATGCATTCTCTGATCACTGCTACAGGGTTGTTTTCATTTTCTCCCCAGAAATAACATGTCAATAAAATGGGTACTGAAATGAAGGGTACATACAGGAAGGAAAAGAGATTCTCCACCTCAGTGGCTCAAAATAAAGATCAAGATTCTAACTGGAAAGATCTATCAGTGACACGGGGGAACGGCACATTAGGGTTTCAGTACAATTTCCAGGAAAGCACAGAAGACTCTGATCTGAGCAGCTCGCTCACAGGAAACACACTGAAAGCAGCTACCCTTCTTCTTACAACAGCTCATGAAAGCTTTGGTTTTCTGGTTTCTACAGAAATATCACTTTAACAGGTCCCAGAGCTTTCAATCACACCGAAGAGAGAATTGAAGGACACCTAATCCTTGGAGTTTACGATGAGAAAATCCAAGCTCTCCAGTGCTGTCGGGATTCAGACACCTTTCTCTTAACACTGACATAAAAATCAACCACATTAAGTGTTTTCTTGTGCGTTTAACTTCCCTAAATATTTCAACAGAAAAATTTATGAAGTGTGTTCCACTATGTGCAATTGCTTTTAAAATCCTTATTCATCAATCATTACTCATGCATCCAATCCTTATGCCTTCCTCTCCCTTCCTCCCATTCAGGAAGTACGTAAGCATTGCACTCTACAATACAAAAGAGATCTATTTCACTTGTGCTTCTTTCTACATTTACTTACTTCAGCTTCTAAGGAAAATACACTTGATCACAAAATCATACAATGGTTTGGGCTGGAAAGGACCTTAAAGCTCATCCAGTTCCAATCCCCTGCCATGGGCAGGGACACCTTCCACTAGACCAGGTTGCTGCAAGCCCCATCCAACCTGGCCTTGAACACTGCCAGGGATGGGGCAGCCACAGCTTCTCTGGGCAACCTGTGCCAGGGCCTCACCACCCTCATTTCAACGCCTTTCAAAGGCGTTGATTCATGTCAACTTCTCACTGCTCTTTGAAAGGATATAAGCTCATTTAGCTTGTAAAATCTTAAATTATCTCACAGTAGCTGCTTCTTTAAAGCTTCTTTTCGCTTGAAGGCATTTTTAGACTAGTTTATCCATATGAAAAGTAAAACACAAGTATGCAATTAATGAATCCATGCCATTTGTGTCAAAAGGATTATTTTTTTACCCCCAAAAGACATTATCAGTTAGGGAACTGTAAACATTTGGAAAGACTTCATTAACATATGCTTCAGTATGAAGACAGGATGCAGTAACAGAGTATCTATCTGTCTTCTCTTATTTATGAAACAGTTCAGTCCTGCACTGTTTATCATCTTACATAAGCATGCTATTTTTTTCTTGGCTGTTAAAGCAGAAAATCAGAAACTCTTCCTTTAACACCACCAAGAGAAATCAAGTTTCAGATTATCCCAAGATGGAAAAGAATCTGCAAGAAGCACACAGCAAGCCATTTTACAAGAATAACTACAGGATCATTATCCTCATAAGAAAGTAAATTAGGACTAAAAGAACAAGTTTTACAAAAGTAAAAATTATTTTTACAAATGCTTTCTTTGCAGATGAAAAACAATTTGCAGATGGAAACAGTTCCACAAAGAAACAGAAAACAGAATGCATGACAGAACCCAGGACTGGACTAGTCCTTCGTATTTACTGTTGCAAAATTGCGAAGGACACCAGTAAACAACATTTAAAGTGTTTACGTCTCTTTCTCTTTGAGCTTCTCTCCCCACATTTAATGAATTTTGGTAAATGCTTCTACACGCAACACAGCAGCACAACCAAAAGTAAAAGCAACCCTTGAGACTATTCCAGATCACGCAACATTCTGTGGCTCAATGTATCATAATAATTTACTTTTATCAAAACCTAATTCTATGATTCTATGAATCTGATTTAATGATTAAACATATTCATACCTCAGGATCATCATCATCAAAATCATGGTAAGTGGAATGATCAGGATTATTCATTTTATCCAAAAGTTCAATAGCAAGACTCCGATTTAATGGCTGGGTAACAAAAGGATGCTGAAAGACAAAAACACATTAAAATTACAACCACTGTTATTAAGCATATTGTAAATTTGTAACTTAAAAAAAAAAAATCTCACTAATAAATTTATACCTGTAGTAACTTTTCAGCTGTAGGTCTTTTTTTAGGATTTTTTGTAAGTGCCATTTTCACAAAATGATGGAAACTATTGGACCTGTAAAATGAAGTGGCAAGCATTAGAACCAGATACCAAGTGAAATAAATGAACATTATCTACTGAAACAGAAGAGTACTTACCATTTCATTTTGTCCTTTAATTTAGGAGGCTGGAAGTTGCTTTTTGTCATTAGAAAAAGTGCCCTGGAAAAAAAAAAACAAACAACAACCCAACCCTATTTCTGTGGTTTACATTTCAATACATATAAGATGAATTATTAAATACATTCTTTAGCTGGCAGGAAGAAGTCCCTCACTTTAAAAGATGCTACCAACATTACACATTTATGCACCAGGAAGACTTATTACCAGTTGCACCATGTACATTCAGAATGCTTAATGCCCTTGCAGTATGCACAAACACCACAAGCACACACAGTGGCTACTCCAAGTGGATTAGTTACAAAGATGTATTTACACACCAACCCCTTACTAACCTCATTGGATGCAGGTCAAACATTGGAGGTTGAAGTTCAGCAAGCTCTATAGCAGTTATTCCAACTGCCCACAGATCACAGAGCTGGTTATAGCCACCTTTTCTTTCTACTGCTGCTACTTCTGGTGCCATCCTAAAGGGTAAGACACATTTTTAGGTAAACTTCTTGCTACAAATAAAACATCCTTCTGTACACAATAAAAAAGTCATTCAGTACTGTAAGCAGTTTACTACTCTTTCCCCTTAAAGCTCTCCATCTATAAGCTCACAGCATATACATTTATACATCAGATATACATGTGTGTATGTGTGTGTGTAAAAAGTTACGTATACATGAAGTTTTCCTCTATCATCTTCTAGTAACTAATGGGCAGTTTCCAAAACAGCTATTTAGCAGTAAGCTGATGAAACCAGTTTCAGCCTTCATTGCAGGCACACAACAAACTACCACTCAAGCACCAATGAACCTTAAGTATAATTATTCAATTACAATAGAACCCAAATAATATCCAAATTCACACCTTGCCCCAGGAAGTGATCAACTGACTTTGAAGAATTCTAACAAAGAAACAAAATTAACAAAATGTCAGTTTTTCTGAAAGCATGAGACCTGAAGACTCATTGGCACCTCTGCACAGAGCACTTGTTTTTAAGGTCTGCCTCAATGTCACAAGACTTCATTTAAATTAAAGTAGTTTCACAGCCTCAGGTAGCAAAAATTAACAAACATAACTGACACAAACAGAAACACCTAAGAAAATTATTCACTGGGCATTGTTACATATTTTGAATGACCAAAGTGAGTTACGAATTTAATTCTCCTACATTGCCATATGAGACAGCAAACATGTTAATATTTTTTAGATTTGAACTTTATTAGTCCAGATCACCTGAAAAGCAGCAGTGGAACTTGGGATGTAACTCAATACAGTAAGACAGATGCATGTCACTTAATGAGTGCTCCAGAAAAGCAGCGAATGACATCTCAAATCATATAATCATTTAGGTTGGAGAAGGCCTTTAAAATCATCAAGTCCAACAGTAGACCTAACACTGCCAAGTCCACCACTAAACTATGTCAGTATCTGTATATCTTTTAAATACCTCCAGGGATGGTGACTCAACCACTTCCCTGGGCAGCCTGTTCCAGTGTCTGACTACCCTTTCACTGAAGAAATTTCTTCTAACATGATGCATTAGTTAAACACAGACATCCTTATCTGTAGATCTTATCTGCAGATCAGGTTTGGTGGTACAACTTATTTCATGTTTCCATAGTTAAACTAAAATTACTAAGTGTCTTCGAGAGTTCACAGAAAAACTCTAAATCAAAAAGGGAACAGTTACCAAGGTAGAGGGAAAAAAGGGTTAACTTTAAAAAGACATGGAAAGGAACACAAGCGTAAATAGCACGGTTACTACAACTAAAAGACAGTTTTGACCTTCACTTCTCCCCCATCCAAGAACCAAAGCCTTACCTGCCTGGACACCTCTAATGATCACTAAAACTTTCACACTGCCTGTTTCCAACTAAATTTTCTCCTCTGCGATTTCAACAGTTTTCCTTCCTTGCTTCTCCTCTCAAATCTCTGAGAAGACATGCAAACTAAAACTGATGCTTTTCATCAGCGTTTAACCTATGTAATGTCTTCAAGGTTATTGTTCAGGGTTATGGCACATCATTTGAGAAGCCTGGCAGGATTCTGTGATTTGGAAGTTAAACAGCAATACAGGCCAGGACTAAAGTCACCCAGACATCTTAAGAAACAGAGACACAAACCAGTTACACAATCATGACTTATTGGTGTTTGCATTATTCTGAAGGGGAAGTGAATCCATGCCTTAGCATTACTTACACTGCAGAAGAATGCTAAAAATGCTGTGCTTGACCATTTCAAGACCAAATACTTGAAGGAGGGGGAATGTCTTACATGCATTTTTATCTTGTACCTACCATACTGTCAGACAAGAGGATTTTGAATATCATTCTGGGAAACATACCACAAAAGCACTATTTTATAGTGAAGAATGTTGCGTCATTTACCTCAAGGGAACAACCACTTCCAGTATAAAGAGGAGAAAATAAAATGCTGAACTTCAGAAAGGAAATTAGACAAACTAGTTTACTGAGGAAAGAACAAAGATGCAATACAAATAGACTAGAAATGTACATTTTAATTCAATCATTTTAGGCAAATAAGGAGGAGGGGACAGGGGTAAGAAAACTGCTCAGAGGAAACATTTCACAAGTGGCCTAAAGAATACGTGGGGACAAAAAATGAAACTCGGTATCAACTGAAGAGTTGCAGAAAAGATGTAGCTATGGTGTAAGGGATGAAACACAAAACACCAAAATGGAAAAAACAGGAAAGAAAAAGAAAACAATTTAAGATCAGAGTTAAAACCAAGTAAAATTGTTTATAGTTTTTAAGTTGGATGAAACTGAGATACATTAGTCAAGTGATGGCAACACAGACATCCAGTTTTTCACAGCATTAGAACATTTTCTCTGATACTCAGCTAATTCAGGATTTAGCGTAACACAGATACAACCACTAGAAAGACAGATGCAGCCTTTAGTGATTAGTCTACCCAGAAAGCAACATAGCATGCTTTTATTGCAATTTTTCAACATTACTATGCTATGATTATATTAATGGCCAAGTAAAACACAGTTACCAATATGGGGTGCCAATGAATGATTTCCTTTTGGCAATTGTAGCTGTTATCTGTGCAGATACTCCAAAATCAGCTATTCAGAAAACAAAAACAAAACCAAAATGACAGTTAATAACTACTGTGTAGCTCATTAATTGTTAATGAACATAAATTTGGTTTCCCCACTGTGAGTTTCTTAAACATACTGGAAATATTTAACAAAAAATAAATAACAAAAGCAAATAATGGAAACCTGGTCTATCTCAGATACCATCAGTCAGCTCCTCTCAGTCACCTGCCAAGTATGCAGGCTGCACACAAACATGCCCCTCATCAACAGAGGAAGGATCTAGAAGGATCAGGCTTAAACAGAAGTCTTAGGAGTTACATGCAGTGTTTTAATATGATAATTTATTATTTTATTTATTATCCAAAAGATTCTTTCAGATAACCTTTCAAAGTACATTTCGATAAAAATTTCTAATTAAAGACTTTTAAAAACCTGTGATTTGATTTTTACCTGCCTTATACATTAGAAAGTGTTTTACCTCAGTGTTGTAAAACTACTCCAATTACTCCTCAGATACTAACTGGACGGCACAGTTGTTACCAGCAAGAGAAAAAGAATTCTGATGTCCACTAATTCTTTACATGAACCACTACACCATTAAACAAAATACAGGAGACTGCTTCTTTGAGCACATAAAAATCTGTTATAAACACTAAATTGCATTAACTCACCTAATTTTACATGTCCATTATCCGTTAAAAGGATGTTTGCTCCCTTAAAAGAAAAGAGTAAGCACACGTGAATTAAAACATGCAGATTTCTCGGATACTGTATTAAAAAATAATTATGTGAGATCTTGGCCAAAGACAAACAAAGGAACACATGTTCCAGAAAACTGCAGCTTTACCAAGGAAACAGTTGTGAAATTAGCAAGTTGCCATTCTGCCATATAAAGAAAATGGGATATATAGGGTTTCTCATTCATTTTTAGCTTGTACTCTTTAGCCTATGGTACTACGCAGTATCTGTTGCACACAAAACCCCTTTCAAAAAGCAGAATATGATTATTCGCCTATGCGGATGAATTCTTACTTTCTTCTATTTACAGTGACTGAAAGGAAATAGGAACTGTAAAGGTCAAAGAGGAAGTGATTTTCTTTTCATATGTAGGAGCTGGTTTTGTCTTGTTTGAGAGCCATGGTAATTATAACTATAGCCTTAAGGACCTGCCTTGATATTCAAGTGTTTAGAAAAACTACTTCCGTTCTTATGCAGCAGATTGTTAGTGCTAGATTTGAAGAATTAGCTGCTGTGTATGCACCTCTCACTTCAGCTCAATAATCAAAACTAACCCAAAGAGGTAATTGGTACTAAAATGTCATGACATAAAAGGACTGAGAGCAAACCTGATTTCAAGACTGAAACCAAGTACAGGTTGAGCAGAGTGAAGGCAGGAGCTGGCTCCTAATGACAGCTCCGCCCCATAAATTAGATAGAAGGGCAGCATAGATGGGCCTCCAAAAACTCAGATTTTTACAGATTATGGCTTTTCAGGGAGAAGTCTGGCCTGCAGTAAAATGCACCTTATTTTGGCAAATGTTGCACAAGTATAGTTAATGAGCCTTATAAACAGAGCTTTGTAAACACTGACAGTCCGGTTAGCATGCTCTTGACCTTTTTCACCTTTCAAAACTAACAGAACGCATACTCTAAATACATAACTTAGCTACAGAGGAAAGCAAACATAATTCAACAGTCAGGCGATCTCCAGATGAAGATTGTATTTTCCCACACTAATGAGAAATGCCTTTTTTTAAATATAAAAAAATTCTCAATGTAACCACTGTAAGCATGTTTTATCATCAGTTTATAGACTAGTATCTATGCACTGTATTCTTACAAGCACCATCTTGCATGCTATAAAGTAATGTTCAATTTTTGTGCCAAAGTAATCTTTCATTCAGAAATGATTTTTTGTGATTGCTCAAACCCCTAGATGACCTTCTGCAGTCAACGAGAACAACTTGGAATCAGGCTGCATTAAAGGCTTCTGCAGTTGGAGCTACTATGTACACCGCATCCCCAGTCTGAAAACAAAGCAAACAAAACCACCCCCCCACCCCCCCCCCAAGAATATGATAATTTACTGTTAGATTTCCAGGAAAAAGCATGCCAAGTTTAAGCTGCAGTCTGAGCAAGGAAGAGTTTTGAAAGGCAAAGAGTAAGAAGTAAAATCTCAGGGAAAAAAAGTCGACAAGAAGCTCTACAATGAAACTCAGAGTGTCAGAGCCAGAACAAGATAGCTTTGATTCAACTTTAAGATGAAGGTTTAAGTAAGCCAGCGTTAAGAGGCTGATTTGCAGTACCTTGTCTAATTTTAGCATGCAATGGAGGAGACAGAAGTAGCCTCAAAGAGCCACCCAGAACTGCAGCCTGCAGATTGGCCTGCAATCTGCTCACCAAGAAAAGCAATTAAGAAACCAGAGCAACATCTCTGCTCACCAGTTGGCTCAAAGAGAAGCTTTAAAAGAGAAGCTTTGAAAGCTGAATCAAGCTTCTTGGAAAGGTGTGGGAAAGACCAAACCTTTCCTCTTTCATAGAGCACACTCTTACAGCCATGTGAACACACACTGCTCTGGACAATGGCTCATGCCTACATTTTATATCACTGTCTAAATCAATAGTATGTTTGGCTCCAATTATAAGAACAAACTATTTCAATGTATGCATTTAAAAAAAATATTTTTTTCCTTCCCTTGGGCAGAAAATTCCGTTTCTTTCTAATAGACAGAAAAAACCACAATTTTTTTAAATATCCCTAAAATTGATAGAGAACAGTAAAGACCCACTAGAGGTGATAAAGCCTATTTTAGAAACATGAGAATTCCCTTCAGTTTTTACTTACCTTTATATCTCTGTGCATTTTTCCTTTACTGTGAAGGTAATATAGTCCCTGCATAAAATATTTAAATAATTTAGTCCAGTATTTTTCATCACATACATTTCTTACTTAATTACGAGACATATTTAGGATCCAATTCAATTATCTTAATGACTCACTGAAGAATATTATTACATTTCAGCATATTCAAACTGTATGTGCAAATTCAATATATGTAGTAGCATAATACCTAAAACACAGGATAGATGTGAAGAATACCAGTCACCACATCTGCTGTAAGAAAAGCATTCCCTGACCAAGTTTTCCTCTGGACATGGTATCCCTCACCTTTCTAGATCAATTTAAGTACTTTGAAATTGCCCAATTGTCTGCTATTCAGCAGTCAGATCACTGGATAACTAGTGCTAGTATAAGTATCATAACTGTGCTTATCTCCTATATCATTACATATTCCAGTTAAGTCTAGAAGCATGCTAGCAAACAGAGCATCAGGTCTAACACAGGAGTTCATGGATTTCTGCAGAACCATTAAGCAGTCTCTCTGGGTCTCAATGACAGTATCAAAGCATTTCAGAATTTGGAAATTAGAAACTCCTAAGTTTAAATACTGGAAGAATTCTATGAACCCAAATTTCTGCGTGGCAAATCACAGAGCATGTCACCTCTGACACTTCAGGCTTATCTTCAAAATTCTCTTCCAGGGTAAAACAACATGTAAACATCTTGCTCACTCTGAGGTCATGAACATAAACACTGTATGTTCATGTCAGATACCCATGTCAAGAGAGATTTATTGGGAGTTTGCCAGCTTATGCAAGACATCATGGAATTGTCTGCAAATATAAAATAAGACTGTTTCCAACTGTCAGCCTTTTTGTGGATAGTCCTAAATATACCAACAGAATAAATGAGTAAACAATTACTTACATGACTTGGTACTTGAGATTTTCAAGTGAGCAAAATTGTACAAGTAGACAACAGTACCACTGAGGATACGTTTCTGGAGTATGTTTTTGTCAGTTCATGAAAAACAGAATGCAGTGTAGCCGAACTGCTTAGCAGTTATGAAACTTAACTCCTTAAATAAACTAAAAAACACCTCACTCACTGTTGTTTTAACCTGTTTCTCTGAAGGAAACGACTAACAATAGCCAGCTGGTCCAATGGTTTTTCATAGTCCTCACTGCAGGCATGCATGCAGACCAAAAAAATTGCACTAGATTTGTTTTTGGTACAGAGTGTAACAAACCAAAATATCCACCAGACCATTGCAAGGACTGGCACTAGCTAGAAGAGTCCCATGTACACTCCTCACATTTAAATCTCTGGATGCGGCACAGAGACAAAACACTCATTTTTACCACTGCCCTTTAAGAATGAGGTCACCATGAATGCCTGGAGATAGGTACTTTTAAAGGACCTATATTTTCAGAATCAGCCTCAGTAATTCCAGCCAGAACTGACGGCAAGTGGGTTTTTTTGAAAACAAACCATTTAATGGGCTTCTGAATATCAGGATCAAACAACAGCTTTGGGCATTCAAGTGAAACTCTTGATTGATGGAAACTGATGGCAAAATTAACATTTACTATTATGGATGGACATATGGTTTATATTCTCAGAGTTCTAACTAGGAAAAGTGACTGCTGCATTATAAGCACAAGATATCACAAACTATATACATTATATTTGGTCAGAGTATTATAAACATGTGGTTAGACAACTTTAAAATATACAGAAATGGTTAACACTTAGAAAACACAAAATAGCTAATTTCCTTCTCACAGGCAATTTACACATATGAACAAAAAAATCTTCACACACAAATAATGATTTCATAAATTCCATTCCAGACTATGACCAAAGGGCTGGAACACCTCTCCTATGAAGTAAGGCTGAGAGACTTGCATTGTTCAGCCTGGGGAAGAGAAAGCTGTGGGGAGATCTTACTGCAGCCTTTCAGTACTTAAAGAGAGCTTATAAGAAAGATGGGGACAAGCTTTTTAGCTTCCAATACCTAAAGGGGGCCTTACATGAAATCTCGAGAGGGACTTTTGACAAGGACCTGTAGTGAGGGGACAAAGGAGAATGGCTTTAAACTGACAGAAGGGAGACTTAAATGAGATTATTAGGAAGCTATTCCCTGTGAGGGTGGTGAGGCCCTGGCACAGGTTGCCAAGAGAAAGTGTGGCTGCCCCATCCCTGGCGGTGTTCAAGGCCAGGTTGGATAGAGCTTGGAGCAACCTGGTCTAGTGGAAGGTGTCTCTGCCTGTGGCAGGGAGGTTGGAACTACATGATCTTAAGGTCCCTTCCAACCCAAACCATTCTATGATTATGTAACAGCAAAACAGTTTAAAGGTTCAAAACCCAAAACAATCCTAGCGTCACATCTTTACTGTAAGGAAAAAAAAACATGTCCTGTAAATTATGTCAGCAGTCTCTGGCATAGCATAGGGTGACAGCAAGTGACATTCAAGGCAGCTGGCTCAGGGACAGAGCTGTCTTGAGAGTGTTTGAGAGAGGCAACAGCTCTAAACTGATGGCATTCAACAGATCTGCATTCACCAGAAGCCAAGAACTGCTCTCGTGTGGAAAGACAACAACCACTTAAAAAGCCATTTCTGATTAAGTCTTACTAGTGAACTTAGCCTTTAATTTAGGAAAGAAGAAATGAGAGCTAGCACATTCAATGAGGATAGGCTGGTGACTAACCTGAACATCTTCAGTACACACGCAATTTTACTTTTTTTCCTTATCACATATGCAAAACAGTCTTTAAATTTTCCTTCAAACTTGCAATAACTAATTGGTACCAAAATATGAGATAATAAATATGCTGCTTCCCCTCCTAAAAAAATAAAACAAAACCAACAAAAAAAAAAAGCCACAGCAGAAAGATGATGAGTTTTCTTTACATGATCCAGGGTAATTTAAGGTTATGCAATTATGCAAACCACTTCTAGGCTATTATACAGAGCATCCTCAGAAGTCTGAGAAAAATGCTAAGCCACCCAAACACTGTACTTCCATGGCATCTCACACTTCTGCAGCATTTATTTTTAGTTTTTAATGCTTTTAATGTAAAAGTCAACCACAAGAACCTGTGAGGATACTACCTGTAGTGTTTCTCTGCTAACATAGGCAATCTGCTGTTCTGAAAGTGGTCCAGTCACTGAAATGCAAGGGAAAAAAAATATTCTCTCAAAATCAGGTAAGATACTGTCCATTCCAAAACCATAATGCAATGACTTCCGTTCACACTGACAGGACCTTACACAAGAAGTCTTGAATAAATGTGCTTAGGCTTTCCCCCAGATTGAGCACCACCAATCATCTATTAAACTCAAAAATGTGTAGTCCCATTGGAATGGAAACCACTAACTCCCTCCATACACAAATCTCTAATTAAGAGGAAAAAGAAACAAAAGCAGTGATTTAATCACAACTCTTTCCCCTGCACAAACCCATGTTGTCCTGGGCTGGGCTGGACTCTCAACCCAGTGACTCAGAGCTGCAGCAAACTCTGCTCAGTCCCATTTGAGCCTTAGGAAGTTCCTTCTACTATTTGTGACCTGCTCTCTCCTTCCGTCCTTCCCACCTGCTCTCTCTGCAGCCATGCAACCTGATCTCAAGCTTTTCAACTCTTTCCTGCATAAGTTACCAGCTGCTGCTCCTGGGCTTGCCACATGACACACCTTCTCAAACTCTCCCCCTGAGCAGCAGGCTCAGCAGCTTCCCAAGGAAAGGGGTTTTCCTCTACCTCCAGTGTCCCATTTCACTCAAGTCTTATAAAGTAAAACAATTAAATTCTGAACAACTCCATAAACCAAACACTGAACAACAAGCGAGGAATGGCCTGTGACTTGCCCCCGTTCACTGGACTTTGATCCTGAAATTAAAGGATTTTAAGACCAGGAAATGCAGTTCTCACTGCAAGCTTCTCTGGTTTTGCAGAGAAAACAAATATAATAGTTGGATGGGTTTTCTCAAAGGAAACTGAAGTAGCAGGGCATTAAAAATGAAAAAAGATTTAACTACCTGACTGCTCAGCTTCTACAAAACCCACAACCATAATATAAATTACTAGCATGCAACACACATCTTTGAAACAGGTGTTGATGGTAGGTCCATCTTTTTCTGAAATTAAAACTCCAAATGCACATAAACCAAAATATATTAGCAGCCAAAGTACCTATTTCTAAGTACGGATGTTTGTGAAATTTAATTCTCATTAACTTAAATGACTTAAGATTACAGAGGCCTTTAGGTTAACCAGAATAAGATCTTCTGGACTGCAATTAAGATCAGGAAAGAACCTTCCACTCTATTGGCAGTGAAGACAAAAATCAGCTGCAACAGGAAACTGCTCCTGTATGACATCTGTTCAGGCATTTATGAGGCATGAGCTCATTTCCTACTCTACAGGTGTTCCACATAACAAAGCCTATTAAACATGGTGCTTCTACCAACACTAGCAAAGAGGTGAAGGGTCAAGGAGACCACACTCAAATGACTACATTGTAAACATGGTGTGAACTTGCCAATTGGTGCCTTGTTTTAACTGTTTTAACTGGTATACAAACTGTCTGCATGTAAGAGAAAAATGAAGATACTAGCATATAAAAATCTTCACAATTTAAAATGTGGACAGATTTTCCATCTGAAATACATTACCTGAGAACTACAGGGCCATTACTCACAGCATACTCTTTTCCTAAGCAAATCTTAATTCCAGGGCAATAAAATCCCTCAAAACTGATTTTGTCTCTTGAAAACTAGCAATTGACTGATCCTCTCTTTATGCAACAGATCCATACACAGCTCTTGCTTCTTAGACCACTCATTGCACCTAAACCTAAAGCAAATACAGATCACACCTTTGCTTTTCAGATGTCATGCATGCAGCACTAAAAAAAAAAAGCCATTGTGGCACTACTGCTCTACAAATATTCAAAAGATCACTGCTTACTAAGGACAAAAGCGTCTGTGCTAACCAATCTAGGTATCTATAGACAGTGCTATAGATTATATTAAAGCAAAGTTTAAAAGCTCAGAAATAAAATGGCTATGAAGTAAGAAAGCACATCAGGATATAACATTTATTTTTACAATGAACTAGTCTGATTTTACAACTTTTGAAAGAGTGGTGCTGGGTACACAGCAGTGATGGTTACTGCATGGAGCAACTTCTGCTTATCAAAATAAAAACGCACTATAGCTAATATTGTTTCAAAAACCAAACCTAAACCATTATATAATACATAAGCTAAAATTGATCTTCAATGGATTATTGTGGAAACCACATCTAGGATTCCTCCTCTCTGATTACAAAACACTGTCATCATCTCCCTTTTTTGAAAATAAGCTTTACTTAGATTCTAAGGAATTAGTCTTGACATACCATGATAAATATCCTGTAGAGAGCCACCTCCACAAAACTCCATGCAAATCCATAGCTTGTCTCGTCTAAAAAGTGAACAAAACCATTCATTAGCTGTCAGACTTGAAAATAGCACCTGTAAAAGTCAGAAGACTCAAATACTATAAAGCACAACATAAAGCTTTCTATTATGCAAAGTACAAGTCAAATAATGAATATAAGTTAAACTTGACATGATAATTCACTGTCAAAAGAGTAGCTAATGAAATACTCAAAATATATGAGGGTTTATTGGAGTAACAGGAACAGTATTAGTGCACACTGATTTTTGTTCAAGACCTACTATGAAAGTGAAATATACTTTCACTGAGGAGAAAGCAAACAGATGTGGGTTCATATTTCTTCCTCATTTTTACTTCTCTCCAACTTTTTTTCAGAGCAGAGGAATTAAAACAAACAAAAAAAGGAACCCCAAACAAAAAGCTGTAGGGATCTCTCTCAACAAATGGAGTGAAATTCTAGTGCTTTAGTCAAAGCTAGGCAGAGTGGAGCCCTTGGTGTAGCTAAGGGACTTCACAGCTGAAGACTTTTCCCTTAAAAATACCTATGGACATTTTCAGTGGCAGGAGTCAGAAGGAAGTTCTTTAGGTTTCTCTTACTAAGGTGATCAGTTTGACTCACTGTATCTCCATAAAAAGTGCTCTCCAAGAACAGACAACAGGCTGAAGGATTCAAAGGTATCTTCCATTATGGACCCTGAATTCTATTTTTGCTTGGTATTTTTCACTGGTAAGACAGATGTACCACATGCAGCTGCAGAAAAGTATTTTGGAGAGCAGGAAATGTAGGACTTGCCTAAACATTCTTGGCCATCAAAACATGCAGGAAAGAGAGATCACATACAATCACCAGACTGGGACACAGAACAACCAAAGGAAAGACTAGTGACTGCTCTGCAGCTTGCCCATGAGCCCTGATCTTTGATTTCTTGCATTCATAGCGTTCTGTTCAGAATAACAGAGACACCCTTGTGGCCAACATCCATGGAAGTGTTTTGCGAGGCAATGGTGTAAGTGCTGAGCCTATTTCCTGAGCTGCAAATTTCAAGTATTTCTACCAGCAGATAACAGCTAGAATAGCTGCTTCTACAAGGAAGAACTGTCTTTCTTGGATGTTCTCCCCTTTTATGTCCACATTCTACATGGTCCTCCAAGCTATACGCTGGGTGCTTCCTCTAGTGATGGGAAAGATATTGTCCAGGCATTACAGAGGTTTGAAGCAATGGGGGTCCCTGGCTGTTAACTCCATACATTTCTAGCGGTTAATTAAACCATTACTTAATATGAAGTCCTTTTACTGAAATAACTGATCAAAGGGAGACAGAGAGGCAGTATGGCCACCTGTGAAAGAAAACAGAATTAACAATGGCAACAGGGAAACATGAGTGAGAAAGAAGCACTGAAGAGACAGACATTCACAAGCCCCTTGTTTATCCCCCACAGTTATCAGGGGTCAGGGACACTTCTGGAGGCACTGGGCTCATGAAGGCCACTCTTTCCCATGTGGCTGCATCCTGTTTGACGCCAACAGCAGCACAGCATAGAAGTGGAAAAAAGCCAGGAGCATCCCAGCAGCCTTGGGACAGCAGCAGAGCACCCAAAAAGAAACAGAAAGTAGGTAAGCATTGTAATTCACACCTTTGCTTACTGGGCATTAACTTCCCAGTGTGGAAAAGCTCTACAGAAAAGGAAGAAAAAAGACTGCATTTTTAATTCCCTATCTAGCTTTTTATTACTATGTCTTAAGTGCTCTGAGGCAGGTGAAGATCCATGTAATCAGCAGTAAGTGTATACAGTTGTCTGCAGAACATATGGTGAGTACAACAACAAAACAGAGGCAGGATCAACAGTACTATTTAGTGTCTGCAAGTTAACAGCGAGGCAGAAATCTGACTGTTGAAAAATCCCTATGTAAACAAAAGCAAAGAGTGGGGCACAATATGCTGATAAGTGCCAAGTATGGGATGATGGTATTTTTCTTACTGTTCTTAGCACTGAAAAATACTTAGAAAACAAAAGGTCAGACAACAGAGGCCTCAAAGACAGCCATTCAGTTGTTCAAACCAAAGAGAAGCACTACACAAAAGAAAGAGGAGGGGACCAAGCAAGGACACAAAAAAGTGCCAAAATATATACTTTATTTTCTATAAAATTAATTCAGGGTCTACAAAGGTAGATTTTGATACTCAGAGACAGGAGGAAAACTTTTTTTAAAGAAAAAGCACCCCCAGCTGAACACAGCATCATGAGAAGAGGCACTGTTTCAATCTAAAAAAATTTCAGGAAAGCTGAATGCAAAAGTGTTTGTTCACAGTCTCTGCGCATGAAATCTTAAGAAGTCATGAGAAACAGCTTTTTATTAGTAAATACTAAGCAATCTGTTCCCACTTTGACTGAAGAAGCAGCTGGTAAGACAGTGCTTCCAACAATGCAAATAATCTCACCTCCAGAAACAAACACAAATGGAACCATCACATTCTGGTCAGAAGTTCGTGTGTTAGAAATACAGCTCAGGGTAACTGCAACAGCACTGCAGAGCCCCAGCCTTCCCCCTCTGCTGTTCCTCACTTACTACTTCTAAGTTTGTCTTCTGAAAAGGTTTATAACAATGTCTTTCAGTTTTGTGGAACACACCAGGCAATGTCAGACATCAAGAAAATGCCGACACAACTTCCTTCCCACTACTGCAGACAGGTACAAATAAAGTCATCACACCTTAACACACAAAAAGATGCTCTCTTCCCAAAAGAAAGGAAGGCTTTGAGGTTGGGAGGAAGATTAAGGAGGTGCAACAGGAAGTTGGGACACCATATGATCCCAGCCATACAACTTTCAGATACATAGCATCCATTTAAGAAGCTTAATCACCACAACATGGGAACTCCCAAATACTGCCTTTAGGAAATCATAGAATGGTTTGGGTTGGAAGGGACCTTAAAGCTCATCCAGTTCCAACCCCCTTCCACTAGACCAGGTTGCTCCAAGACCCATCCAAAATGGCCTTGAACACTGCCAGGGATGGGGCAGCCACAGCTTCTCTGGGCAACCTGTGCCAGGGCCTCATCACCCTCACAGGGAAGAACTTTTTCCTAATGTCTAATCTAAATATCCCCTCTGTCAGTTTAAAGCCATTCCCCCTTGTACTGTCCCTACATACCCTTGCAAAATTCTCTCTCCAGACTTCTTGTGGGCCCACTTTAGGTATTGGATCATTAGATCCTTTGCAAACTTCACCACCTTACAACCTGCATGCAGCTGTCAGACAGACTAGTAACTCAACAAATTCTCAAAAACTTTAATATGACTTTAGGGTATGAAGCACTATTAAGAATTGACTGTTCATGCACAAGAAGCAGCCTGCCAGTACTGCACAGAAGGAAGCAATATACAGTTTATGTTAACCTTCAGATTAACCTTAAACATTCAAAGGTGAAATGCAGACACTCCTAGTTTGGAATGCCAAGACCCTACATGTACACACACTCTATCTGTATGCACACCCACACAAACTTGCACATAATGCAGCTCCCATACCAGCTCAGTGTTAATAAAAAGCATTCAAGCTGCCAAGACAAGCACCCTTCAAGGTATGGGATGCCAGAACAGCATGGCTTGTTGGTTTTAAGTTCAGACTTTGATCCCTTCCTGCACATGTATATACAAAAATGTTAAGCAGTACATTATCACATACTCCAGGCCCCACTGAGCATAGCATGCAGATGGTGTTCCTCTAATGGGCTAGTCAATGGCTTACTTTCCTCTTCATTCTCATACCTTCAGTGCATTTCCACTTAATCTTCTCCTGAAAATACATTTACTCTTAGAAATTTCCTTCATGCTCCACACTAAACTATGTCTGTGAAGGACTAATATGACCAGCTTTTCCATTACAGACCTTCTAAATGACTATAAAGCAAATATAGTTCAAAACACAGATTCTATTGACCTGAATCACAACTGTCAGTACACAATACCTTCATTCACCAGACAAAAGCTAACAAGTATTAAGAAAGATGCAATGAATCCCATCAGTGATAAAACATCATTTCAGTGAGCATTCAGAGCTACTGGGGACACTGAATTAGACTGGAAGAAGAAACTCCTGAAGTCTGCTAAGCTTCTGCATGAGACCTCAGCTTGTCTAGCATTTATTCCCAGGACTTTCTCTCTCCCCCAACACTGCCTCCAAGTTCTGGCACACTCAACTTGTCCAATATCAGTTTGCTCCAACTATGCAGGCGTTCAGCACTGAGGTCACCAAGAGCACCACAAAGTGCTCCACACGCCATTTCAACATCCTGCCCCAGAGCAAAACAAGGAACACACAACAACAGCTCCCTAAGCAAGCCAGAGAGCACGTTAGCTTTTCTCTAGCTCTGCAAATGTACACCAAATCAGGCACTGATGGCTAGAAAAGAAACAGTAACTGTATTTCCTAAGCTCTGATCCAGAAGGAATGTAAAAGAAATGCAGTACTTTATAAGATAACTTGGTCACATTTGACAGGATTTTTAAAAATAAAAGATGAGATGCACTCCAAATACAAGAGCCAAATTGTGCCCTAAATTCCTGCTTCAAAGATGGTAATTTTTTTGTTGAAAGGCTTTAATGCACCAAGATTTTTTCATGTGAAAATACTTCCTATATCTTTCCATCCCCAAACCAAAAGCACTTGGCCTATATTGCTGAAAAGCTTTTGGCTGCTGCAGCAGATAGCCATCATGGAGAGTTTCATCTGGAGCTGCTGAAGTCTAATATGCATATGAGTAACTCAGCTTGGTGTCTTCCCATTATGAACAGGGTCTAGCAACCTTCACAACCCACACAGACCCATAGAACTGTAGAATGGCTTGGGTTGGAAGGGACCTTAAAGCTCATCCAGTTCCAACCCCCTGCCACAGGCAGGGACACCTTCTACTGGACCAGGTTGCTCCAAGCCCCATCCAATCTGTCCTTGAACACTGCCAGGGATGGGGAATCCACACAGCTACCATGTCCTACCTATGCTGTTCCCATGCAGACAGAAGATATGCAAATATCTGACAGGAACAAGAAGCCTCTGCCATAAAGAGCATCATGACTTTTTAGAGTCTTTTACAAGCTTTTGATTACATTGCATGATATGCCTAAAATTATGACACAAGGTTCACAAAATGCAGCATTAAAAGTTCTAGTCCTTGAATATTAAGCAATTGCTATATCTAGCATAAAACATTCGTCAGGATGTATTAAAAAGAATTATAATAGCAAATGTTATTAGAAACTACCTATCAACCTTCTCAATAATGAGGCTTTGTATGTAGTTTACTTTTTACAAAGTTAAGCACAGTATCTTACAAAAGGAATTACACAAAAGAATGAGACAGAACAATCTACATATACTAAGTGTTCTAAACAACTCTACAGCTCAAGAGAAAAAAAGGAGTTTAAATATCAATCATTTCTAGATTTCAAAACAAAACCAAACCACAAATCACCAGCGGGCTTTTTGAAGGCTGCAGTTTACATTCTAAGGTATTTCAATATGAAATTGTCCTTAGAGCTTAACACAGCACTACTACTCTTGAGCAAGGAAAAACCCAACTGTTTTTGCCCCTCCTTATTTGTCTATATCATTCAATTTTGAATTCTTAAGTTTACATGACAAGAGTTAGAACATTTCTGAGAACTCTATCTGTATTATACCATACTTACACCTCCCAAAGTTTTGCAAATTTGACATTTTACTGAAACAGATTTAAAAGACACTGTATACACAGATTCTTTCTTCATACTTGCGCTTAATTTTCCATTTATGTATTAAATTCAAAGCTTTTAAATGACAACTCATTTCCAAGGACATGTGACCACATGGTCACTGAAGGACTGTGCAAAGAGAAACAATTTCTAGACAGACACTGTAATAAACAGAACAGATTTTAAGGTAAATTAAAAAAATATATATACAAGTGGATAATACTTATTTGGTAAATTAAGTTTTGCCTAAGTCACCTTACAGACCCATTCTTTACAAGGAGATAGAAAGGCATTTTTAAGCAATCAAAAGAAACAAACTGTACCTGAGATAGCTGCCAAAATAAGCAACAATGTTTGGATGTTTACAGTCTTTCATCATAATGATTTCCTGCTGTACAACAGCAAAATCTTCTCCTGAAAAGCAGAAGAATGAATATTTTCATCAGCCTGGTTCATACCCACACCTCAACTAGACTTTCAGTACAAGTTTATAAAATAAACATTTTGAGTAATTAAAATTTATCTGCATGTTTCACAGGCATAAAAAGCAGCTGCAAGTCAATATTTATTAGCAAGGCCTTAGCAGTAAGCACCTATATTCTTAAGAAGTTTCATTCTGGGCCAGACAGACCTCACATCTGCTATCTGATACCTCTGGTCATAGCTCTTTCTAAAGTCTTTATTCCCCCCCCCCCCCCCCCCCGAGACCCAACTGTGTCCATCTGCATACGTCCTGTCAATAGCCCAGGTTCTTAAAAACTTTGCTATTTTTGGCCACATGTCCAACACCCATTAGATCATCTTCCTGAGCAAAAAGCCCCATTCAATAGTAGGCTGCTGCTGCAACTCCTTGGTAAACTTGGTAAGCACATGAATTTACAGACTGCGTATATCCAAATAAAACACTGACACAGATGTGGCATTTACCACATTTACTATTTGGTACCTCCATTGTCCCTGTACTTCTACAAAAGGTTCTTACCAGATGCGTATGCTGAGAAAATCATGTATGAAATTGAAAAGCCAGAGACATTTTTGGTTTGGGAGTGTGAGGCAGGGGTTTTATAGGAAAGTTAAAAAGAGAAGATGAGAAATACCAAATGTAAGAGAATGACAGAAACAGGTATTTGACAGCATTTTTAATTAGGAAATACATGTCAAGTGCTCTTTTGCAGTTCAGTATCTTAACACAGGGACTCCCCTGAAATGTCTTAGGCCATAAGAGCATGTAGTAGTGAGTTAGGTATATTATTTACAAAGTTCTTATGATGTTTGTTTAGTTACTAGACATACAAGATTCACAAAAATGAAGTCATTCCCACTAATGAACTGCCACTCAAGGACTTCATAGGTAAAGTAAGCCTGAAGGCCTAAAATAACTGTTTAACTTAATGAATAACTTCAAAGACTCTTTAAGCAAGTGGGGGGGGGGGGGGGGGGGACACCAAGAAATTTCAACATATGTCAAAATTCTCCTTTAGGTGTACTGCTGTGGCACACTTCAGCGTAACTCAAAAGAGCTTTTAAACCAGAAGCCAAAGCTATTGTCTAGAAAGTTGAATACAGACACTAGGCTCATAAATATGAGTTGTTTCAACTCAAAAATCACTTCTCAAATACAGCTGTTAATGTCAAATATAACACAACAACGTCCAACAGAACTGGTCAAGCTATTACCTAAGAAAACATGTTTTATGTTTCTCCCAAGACATCAACATACTGGTGACCCTATCCATGTGGTACTTTCTAAACCAGAAATCTGATATTCACAGGGTTTTTTTAACTGATAGCAAATCTCAAACCACAAGCTGCAAATTAACATCACAACAGGCTGTCTACTATCCGTGGTATTTTGCTGATGGCTTACTGTATCCTGGCTAGACCTGTAAATATGCAAACGCTGAAGAGCAAAGTAGAAATCATCTTCCTCTGTGACAGGACAAGGTTTCTCCATTATTTGACCAGGGTATTATTAAATTAGCATAATATTACTATTAAATTAGCATCAACTTTATAGGAAGTGCCTAACATTACTAACCTTTAATCTTCACGCTCTCCCCCAGTCTGCAAAACTTGCAAAGAAAGCCAGTGCCACAGCTGTGGAATGCGGACGCTGACTTTATGAGGCTGAGTCAAGCCTCTACCGCAACTGGAAGCAACAACTACAAAGAGACACTGAGCTCACTGAGCAAGCAGAGGGTAGCTGAAGTGCATTCTCTGTGGACTTTCTTTAGCATCCAAAGGCTGCCAAAAATATTTAACTGCAAGATACCAGTTGTTATCCCCATCAGCACAGCTTGAGGGCAAGTTATCCCAGCTGCAGTGCATCCCCAGGCTCTGCTCACAGCTCAGCTAAATCACACAGCACGATTCTCCAAGCACAACCTATGTGACACACTACTTTCTTTCCTGCATTAGCTCCCACTACATCTTGAAATGGAACACAAACAGTTACAAGTTAAACAAGAAGTCTGGACATTTTACTTCTGAGATGACTGCACTGTAATTCAACAAGGCTAGCCACAGTGACAGAACAGAAATTGCAGGCTGATATCTGTAGGGCGCATGTGTTTTGTGAAATCACAACACCAGCACAGCTCAAGTGCACCTCTAGCATACAGTGAGTCTTAACCAAAGTCTCTAAGAGAATTTCAGGAAATTTACTCAACTCCCAGATACTAGTGCTCAGCTATTATTTCACCCTTCCTTCTCATTTCTCCCCCTATGCTCTCTCCAGGTAAGTCCTTTTCTGCCCTGCTGCCTTCCTCACTTCTTTTGCTCTATACAGGGTTTTGTATCGCATCAAATGTAAACATAGTACTTTAAGACCAAAATAGCCAACATTCTGAAATTCTAATCAGCTTCCCTTTAACCAATCACACTTTTTCCCCTTACATCTTGCCTGCCATGCTTAGGGTTTTTTTAGAACAGTGTATTTTGTCCCCATTTAAAAGGCAAAAAATTATCCCTTCTTTCAATAAGGATTCAATTTTGTACAACCGTATTTGAGGCACAGAAATATTTTACTTCTGTGGCCTGTACAGTTAAGTAACACTTACCTGGTTCTAGTTTTATTACTTTAATTGCCGCCAGCTCACCCGTGTTCACATTTCGAGCCTACAAAAAAAGTAAAATAAAAAATTTAACTTTAGAGAGCAGAACACAGTAACCAGCTCTGCATTCTCAATGTTCTCTGACAACACAGAGTCCAAGAGCAACTGAGATACACAAGGGTCTAAAACAGTGAAACCACTTGCTGGTTTGAGACGTTTCTTGGTTGTCTGGGTTTTTTTTAAGCATAAGCTTCCTCAGGAGAAGCCAATAAATTAAAACACCTTGTATTAAATTAAAACACATTTCATACAAGGTTAGATTCGCCCTCCCCCCAATACACCATGCATTTATTTTTATTTGGCTTACAGCTTTTATTTTTATAAGCACCATTTTTGAGTTATAGTATATCCAAAATGCTTATTTAAAATAATCCATGTCTGTGCTTAATGACGGTGAACCAAATTGTAAGAATTCTGTAGCTAGCAGGCTATTCTCCAACGCACATTCGTAGGAAGCACTCTTCCAACAAAACCTGGATTTATTTTCTAACGACAAAGAAAGCCCTCTCAAAAAAACCCACTACCAACACCAAAAAAGAAACCAAAATCACAAACCAAAAAAACCCCAACCAACCACAAAAACATTAGGCAGCTGTTTTTTCAGAGCTCTGAAGCTTTAAGTATGCTCAGGAAACCCTACACTGCCACACAACAGTCCAAAATTATGCAAGTCTTCAACCACACTGTACTTCCCTGTTAAAACCCATAAACAAACCGATCACAAAGATACTGACTGTGAAGCAGTTATAACATACACACATCTCACAGCAGACAAGCAATGCCCAGGGTGCATCAAGTGCTGCACCCTTCAGCGTATATGACTGCTTCCAAGATTCCCATGAGAGCAACGCAACGCTTCCTGCAAATTTCATTATGTGCCCCTTGGTCCTTGCTTTCCACTAGTGTCAGCATCCTCCCCTTGCTGCAAGGGTGGGAAGAAAACAAGCCAGCAACAAAGGAGTTAGAAAGCATTCCCCTGGCATGTGCAGCAGCTCTGTGGCCAACTTCAGCTATTACTCAGCAGCTTAACTGCATTTTGTATGGTGCTCTGTCATGCAAAAGCCTGCATTCTACTGAGTAACCAAGGAAATTTTTAACAAGCCATTAAGAAGCAATATAAATTATGATATAATGATTTCTCTTCTAGAATCGTCGCACTTGATTACTGACTGAAAACCAGGAAGCCATTTGGCCAGTGCTTTCAGATACTTCTGTGCCTCTGCACCCAGCCATGGAGAGAGAGCAGCAAAGATGCTCCCCAGCACCAAAGCAGCAGCTCCTGAAGGATGCTCTGCTACAACCTCTCCTGTCCTCAGGGAAGTCTTGGTACCCAATGCACTGTGCTGGACCACTAATGCACTGCATGCCATGCCCACTCTATCCCCTACACAGAGCACAGAAGGTGAGACCAATCCTGCTTTTGCTTACTCCCCTCATCCGCTTTCAAACCAAAAAAGGCCAGAATTACAGAACTTAAGATACAGACAGGTGCCCACCCTTTATGCTGCTAATGGTGTCACTGAAGTCACTGTAGGAGCTCAGGGGCTCAAACTTTTTGTTGACTGGCCTGAGACTCACCAAATACTGTAAGGTATCAATTCTTAACATAGCAGCTTAACAGCTGCTTGTGAAACCCCAAGTAGAGCGAAAAAAAACTCCTTAGACTACAAAAAATAGCCAGCAATACAATCTGGAAATAAGTACAGTATATATTCCTGTGTTTAGAGATCTACCAAGCTCACTCCTAGCACAGCCTATTTCAAACCTCTCACTGTTCCTTGGTGTGGCGATGCTCTTCTGCAGTACTGGGAGTACTGGCATTTGCAAATAATTTGCAGGCAGATGGTTATGGATAGATCTTGAGACCAGTGGGAATTCTATAAAAATCAAGGAGTAGTCCAAACTTCATAAACTGTGGAAATGAACAGTTAAAAAAAAATAAATGAATTTTCTCTGGCAGCTCTCCCTGGAAGTCATTATTTGCCCACCCCAATGACACAGCAGTGTCTCCATTCATCACTGTGTGATGGAAAAAAAGACACAAAGAACAGGAGTTCCTTTTATCTGTACCAGAGAACGAAGGCAACATATGAGAAAGTGGCATCATTGAAGCATGAATTAGGATTTTTATTCCTTATTTCTTTTTCCAGCACATGCTTCCCATAGTGAGAAACAAAAACAGAGGCAAGATGTTCATTAATCAAAGGTCAACATTTTTTAGCCTCCAGGATTAATAAGAAAAATTACTGAAGCTTAATGAAGACTCATGAGGGAGTCTTGATATCTGAAGACATGGTTTGGGTCTACTTGTCCTAATAAGGTAATCAGTGAGAAAAAAACTGCAGTGGATACACGTGAGGACATCCTGAAGTTACTCATCCGGCATGCAGCTGGGATGTGCAAGCCAAGCTGGAAGAAGCTGACAGGCTTCAGGGACATTGCTAGTCCAGCAAAAAAAGTTTGTTTGTTTTTTTATTACTATTTTAACAATATTGTGCCCAGGTGTCAGGAACTTGTTTCTCTGACTATGGCTTTATATGTCACTGCACTGCGCAGAGTGCAATGGCAACTAAAGCAAGAGAGAAGATGGTTAGGAGCTAGTGACAATTTTGGAATGTCTGATTAAAAGACATGAGAATACTCACCACAAAGTCTTATGTGCTGGTGATGCCAAGAAACTATCAGCAGTAGCCAGAGCAGGACATACAACATCCTAGCCAAAGGAACAGAGTCCAAGCAGCAGGCAGCCTTGCCAAACCTGCGCTCTTCACACCTCATGGCTGATTCACGCCCCTCCCATCGCAAAGGGATTTCATCTTCAATGTTATGTCAAAAGAACTGTTCAGGATTATGGGCAGGGAAGCACAAATGCTATCTTTTCACCTCTAGCTTAGGCATTTCTTCTTTTCCTCAAGAACAGCAGTAGTGGGACTCTTTGGGCAGCTGGCCATTCTCTGCAACAGTACCTGCCGGGGCTCATGAAAGCCAGAAAGGAGGAACAAAACCTGATTTAATGCAGGTCATCAGTGCCTCCAGGAACAGCAGGCTAACAACTGCTTGAGGGCATGAATTGCTGCTTAAGAAAACATGACTTGAAGTTGACAATCTGAGTAAGCTTTCACTTTGCACCCTATTCCATTTGGGTTATCAGCATTAAATGTATCACAAATAAGAGTATGAATTGCCTTTGTTAATTTGAGTATATTAAAAAAAAAAAAAAGATTATTCCGATGGTAGTGACACAAGGGCTCCTTGCAAAGGATAATTATGGCAACCAAGTACCCCTGACAGGTTTTACAAGTTCTCATCGCAAGCCTAGATGAATGGGACTGAGAAAGAAGTATTGTATGTTTTCCAGCATGTGCTGGAGCCAGCGCTGACTCTGAATTTGAGGGTGCTTGTGTACATACCACACAATAGCTCAGTATCTTGAGGACACTGCCTTATGCTTTCATTCAGCATAATCACACTAAAGTTACCAATTACTTACGGGTTTTGAGATTCGAGCATCAATAAGGATTAGGTGGCTGAAGAACAATTTCAAGCAAATATTTTTGAGTTGGCAAATGCAACCAAAAATTTCAAAGTGCCATGTAGGAAAACGCACATTCATTTTTGGTTTCCACTTGCACAATACATGTTCTCTCACCCTTTTTGGTGATGAGGTTAAAAGCAAGAACCAGGAGTTTTTTCCCCCCATCCCTGTTTCCATGCACAGGAGCCTGCAACCAATTCCTTTAAATGCTGATTTCATTATGTCAAAGGGAATGCATTATACAGGTCTTCCAGAAGCACAGATCAGCCTACACCACCTGCATCTACACATGGCCGCTTATTAAATGTATACAGCATTTATACAATGTCTGCTCTGGAAATCCATATAAGAATCCTCATTCCACCAGCAGCTAAAGGAACAATCCTCTTCCAGAGATCCACATTGCCATATCTGGGGAGGCATTTAAAAAGAAAATCCACCAACTGCAAAGTCAAGCTGAAGAAGCACTGCCTAATTCAACAGGAAATAATTATTAGTGTCTCTGTGACAACAGTAGGAGATCAGATCAAAACGCTGTATAAAAACCTGCCACCCACTCGAAATAAGATCTAAAAAAAAAAAAATCCAGGTTTTGTTGTTACTATTATACAAAAATCCATTAACCAAAATGCCTCGCAATTGTAAAGATCATATTACTCTGAAACAGAAAAGGAAAGAGCAATGGGTAGGGCAGTACTTGGATGGGCTCTATTCAGAAACACCAGAGGCAAAGCAAGAGACGTGCATGGTGTGTATCTGAAAAGGAAGGGAAAGAATAAAGGGGGGAGGAAGGCTAATATTCAGTACTGCCCCTTAATGTATGCCACAATAGCAGATTCGTAAGTAGTGCTCTGTGCAGTTGAACCAATACAGACATAAAATCCAAGGAGGTAAATCTCTTGCCAAGTTTGTATTTGTCCTTCAAATGAAAACTACTGATATAAAGCATATAATGCTGCAACAAAAACCAGGCCAAAAAGCAAATCTAAGACAGTAACAACAGGACACTTCTGGTTTTGACTACTTTCTATGTGCATTGTTGAACAAAATGTAGAGCAGCAACTTCTAAACAAGTTGCTACTCATGGGGTAACTGGTCGCAGGGAATAGACAGGCTTCCTGAACTGGACTAGCTCCATTCTTCAGGAAAATGCACTCAAATGGCTTCCCAATCCCCTTGCTTCCAGTCCTACATTCTTCCCCTTCAGCCCCTCTCAAACCCACACAAGTCCCCAGCAGCAGAGTCAACTCTCCAAGCCAGCAGAAACTCACTTGCCCCCTCTTTTTGCTTAGTTTTCTGCCAGCTGAACCAACCACACCAGCCCAGGCACCACAGTGAGTGCCAGAGCTAACACCAGGTAAGCAGCGATAGAGCCAGGAGCAGAGTAGGGAATCACCCCTCTCTGGCAACAGTCAGCTGTTACATCAGTTCAGCTCATCCTACGGAATCAAAACTGCACTTAACAGAAA